TATAAAGAGCCTATAAACATTGGTGTCACATCTTATGACAGGTTGACATGGAGAAAACATGTCAACAAGGCAGCAACCTTAGCCTGGAGGAAGTCAGATACACAAAGAAAACTAAGTTGAACCACATGGAAAACCAGTAGGAAGATACTCAGCAAAGTATACAAAGCGATGTCCTCCAATCATAAAATCTGAACATCCTTTTTTTCATGAATCTTCTCGAATCTAGTTTCATAACAAAGTTACTGGGACCTTATCAGCTATACCCTTTATAAACCTTCCAGTCTTCAATTCTCTCAATAATTTTTTTTTTAAAGTAAAGGTCCTTTTTCCACGCCTTGAGCGTAAAGTGCATATAGGGCTAGATCTATATTTTTATAGACCAATCGTCACAAGATGGGTGATGTGGTCAGCATCACGCCGGCCACCTTTACTTCCCGGGACTGCACGCGGTTCCTAGTCAAGGCTGGGGTCAAGGTCATTTTTGAAAAAAGTCCGGCTCCGTCAGGGTGCGAACCCATGACCTTCCAATCCGCACGCGAGCGTCTAGCCTTTAGACCACGCGGCTCCCTCTATGCATCAAAAGGGTAACAAAATATGCCATACTGAATGATTAGAACCAGTCATGATGTATGATAGTTAATACCATATAGTCATCAAGCTAATGAGAAGTTTAGGAGAAGCTGTAGCGATGCAACCAGCCCGATGGTGTCTTCAGCTAGTTCCACATGATAGGCCTATAAGACTTGCCTCTTTTCAGTAGGTCTCTTCTAAAATCTTTCAGACTGCCCTGAAGAGGACGTCTTTCATCATTTGTAACTCCCATGTTGGCACTCGTTTTCGCTAGTGACAGTCTAGACTTTACCGAATGTTGAATCACAACCCTCTATTATACAACAGTGAATGTTGGAAAATGACTGCGGGAATTACACATAAACTTGAGACTTTTCAAAATAAATGTTCAAGGAGAATATTTTCGCCAAACAAGATCACAAATAAAGAACTGGCTAGTAAATCAGAATGTGCATCACTGGCAAATGTTATCAAATAAGACGATGGAGATGGCTTGGACATGTTTGCACAATGCCTTCTGACACTCTGGCAAAAACAGCTCTCCGGTGGACAGCAGATGGGAAAAAGAGACCTGGACGATAAGGAAACCTGGAGAAGGACAAAAGAACGGGAAATGAAGGAATGTAAACTGATATGGGATCCCATGGGCAGAACTGCAGCAAACCGGCAGCAATGGAGATCACTTGTGAATGCCTTATATGTCAACAGCGACATGAAGAGGATATAGAGATCACAGCACTCGAGAAACTCCTATAAGTGCTCAGTCCCCATCTTCAGCAGCAAGCGAAGAGTTCCCATTCCGATGGTACCAGTAACCGTCTGATTGTATATCTGTCTCATCCTTCCCCTAAGTGTTGAGCGTTGGCAGAGACGTTGTGATATCAAATGCCTGACTTTGTTGCACCAGGCGACGTCTATTCGTCTTAGCTATGAAACCCTATGCACTTCGTCTGCTCTTCAACACAGAGCCATCTGTATATATAATCACATCACTTGGGCGGGAAATGTCATGTATCATTTGTTGAGCTTCTGATTCTGCAGTACCAGCTGCAGACCGTAATTACCTGTCTGTTCCTCGGCACTGTTCACTCCCTCCCAAATGGCACTCACAACATCCAGCTTGTCATACATCAGTTCACCACCAAGTAGTACAGAACAGGCCAGTCTATCTGTCTGATCATTTCCCAAAACCCCGGCATAACCTGAAGAAAATATCTAATGGATGCTAACTACCCGGGATCTCTGAAGTGGTGCTTACAAGGGAATCAGGCTCTTCTCTTGCTGCTGGAGATGGGGACGGAGCTCTTATGGGGGGTGTCCCGAGTGCTGTGATGTTGATTCTCAATTCAACATTTAACATTCAAGTCGGCGATGGAAATCCGTTTCTTTTTGAGTACTGATACTCGGGTTAAAGTTTAAAAATAAGTGTAGTCGCTCTAATGATTTTATACTGCTTGATACTGTACACTCTTACATTCCCGTTGAATGTTGTTATTTTAAATGTCGACACGGTTGTTTCTATTCTAAATTAAATATCATCATCATCATCATCATGTAGCAGGTCCTTTGCAGAACGTGCTCTCTTCACAGTCTGCCTAAAAGAAACTCGGTCTCTCGTCAGTTCTCCCGCCTCATGCACTTTCACACTCAAGGAGTCACTTATATCCTGGCCCATCTTCGTGTCGTCGGATACTCGGGTTATTCTAAATAAGTATTTGGAAATTTGTGTACGTTTACTGGTTATTACAAAATAAGCATGGTAACCATTTTTAGTGGTTTAAAATATTATTATCAATTAGGTATCTTCTTCATAATAAAGGTTGGCTTCCTTGTTTTGTTTGTTGTCCTTATTGTAATGCATTGTTACACTTACTGGGCTATCCTCCAAATAACGGTCCCAAATTATCGAGGCCAAAAATATACCATAATAGAGCCTCAGTCACATGTCAATTGCGTACTTCCGGGGACTATACCGCCACCTCCGAATAGCGGACTTCCGGGGACTATACTGCCACCACCGAGAGTATCTAGATGACTGAGACTCTCGAGCAAATAAAATGAAGGAAGCTGCAGGAGATGCGGTAGCTGCTGCTCGTGAGTCCCAGCCATCTAGTTTAGCCCCAACGCGCTGCGTGGAAGATACTCTCGGCAGTGGTGGATGTCGCCCGGAAGTGCGCAATTTAAGGCACCGGAAGTTCGCAATTGACATGTGACTGAGGCCCTGTTAGGGTATATTTTTGGCCTCGATAATTTGGGACCGTTATTCAGAGGATAGCCACTTACTGACTTACACACATTGTAATTTGTATCAACATCTTTCAGTATAAGCGAGGACTGAGGTTCTTGGTAAATCGGTTCGACCCATTCACGCTCGGTCTTCTGATGCAGCAACGTTTCAGTGTCTCCCCGCTCACGGTACCCTGTCTGTCACTGTTAGTATGAGAGTTGCTTTCTGCTCCTCCAGCAATAAAGTGCACCTATGACAGCTGCATTCTCAGTCATCATGCTAGAAATAGTTAAATGCCTGACTTTCTTTTATCTTCCTGTTCACCTGTGCTGTGTATGCCCACCCAGACTGCACATCATGAATCATTGAGCCATCTGTGTATATAGATGATGATGATGATATCACCTGGTTGAGTATGCATATAGATGAGAGTGCTTATTTCAGTTTCAGTGCCTGTTTGACTCAGTTCTATGCAATACCTGCCCAGGGTGATTATTACCCCAAAGTCCTCCTGCAAATTTGTGGTGTTTCTATCCATTCAGCACCGAGCCTGGCATGTTTCAATGGTCGAATTCGGCTCATGGTATCCTCTTCTTTCACTACCAAGGATTTCTCCCTCGTTAGGCGCTGACCTATGTTCACCTGTAGGCAGCTGTGCAGAGGGTGTTTTAAGTCAGTAGCAACACTCAGGTACATTTTTTACTGGGCCATCTTGTGTCTAGCGACTATGTCTGGCAGGTTGAGGGTGTGTCACAGGACATGAGGTGTCTGTTATGCAACTGAGGATCAGTCTCATGGATTCATTTTGCAATTTCTTTAGTCTTTCCAACTGATGTCTGCTGAGTGTGAAGAGGCAAAGCCCATAGTCACTGAGAGCACCAAACTCTGATAAAGCCTGAACAGCAGTCTTTGTTCCTTCTTAGCTGCTGCCACCATCCTGAGCACCACCTGGCCTCTGTTAGCTTTTACAATAACATTATCGACACAATATAAGATGGACAGACTGCAGGGATCCCTGGCAGGACTCTAAACTTTGTTTAAGTAATAATAATAATAGTATGCTGAATGGCAAATAAATATAATATATTTAAAATAATATGAAATGTGTAAACAATTACTTAAAAAGATAACTTGTATACATGGTTTGGGGGGGGGGGGGATTTGCCTAGACCCCTTACCAGTTAGTTGTCAATGGTGGGTGTTCAAGGTGCCTGAGCACCCAGGTTTCTGTGCCCCTGATGCCCAGCACTCTCATCCTGGTCATACTCTCATCCTGGTCATATACTCTCATCCTCGTCTTACACTCTCATCCTCATCTTACACTCTCATCCTCATCGTACATCTAATCAGACTGCTGCCCATCACTATCTGTGTTACCCTTCAACTTCTATCATGATCAGTGTGTACCTCTTACCTTCTTTTCTTTCCAGTGTAGTTTTTAAAAGAGTATTTTTATGTGTGTGTGAAACCTGTTCTTTCCAGTTTCTACATCTTCAGTGCCTCAGTTTATTTTTCTGCTTTTTCATTGTCTAGTCTCTGCACCAAAGTGTTAGGTTGAATATATTTAATATTAATCAATATTGTTTAGTTGACATTCTAAACTCACAGAAAAGGCAAAACAGATATATAATTAAACTGTCCTGGCCCATCAGAATTGGAACTCTTTGCTGGCTGCTGAAGATGAGGACAGAGTGTTTGTGGAATGTTCCAAGTGCTGTATGTCAGTTCTAGACTCAACAACAATAGCTTAACATTAGACAGTGCTGTTCTTAGTGTGTTTGTCACTCTAGATTGTAATATTTTCTTCATCATCGTCACACTGGATAGTTTCGTAATTTTTGTAGAAGTCAGCTACATCTATTGGTCTTCAAAATATTTTTACTATATTAATTATATTCTCTTTTTGATTCCCTTTTTACTTCTGCCATCAACTGTCATTACATATCCAAGAATAAACCTGTCCTTGTTTTCTTATCTATCCATTTACTGTTTTTTACAAAGTTGGTTTTCCATTGCTAATTTTCACAGGTTTTGTTTTAAAAAAAAATCTTCCACATTCTACACCACATCAAGTTAATTGCTCCATTAGGTCTTGGAAATTGGTTATTATTTTATTACTTCTACTTGCCATATAATTAATCATTATTTAAATTTAACATTGATTACTCATTTAACAGATCTGGTGTATTCTCTGAGTTCAAACATGGAACAGCAAATAAAGGACGCTTTGTCATTTCTCAATCAATGGGATTGGATTCACAACTTTCAAGTCAAGGATATTTTTGTGAAAGAAGTTTTTGAAACTATACCTCTTGAGGTACTGCTCAGTCACAAGTTGTTTTGTAATTACACTGTTGAAATCAGCAGCAGTAGTGTTACTACTAATAGTAGGTTGTAGTAGTACCAGTAGCAGCAGCAGCAGTTGTACAGTGTAGACATCTTTAGGCAATCTTGGATGTGCCAAATTTCTGTTGTGAAGAACAATTTGGTTATCTTCTTCTTCTTTTCACTACTCCTGAAATGCCTCGTGGCATCATGGCAGGAAGAGATCTCTGGAAAGGGCCCTTTTGCTACTTTGCGTATTGTACTTTTAATGTCTTTGATATTTCTGCGTGGTTGACCTCTGGCTTTATTCCTGCTGTATCTGTAGAACATTACTTTCTTTGGTGCCCTATCTGGTGCCAATCTCATTATGTGGCCAAACAACTTCATCTTTTGTCTACTGATAAAAGTTGAGTATTGGTTCTGTAACGACTCTCCTACTGATATCATTGTTCCTAAGTCGATCTTTCCTTTTTATACCTAGCGTAGTACATAAACATTTCATTTTTGTCAAAAAATATTTATCGCAGGCAATTCTTCCTTGCTTCCTTGCGTAAGAAGAATTTCTGATAAGAAGAACCATTTCTTGTGTCCCCTGTCTTTTCCTTATCAGATCTGCACTGTATTTATGGTGGTGGCGGTAGCAGTAGTAAATGTTCTTGTAAATAGTAGTATTATTTATACTTTCGGAATCATGCCTAGCAAGCTACTTATGGTTAACAAGTTGTTTTATTTCTGAACAGTTGAAATCTCTAGTAGTAGTAGCAGCAGCAACAGTGGCAGCAGCAGTATTAGTAGCAGTAGCAGCATCAGTAATTAGTAGTTGTAAGTAGTAAAAGTTATGCCAATAATGTTCAGCCATTCTAACTAGGATATATCGTAATTTCAAATAATGGATGCATTTATTTTAGTGTCATACACTACACATTCTGATATTTCATTTTGCATAGATTGCATAAGCATACCATTTAGACATAGATACTACGCCGAAGCTACGGAGTGCGTGCTGTGTGCTGTTTGCTTGATATGATCTTAATCAGACAGTTACTGGTGCCATTGATATTATAGCTCTTCGCTTGCTGCTGAAGATGGGGATGGAGTACTTATGTGAGTGTCCTGAGTGCTGTGATGTTGATTCTTATTTCAGCATTCAACATTCAACATTAGACATATATGTTTTTAAAACTGTGCTTTCAGTCTTCACTCCTTATGCGACTGTTAACACACAAAAACATGCAAACGTTGTGCAAGGTATTGCATTGAAGATAATTACAAAAATCTGTTACAAGTAATGCTAAGCCACAAGCTCAGAGGTGTGCATTAATAAAACTTGCAAATTCTTATTTTCCCTGATTACATTCTTAATAAATCTATTTCAGTGGCTTGCTCATTTACAGAAATTAGAAACAAAAGAGATAAATGAACTACCTTTCATGGACACTTTATGCAAGCACATGGTTTGTTCTCCTTTTATTTAATTTTTTTATTTAAATTTGTTAGTAGCAGTTATTTAAATTTGGCAGTGGCCATTAGTCATAACCATTGACCGGGTGATGACGAAATGTTGTGTTGGAAACACAGGCATTGACTGGTAAAGAACACATTTGGAAGATTTGGATTTTTCTGATAGTATTGTTGTGCTAAGTAAAAACAACAGTGACCTCCAAAGAAAAACAGATGTTTTGGAAAGTAAAGCAAACATACTTGAAGTAACAGACCAGTTTACTTGTGGTAATGCTGATAGTTAGTGAAATAAATACCAGTTGCCAATTGCTGTCTTTATTTTACCACTATTGTAGTGTAGGCAAGGGGGAAGAGGGGGGGGGGGGGGGGGGTTTGCCTGAGGATTTGGCTGGTGCTGTTGCCACGACTATGCAGGAGAGGATTTTTTTTTGGCCCCACAGAAAAAAATCCTCAGCCTCAACAAGGATTCGAACCTAGGTCTCCCTCTTGTTAAGAGCCCAGCTTTCTAACCATTCGGCCAGCCGCTCCTCACAAAGTAAATACACAGAAAGTTATTATTTATCTTGAATTCAGCACTGTACGAAAAAGTTGTCTGAGTTATTTATGGGCGAAACGTTACCTAGTGTAACAAGTGCGAAATAGTGAGCGAGAAGACAAGCAGAAAACATTTTACAGTGGGGAAAAAACTTTAAATTTTATAATTCTTTTCCCATTTTATGTCAGCCCTGAATTGGTATTCCCAGAAGACGCCCTGTATGATAGTTTTTCTGTTAAATCATTTAGTAAAAATAGACTACCATGGTATATGACCCACACCATTTTCAGACCCTATAATTTGGAAAATAAGTATGTCTTATATTTGTAGGAATATGGCAATTGTTATATAACCTAATATAATGCTAGGTTTACGAAAGAACCTTAAAAAGGAATGGTAACCTGGACATTGCAGCATGGATTTTTTAGGAGTTCCTATCTGACATTTCTGTTTCGTCATTTCATAGAGCACTCATTGATCCACCCATTACTCAGCACTGCATACATTTATAATAAACACTGAAAAATGTTTTAAAAAAGCCCCGCTTTTGAAATCTAGCTCTGACTATCATAACACACGCCTCTCTTTAGAAAATCATGCCTCTCTTTAAAAAATCACCTCATCCACAGTCTAGGTGTTCTTAGTCCAGGAGGCACCAATGTCCAGCATACTGTCATCTAAATAGTCTTTCCTGTTGTCTCAGTTTATTGTCATGCTTATTTTATTTTTATGCTTATTTATTTTTTTTTTTTCAGTTTATTACTTTATTCTGTTTCTTATCAGTACCATTAATGGATCATTCACATTTGTATTTTTACTACTCTTTTATTCCTACTATTATATTATATTTTATATTATCACCTTTACTTTTCTTTCCTTTTTTTTTAATACTTTTTTTTCAAGCCTTCCTTCATTTAATTTTTTTCATTCCTTCCACATCACCTTTTTTATAGTTTCTCGTTGCCCCCCTAGTGTTTGGAGTACTCTCCCCCTTGTAGTTCCTGTTCTTGTTGAGAAAGGATCAGCGCTGTCACGTTGTTTTGTGCACGTTATTCTGCTTCCCGATTTCGTTAAGCTTTTCAGTCATTGTTCATTGGATTAATTCTCTGAAATCATCTGGCACTGAAAGAGTTAAAAGGTGGTTCTTTACATTACTTAAGTAGTGCATGTTTTTGACCTTAATCTTTCCAGCATCCTGATTGGCCACCTAGTCTACACAGCTTCATATGTGAAGCATCCCATTTGTCTGTTGATAGAACACAGACGCAGGCTATTGCGCCTGCAGCCGTTGATGCAAACATGGCAAGAGGGATGATTCCAAAGAAATTCCATGAGGTTTCCTGGATGGCATCCCTGGTTAATGATATAGTTTGCAAGACAGACTGTAATCTGGTCGTGGATGTTGGATCAGGGCTGGTATGTTATTCTATGTAATTGTCATGCATGCCCGATGTGAATTGTAAGATTTATTTGCAGAAATACTGGCTTATTCATTCACAGTAAACTAAACTAAATATTAGGAAAGTTTTTAGGAAATGTGAGATCTCTTCATAAAGTTATATGAGAACATAGTTTACACATCATTATCTTATTTGACAGAATTATTCTACTTTTCTCTGTGTTTGGTGTTCACCAGCTGTATACTGTGGTGACAATTTCAGACTGTTGACCACTTCTGGACTAGTCTCATTCCAAGATTCGAGTCTTGTGTGCGTTTCCATTTTACAGATATGGCTTATTTGTATGCAGACTGTTGTTCCCTTGCCTTTCAGGCAGATGCACTATGACTTTGAAGGAAATCCCTGATTAGTTGAATCTTACTGTTGCTTGTTAGGAAAGCAGTGGGTCTGTTATTTTCTTCCCCTAATGGGGCCTTGGAACCCACAAGGGGATGCTCACTGTGAATTGTAAAATATTCATGTGATTTCAAGAGCTCCAGTTTATGGTAAGAGAAAGATTAGACCTACTGGCTGCTAACAAGCATGTCATAAGAGTAGACTAATTAGTGGTGTTTTCTTCAGTCAGAGTGTATCTGCCTGAAAGGTAAAGAATGAACAGTCTGCATTCAAATAAACCAGATCTGTAAAATGTGAGTGCATGCAAAACTCAGGTTCTGGAATAAGACTGAATATAAGGGTATGAACAACCAAATTTTTATGCGAGAGTTTGCAGCCAGCAAATATGCAAAAACAAAAATGAAGAAAAGAAAAAGAAAGAATTGTAAAATGTATTTGCAGAAATGCTTGCTTATTCATTCACAGTAATAAAAACTAAATGTTAGGAAGGTTTTGAGGAAATTTGTGATCTCTATGAAAAAAAGGTGTCAGTACTCACCCCAAAGTGTCTATTACAGTGGTTTTGAAAAAAAAATGCTTTAAAAAATGTACTAGTACTGCATACCATTGTACCACATTCCGTTATGGACTGCCAGGAAAAACTTCCCATTTGTGTAGAGAATCTAGCTACTGCTAGGTATTGAAACCTAGCCACAATTTAATGTGTTGTTTGTCAAATTGTAATTACCTTGCTTTGTTGAGATTTGAAAATTAATGTTAGTACAAATCTTATTTGTGTTATTCTCTCTAAATATTTATGTAAAAGGGGTACCTTGACCACGTTCTTCACCAAGTCTATGGGCATGCAGTTATCGGACTTGAAACGTCACAGAGTCATACATGTGCAGCAGAAGTTAGAGCAGCTGATCAAGGTAAGTTGTTTCTTTGTTTATCTGAGCAACTAATATATTCACAAAGATCTAGTCACACAGATACACTTTACTGTCTAAAATCTTTCAGTACCAGGGGGTTTAGTGTCAGTCCAAGGTCCAAGGGTTAGTTAATAAAGACATAAAATCGATACATCTTTCGTTTATTGAGCTTGTAGGTTGGAACCAATAAATGTATAATGTGTTCCTTGGGACTGAAAGATTTAATGTTGTCTCATAGATTCTTGTGTGGGACTGTTAATGTTGGCATGTTTGATAGCTGCCTTATGCCTTTTTATGTTGTGCATGCAAGCTTCAAGTTTTTGCTGTGACAGACTATTTTTTTTACCAGCTTTTCAAATGAGACAATGATGGACATTTTGCTGATTTCCACCGGACCAGGAGTGGAGCATGTATGGACTGACCTGTCGGCAGTGACATTGGAACCTCAGCTAAAGATTAATGATTAAGTTCTGAATCTCTAAAACCAAAGAGCCGGTTTTCCGGGATGTTAAAGCCTGTAATCATGACTAGTTTATTTTATTTACTCTTTCTTCCCCTTTTTTTTCCCCACACTTTTAAATGTTTCATTTATGATTATGAGTACATAAAAACTGACAGTCATTTTGAAAATAAGTTGAAGAGACAAAAATTGTGCACAAATGTGGGGAAATTCCACATCCTATGCAGATGCTGGTATTCACAGCCTCAGTTATTCTACCTAACCACGTGTGTATGGTCAGAAATCATCTCAACTTACATTCAGAAAACAAAGATAAGGAGATAACCAGAACTGCTGGAGGTAGAATACAAGTTTGTCGGTCTTTATTATGGCCAAAATAGAATTGGGGAGTAACTTTTCTGGCTTTTGTGTCTCAATGGAGCAGTGAAATTAAATGATTTTTGCTTATCCTAACCAAGAATGGCTCTGTGACTTAGAGTTTGGTGATCATATTTCACAACCCTTAACATACCAGGCTTCAATCTCCCTGGAAGGAGATTTGGTAAAAAAGACTGCTTTTATGGCTGTTTAACAAGAGTCACAGTATTGAAGAATTTGAGGCCTCATCACATACTGTTCCAAAAAAAATATAATGGATTTATATATATACTAGCTGTACCCGGCCACGCATTGCTGTGGCATAGTGTGGCTAAATGGAAAAGAAAGAAAATAGAAATTGCACGTGTCTAATATGGTTACTGTCGCAATCATTGTCTGCGCACATACTGAGATAGTCTTATATTTAAACTGATATTTATTATGGATGGATACTAATGGAGGATTACTGCGTCCTAGTGTCGGACACAATTTTCTGTTATTTCAAAACCCCCACCCTGGCTGTTTGCTGAGGGCCCTAATATAACCCGACTTATGGGTTGAACGAGTTTCTGGGACCTGTCACCGGGTGTTTATCGCTCGGTGAGAGGTCCTGGTGGGTTTAAACATCAGTCAGTCCATTATGGAGCTGGCACAGTGTTAAACCAAGAATAAAACATTTGAACACTACCTGGAGCAGTAAGTTATAGTTTTTGGAAACACCCTGTGTGTCGATTATTTTGTTAAATATGAAGGTATTACTTTTATTTATTTTCAGGTATAACTTGCTTGGGATTCAAGAGCATCAAGTTCGATGTTACTGATGATGAGAACTGTTTTCAGAAGTTTCAAGATGTTATCAGAAGCTCACCTGTTTCCTTTCACTGTATTCATTCAAGTGAGAAAGCTGTTTTTTTTTGTCGTCTTTTGTAAGGCATTTGATTAGCTGTAGGAAATTTAACTTATTCTGATATCTTATCATTACACTAGGACACATATAGACAGATATATTTTGTGACCATGTGTTTGCTGTTAATGTTTTCATGTATTGTTAGAGTTCCATTGTATTTTCAAGAATTACTACATTACCTGTCTCAGTGTGGGAGGCAGTTTTTCTTCATTTCAGAGCGCCACTCCTGCTGTAGGCGGGGTCCTAATATGGCCTAACGGTTGAATGGGGTTTCTGGAACTTGTGCCCGAGTGATCCTCATCCAAATGGTGGTACTTTGTGCCACCGGTTGTTAGTCGCTCGTATGGTCCTGGTGGGGTTGAAAAACACACACATTTTTAAGAACAGCAGCTCATGATGTCTTAATGTTAGTTTTTAAAAAAAAGTGAAATAAATTTTTAACATCTTGAGGGGTATTGAATATGTAAAGCTAACCCCAAATTTGTATGGACCAAACAGTACAGAATGGGGTGATTTTGTTAGTATCACATTACCCATCTGTACTTCACAGTACATTTTGTTGTGTACCAGTTTTAGCTATAGCTGACTTTATAGCCTAGTCAATATAATTACAACCACCCTAATCGATATTTAGCATATAAATACTGGCCGTCAGGCTCCCACATGTATGTATGTGCATGCGTGCTCTGTCTGTGTGAATGCCTGTGTGTGTGTATATACAAATATATATATATATATATATATAAATCGTCATCATATAGCAGGTACCTTGGAGAACTCGCTGTCATCACAGTCTGCCTGAAAACAGATCTGCATGAAACAAAAATTTGGTCTCTCGCCAGCTCTCCCGCCTCATGCACTTTCATACCGAAGAGTCACTTTTATCCTGTGCCCATCTTCGTGCTGGTTGGCTCCCGTCCCTCCTTCCTGGTGTCATGCCTTTTGCGATCGCTGTGGCGATTGATGTGTGTGTGTGTATGTGTTTGTGTGTGCGAGTGTGTGTATGTATGTAATATATAATTTGTAAATATATTATTTCTGTTATGCTTTCACTATACAGTATTGTCACTCCTATCAGCAGTGTAACATTCAAAGGATTTTTATAGATAAAATTGGATACTGTTAATTCAGTAACATAAAACAAATATAACCTTTAATATACACATCTAGGTAACTTTTCTACCCAAATATTTTATCTGGCATTGGTTTCAGTTTGTGTCTGCATAATTATTTATTCTCATTAAAAAGGAGAAAGCAAGACAATATAACAGTTACTTATAACTTGGAACATGGCTCTATCCTAAGATCTTTGTAGAATAAATACCAGTGCTTTCATGATATCTAAAATAAGAGATAGTTCACAGCTAAAGTCACATACTGAAAGAGCAAGCTACTTCATAGAGCTGTAGAGATCAGTCAGATGTGAGATGCACTTATGTTGCTGCAGGATGTACTTATGTTGTTTCAAGATGCACTTATGTTGCCACAGGACGCATTTATGTTGCTGCATGACACTCTTATGTTGCTGCAGGATGTACTTATGTTGTGGCAGGATGTACTTATGTTGCTGCAGGATGCACTTATGTTGCTGCAGGATGCACTTATGTTGCTGCAGGATGCACTTATGTTGCTTCAAGATGCACTTATGTTGCTTCAAGATGCACTTATGTTTCTACATGACGCACTTATATTGCTGCATGACACTCTTATCTTGCGGCAAGATGTACTTATGTTACTGCAGGATGCACTTTTGTTGCTGCAGGATGCACTTATGTTGCTGCAGGATGCACTTATGTTGCTGTAGGATGCACTTATGTTGCTGCAGGATGCACTTATGTTGCAGCAGGATGCACTTTTGTTGCTGCAGGATGCACTTATTTGCAATTAAAACCTGGATCAAGGCAGCCATTTAAACCATTCCTATAGAGAACACAATCACTAAGACTTATCCTTATTACATAAAAGCAATCAACCATTGTATTTAGACTGCAAATGGTACACAACAGATTCCACAGACACATGTACCAGAAGATTCAGGACTCAGAATGATGCTCACATGGTCAGGCAACGTATGGTACTGAACATGTGCTGCAGACTTGCCTCCTGTATTTCATAGAGAGATCACAGGTCTAGCCAGTTAACATTCTGGTGAGAACCAAGCTGTATAGGTCAGTGAAGGATATGAATTGCACTACAGCCTTCATAGAGACCTGTATTCTTCTCATATGAAAACCACTGGTAGGTAAGGTCAGACACTTCTTAATATTTGTCAGTTGTTGGGGATCAGTTGAGGTCTTTTTAATAGCATAGAAAATACATTTTGATGTATCGATCAGCATAATGGAAGCAGAGCTAAATGTTGACCCTGCAAATGATGGATAGATAGAATATCCAAGGCCCTAAATACCAGCATCTGTTTAGCACATACGAAGGCGGATATCTAATGCCTCTTCAAAACCTGATGTCGAAAGGCAGAAGAGGACCAAAGAAAGAGAAAAAAAAAGAAGATCAGCATTCATAGAAACAGAGATTGTAAGTTAGGTGGCTGGTTGTGAATCCCTTGGAAGAATTTTCACAAGTCCAGTGCCTTGGTGTTCAATCTAGTCAAAGCCTGTAGCCCTCAAAATGAGGTTGATGCAGAATTATGTCCTTACCGTCAATTATTTAAAAGGATAAAAGTTTACCAGATGCCTCTTCTGTACCTGGCACTGAAAAGTACAAGAGCAGTTAGAGAAAAGAAAGCAAGATAGTTGTTTGTGTGGTTCCCAGACATTATGAGTTATTAATATTAACAATTCGTCTTTTTCTTCTTAAATACTGAGTGCATATTGTGTGGTATTAATAATCATATCTATCCAAAACCTTGTGTATTACTGTCAATCATTTCTGATACAGATGTTGCAAAACTGTCCAGCATTTTCTCTCTTTGTGTCCCTCTGCCTTTCCCATTGTTACGACACACTCCTGTTTTTCCCTTCTCACCTGCTGGTGTCGGTAGTCAGTTTTTAACCAAGAAATCTGGATTGTCCAATGGTCAGTATTACTGGTATATTACTGTTTTGAAAGTAATGCACTGTTGAATTTTAATAACAAATATTTCTTCATTGGAAAACTTTCTTCTGGTAGTAAAAGAGTTAAAACTCATACGCTGTTTATTATAGTTCATTAGTTATTCGTGTTAAAAATATTTGTCCTCATTAATGAACCACCCTTCTTCTTTGTTTCCAGAATTACAGAATACTCAAGAAAGTTCTCAACCATTCCTCCCTAAAGTGTGTTTGATTGGCCTGCATTGTTGTGGTGACCTGTCATCTGCCATGCTTTCACTGTTTCATCATACTGACTTTGTCAGGGCAGTTTGCTGTGTATGCTGTTGTTACCACAAGATGGCATTCACTGATGGTATGTTCACATTTGTAGATAATTAGTTTTCATGATGCTTTTATATAATTTATATGGGTTGTGTTGGAAAATACAGTCAGATAGTCTGACTGGTTCTGCATCACTTGATGGTGAATTGATGCCTGACAAGCTGGATGTTGTAAGGGTCCTTTATGAACAATTTAACAGTGTGGAGCCAAAAAAATCATCATGGTTTCAGGAGAGTGGTGCTGCGAAATCTGGCCGACACTTACCACTTAATGGAGAGGTGAGATGGGTATACAGTCAGACGGTTACTGGTGCCATCAGAATTGGAACTCTGCACTTGCTGCTGAATATGTGGTCAGAACACTTCAGGGAATGTCCTGAGTGCTGTTTTGTCTATTCTTAATTCAACAACATATATGAGTTTGAATAGGCATAGTCTCCAGGCATTTTTTTTGACAGTCATCTGCATTCTTGACTAATTTTTTAATAGGTATGGTTTCCCCATACATAACGTGCTTTTCTTAATTTCTGATGCTGCAGTCAGTCATTTGCCACATTAACCCTCTAAACTTATAAATACCACTTTAACATATTTTGTTCTATGTGGCTATTACTTTCAGTACTGTAAATCAAAGATATTTAAAATAAAAAAAAATACTTGTATAAAATGAGTTAAGCTAATATTTGCTGAGACTGAAAGAGTTAACCAGAGTTACTTTTGCTCTTACTGCAAGAAACTGCCCACTTTATGGTGATCTGTACGATCAGGTTTTTTTTTTTTTCACTGGTAGTACACGCTTGTGTGGGCGGCGTCCGTGGCTAAGGTGTTGCGAGTCCGACTCGTAAGCCAGTATACCGCGATCGAAACCCACTGCAGGCTGCGTGGATTTTTGACGTGGTATGGGACGTCGCAGGTCGACCCAGCCTAAAATGGGTACCAGGATGGGCTGTCCTGGGAAAGTAAAGACAGCCGGCGTAATGCTGACCACATTATCCACAGAGTGCTGATGGTCTGTAAAAATATGGGACGCTCTGCCCATATGCCCGATGCGCCGAAAGGCGTGAAAAGGGATCTTTACTTTACTTTACTTAGTACACGCTTGTGTGCAGTAGTTTCACTTTTGTAAGGAATTTTTCTCCAGTGCTACTGAAATAGATACTGTTAGGTGCATACTGGCATCTTTTAAAATACTTTGTGATGAGCACTGACATTTTTTTTCTAGGAAAAAAAGCACTGTACATGAAGAATGGTAAGCTATTGTAGATGTAAAATGTTAACACATTGTTACAATTTACAGGTAAGTTCCTCAAATTTCCAATGAGCTTAACAGGCCAAAAATATTACCAGGATCTTCAGAAGAGACTGGGTTCATGGCAGTTGTCACCTTGTACACTTCGTTTGGGTGCTCAAGAAACAAGGTAGGGCTATGCTAAATCCTGGACCCATTTCCATCCCTTGATTATCCCTTGTGGTTTCTGGGGCCCCATTTTAGATGGAAAAGAACAGACCAACTGCTCCTTAACAAGCATACAGTAAAGCAGCGGTTCTGAACCTGTAGGTCGTGACCCCTTTGGGGGTCAAACGGTCATTTCACTGGGGTCGCCTAAGATCATTGGAAAACAAATTTTCACCAAAATTATGAAGTAGGAGTGAAAAAAAATTGTATGGTTGGGGGTCACCACAACATGAAGAACTGTATTAAAGGGTTGCGGCATTACCTAACTACCTTTTTAAGAGCGAATGCAGAAAAAGAGGAATTGATTTGATTTGAGCATTTGGTGATGTGTGCCATATATTAATTGTTCATTCAATGCTTGGAGAGTAGTATGTTTAATTTGCAAGGCACCTTTACTTTTAAGAACATTTTCTGGTACCCATTTCTAGGTTCTATCAACCTGGAAACCCTGCTGAATTTTGAAACTCCACCTCGATGGTAATTGCTACCTACAATCACTGTACTGGCAAACTGGCAAAGGTGCCAGTCACTGTGCTACTGTAGTTCACCGGGAATTAGTTTTTACTTCTATTGTCCTACTGCTTATGCCATTAAGTATGGCAGAAAGAAGTTAGATGTAGTTTTCTGTGTTTTGCTAGTTGTGTAGCTTGTAGTAATGTCATTATGGGCTTCTGTAGTGTCTCTGTTACTCCCTCCAACAGTCTCTTTCTTGGCCAGCCTCTTCACTTATAGCTTGCTGCTCTATGTAGTATGCTCTACCTGCTGGCTGATTTTGTTCCATTGTAACCATGTGATTCTTTGATATTCTGTAAAATCATTTACCAGTAATGTGCCCACTATTGTTGTTAGTTCTTCGTTGGTGGCTCTGTCTGTTATTGTTTCTCCTGCCACATTTCATATACATTTAATTTCACATATTGTAATTGTGCATTTATGTTTTTATATGACTTTCCATGTCTGGCATTGATAGCACAAAGTTGTTATAAATAGTTTGTTTATCAGTTGTTGTTTTTAAAAAAAAAGGGGGGGGGGGGTGTATTTACTAATTGTCTTTATTGCCTGCATTTAGCACTTATAGGGCAGTGTCGACTGGAGGGTCTTGAGCCTTAGGATTTACAGCAGATAAACTAGTTCAGCCTCCACAAACTATTTATTTGGATTTTTTGGTTGCAAGGGGGGGGGGGGGGGGGGGGGGGGCTTTCTCCTCCCCCACAGAAAACCTTTCTCTAGCTCACAGAGGATTTGAATCTGTGTCTCCCTCATGGCAGCACTCGACCAACCGCTCCTCATAATTAACAATGATTAAAATTGTGCATTTTATTCTTAATATTTGGATTATTGGATACATAATACCCTTGAAGCTAATTAGGTATTATTGGTTGTTTTTCCTCCCTATTACTTAGATCTCGTTGGAGAGCTCAGACCTTAGATGATCATGCGAACCACATACGACATGTTGCCTTCAGAGGACTGCTTGAGATGTTGGGTAAGAATTGTGAGTTTTATTGTTGTTATCAATCCATCAGCATTCAGATACAGTGTCTTATGAAGATAATTTTATTTCTGAAGCAATTTTTTTTTTAAATTTGAGTCATGGCAAAGTTGTCAAGCCATTTACATCTAGCTATGAAAGTTGTGATTTTAGTTTTAAATTGGGTCTTTCAGTTCACAAATGCAATTTATTGGACACATCCTGAGGGGAATGTTGAATGTTGAATTAAGAGTTGACATCACAGCACTTGGGACACTCCCATAAACGTTCTGTCCCCATCTTCAGCAGCAAGGGCAGAGTTAAAATTCTGATGGTACCAGTAACAGTCTGTATATCTGTCTCGCCTCTCCCCCGAGTTTCAAGTGTCGGCCAGATCTCCTTGTAACTCCTCGCAGTGAGGGGAAACAGACAGAGAGTCATAAAACAGGCATTGAAATGAGGAATAAATGGTGCCAGACTGGATTCCATACATAAAATTTAAAAAAATGCACATGATAGAATGGAATGGAAGAATCTGGGATTCCATTTTGGATAACAAAGAATATACCCACCACCCCCCCCCCCCCCCCAAACCCTCCCCTTAACGAGCAGGTCATTTAGTCATTTAGGGTTGTTTGCTTCAAAACCGGAGTGCATCTGCCTGAGAGGCAAGGAACCAGCATTCTGCATACAAATGAGCCAAATCTGTAAAATGTCTGTGTACACAAAACTGTGGTTCTGGAACAAGACCAAAGTCAAGAAATGGATGAATAATCAAATTTTTTGGCTACATATTACAGCCAGTGAACATTAAGAAGAAGAAGAAGATACACAGGTAAATGATATTTTAATATTTATTTTTAACAACTCAACAACACCAAAATTTGCCATGGTTCTTGGTATACAGAAATAGGAATCTGCATAACACATTAGTTGTATATCCCTTGTGTGTGTGTGTGTGTGTGTGTGTGTGTGTGTGTGTGTGTGTGTGTGTGTGTATTGAATCCCCGAGAAAGAGACAAATGAAATGTTTAGTTTGCATTCTGAGTTTGCATGTTGCAATCCAACCCCAGTATTTGTTGTTGTCTGTGGTTTGACTATGCAATTTTACATTCATTTGTATGCCCTCGCTTCTGAATGGTCAGCACTTAATACCATTGTCAAAATCAGTGCAAAGCGACCTGCTGCAAATTTCCTGCAGGTGGTATCAACCCAGGTATTTTGGAACCTGAGCGTTGCGTGTGCACCCATTAGACAGATCTGACACATTTATTTGCAGACTGTTGGTTCTTTGCCTCTCAGGCAGAGCACTCCGACTTCAGAGGAAGCTCCCAGTTAGTCCACTCTTACGACGTGCTTTTGGGAAGGCAGTGGGTCTGTTCTTGTTTTCCCTATAATAGGGCCCCGGAACGCACATGGGGGTTTGGAGTTGTGAATTACATTCTTATCTCATAAGAGCCACAGAGGTCAACAGTAAGCTGCATGCAGGTGTTTAATTACTGCCTGACAGCATCAGTACGATCAACCTGACGTGTTATTAAATCAGTAGACTATACATTTTGAGGGAGTCGCCGTGGCGTAGCGCCTAGACGCTCACGTGTGGATCTGAAAGTCGTAAGTTCGCTCACTGGCGGATCAAGACTTCTTTGAAAAATAACCTTGACTCTTAGGCCGACCCATTCTTGAGTGGGTACCTGGTGCAGTCCTGGGAAGTAGAGGCGGCCTGCCTGATGCTGACCACATCACCAATCTTGTGCGATTGGTCTGTAAATATATAGGTCTAGCCCTCTTTGCCCTATACACCTAAAGGCTTGGAAAAGGGTTGTTTGCTTTTTTTTTAACTTATACATTTTGAGATGAAATGAGTCTAGATCTATATTATTTGACATATATCCCTAATCAGCAATTAACAATTTTTTTTTTTTCCAGATTTTGAAGATTCTGCGACAGTGAGAAAGAAAGTTAGAAAATGTGATTTCTCTTCATTTGAAAACTTCTTACAGTCATATTTCAAATCTTGTAATGTTTCAGAAGGTATAAGCTTTTCGTTAGTTACTTTTCTATGTATTTATGTAATCATTTCTCATGGACTTTAACTGTGTATTATTATACCTCTCTAAACATTGGAGCAAAATAAGAGCAGTTTTTAATATTTGTGGTGTAGGGTAAAGAAAGAGGTATAGTATCTCATGGCGTGTCGCAGCCATATTCTAATGTTTCTTCTTCTTAGCATTGACTGGCTGTAAACTCCGTCAGAAAGTTCTGGTTGTTCGTCCATTTCTAGACTGTGATCTTGTTTCAGAACTTGAGTTTTGGTTGCACATCAATTTTAACATATCTGATTAATTTTTATGCAGTCTTGGTTCCTCGCCTCTCAGGCAGATGCACTCTGACTTCAGAGAAAACTTTCCTAATTAGTCGCCTTGTACGACATGCTTGTTAGGGAAACTGAGTCTGTTCTTTTTGTCTCCTCAGAATTCAGCCCCGGAACTCATGCTGGGATATAAGTTGAAATGAAACAAGTTTGCAGTAGTGGATTAGGTCATTAACAATTCTACTTGCTGACAACATACCACAAGCTGCATTCATATTTTAGACATATTGGAATTGGGTCAAGAACTGACATAACAGCATTAGGAGCATTCCCTTTAACCAGTGTTTTCCAGTGTGGGGCCCATGCCTCACAGGGGGGCAGTTTGATTGCTGAGTTGGACAGTTTGATTGCTAAGGGGATAGTTTGATTGTTGGGGGGGGGGGGGGGGGCAGCTTGAAAATGGACTCATTGAGAGTTTGAGTTACATAGGGGGTCATGAGAATTAGAAAGGCTTAGGTGGGGCATGGCACAAAAAATGTTGTGAAACACTGCCTTAAGCTCTTTATCTTCCTCATCAACAGCCAGTAAAGAGTTAATATACTGATGGTAGCAAAAGCAGTTTGATTGTATGTCTGTCTACGTTTCCTCTAAGTGCAATCTCAGCCAGATCGCTGCACCATTTCATTCTCTCCACATTGTTCACTTGCTCCTAAAGGGTCTTGACCACATCTAGCTTCTCTTGCATCATTTCACTATCCAGCAGTGCAACACCAGCCAGTCTGCATGACTTTGCCTAATATACCTGCAAAATCTGGAAAAAGAAGATTCAAAAGGCACTAACTACAAGAAATCTCGTGTGATTCCACATGGAGATGGTTTTTTTCCCATCTTCCTCATCTTTATTAGTTGTTACAATCACAACATATGTGTACAGCTGGTTTTTGATACTGTGGAAACACAATGGAAGGATCAACAAGTGTTGAAGAGGCAATGAACAGCAACTTTTTTGTAATACACAGTAAAGCCTTGTCTAAAACGTTAGTCTTTATGCTGAATTCAACAATAAGAAGAGTTGTAGTGATCATAGTGGAAGCAATGATGGTAGTAGTATCCACCTATATAATGAGAAAAGATATTTTAAAATGGTTAGTTACAGTTAGCTTTCATTGTGTAATTAATTTCCTGGTAGTAAAAATGAGACAAGTATATGTTTAGTTAAAGCCAGTTTGTACTGTAATGTTTAATTTAATGAAATACAGTGATTTTTTAATTGTGTTTTTAATTACTTTATTGAGAAACAAAAGATCATATGGTTTGGTTGTTTACTAAGAATGCAGCCAGAATAACTACCAACGCAGATGCTACACATGACAAGATCTGATGTAAAAGCAAGAGGTCGGCCTAGGAGAACATGGATTGATGACATTAAAGAGCCTACATTGACATGGAATGACAATGGCCATTGCTGCCCATCAAGCAATAGATCGCAAACTTTTCCTTCCCATGACTCTTAATGGCAGAAGTGGAAATTTGTGATGATGATTGAATTCCCATGTAGTGGTTTGAGATAAGGGAAATATTCAGCAACAGCAAATTTTTCTAATCCTTAAATTACCATGTAATGGAATGAAACGTGTAAGAACAGCAGTGCATGTTGAGTTTCTGGTTATACAGTGAATTACCTTCCATTGTATTTATTGACTTAATTTATGTTTCATTCCAGAATTGAGAGAAACAGTTATTTCAGCACTTAGAAAACTTCACGAGAAGCACAACGATAAATTTGATTTCATAGAGATTATTACTGTAAGTAAATGTAATTAGTAGGAAAGTGACTTGTTTATTTGTAGATCCTGGACACATAAATGATGCTAAACAAAAGAAACCCATTTCAGACTAGTGGTGTATTGTAAGGTTATGGGTAGTAACCTATTAGTGCTCCGTTCTTTCTTCTAACTCAAGTCCGAGTCCGAAAAAGCTCAGCACAGTGCACAGGCTCTGTAGCACCGGCGAAGATCTTGAAATACTTTGGGTAGATTTTTAGCTCCAAATTTGATGCTAGACTTAAAAGTTTTGTACACCAGCTGGGTGTTACTTCCCTGGACTTTACTTGATACCAATTCTAGGTTAAATAAATGCATTGTTTGAATTATTGGTTAGGGGTGATGTAGGATTAAATACAAAGCAGAGAATGAAGTAGATAGAAAATGTGAATGACTTCATTATCTTTTCTTTCACCTTGTACCTCAATGAAGTATCATGTGAATGACTAGCTCTGCAAGATTGTAAAAGGGCAGCAACGTATTTCATGGTCTTTATCTGCAGTTGTTAAAATCAGTGAAAACACCATACAGTATTGTAGTGGGATGACATATATGTAAAGAACCATTTTTACAACAATGGTGCATCAAACACATGATGCTTGTTGTACCCCACTAGGACATCACAAAAACGATAAACACCCGGTGACACAAAGTGCCACCATGCGTATGATGATCACCTGTGGAGAGGTCCCAGAAACCTCTTTCAGCCGTTATGGTCACAATTGTGGCCCAGCAATGTTCAGGGCCCCCAGGCAAAAGCCAGGATGGGGCTTCAAATAACTAAAAATTGCATCTCACAAGGTGATTGCACACATGATGCTAGAATTATATATTTATAGACCAAGTGGAGTTACAATAGTTTAGACATGCATGCAAATGGGAGAGAGTCAGCAACAGCAGCAGGCATGGGAGGCCAAGAACTGGGGAACCGAACCTCCAAGATAATCCAACATCAGACAGTCGCTGACTGACAGAGGACTGGAATGGAACAGAGCCAAAAGAAAACAGCGGATCGAAGAGTCTGGCAAACTCTCTGGCAAATACTACGTCCCAAGGTAGAAGAGGATTGGCTAAGTACAAGTAGACCTTCACTTGGTGGCTGATGTGGCCAGCCTTGTGCTAGCCACGTCTACTTTCCAGAACTGGGTTCACTTGGGAGGCAAACCTAATTGTGGATAAAAATAATCAGACATTATGTGGATTTGAACCCAAGATCTTGAGGCTGGCAGACCAGCATCTAGCCACTATGTCACTGGGGTTTCCTGTGGCACAACACCACTGTAATTATGTATGGAGTCAAAAGTTTGTTTTAATATTTCACTAATGCTGCCTGAAAGTGGCATCACTGGCACCAGGGCATAGTACAGTTTAAATCAGTAGTGCAATGGTTGGCACACTTGCCTGCTGTCCTAGTGTTGATAAGTTCAAATCCCATCAAGCCACATTTTAAAAACTGACATTGGCTCCTAGCCCTCAATGGGTAATAGGAAATGTTCAGGGAAATGAAGGTTTCAAGCTCATTCAATGTAGCAACTGGCACCGGGGAATATGCTTAGGGGCAAACAAGATTGATGTGATGTTAACCCCATCACACATCCTCCCAGCACCAGTCTGTCAAAAAAAAAAAGAGTACTAGCCCATTTACCCAGTACATCTCAAGGCATGGAAAGATCCCTTTAGACCAGGGCTATTCAACTGGCGGCCCATGGGCCAGATCTGGCCCCACGGAGGCCTAGCAAGTGGCTCGCTAATCATTACCAGTTGTATTGTATTAGTGATCTTTCTGGCTATACTCGATTTTCCCATTTCTGGCCCCTGAATAAATGTTGAATAGCCCTGCTTTATACGCATCAGGCAAATAAGGCTAGACTCATAATTTTAAAGACCAATCGACTCTTGATGGGTGATGTATGTAGTCAATATCACTTCCAGCCGCCAAAACTTGCCAGGACTTTACCTGGTACCCATATAAGGCTGGCTTAACCTGGGAGCCGAGGTCATGTTTAAAAAAAGTATTGCAAGGGTGAAGTCAGAAACTAGACTGACTTTCTGAGTAAAAGGCGAACTATATAGTCACTCTGCCATGTGGAGATAGACCCCCAGCTGAAGTTTTTTTTTTTTTAAAGTCCCTTTACACGTTGGTGGTGCATCAGGCGTCTTCTTCTTTCATTCGCTTGAAATAAATTATTTATATCTGCAATGCTGTCTCTAGTATGAACTGCACTCTCTTTTGTAATTCACTTAGCGACTGGTAAAGTTTGGCTTCCGCAAGTGTCTCTCATGGCCAGAAGTTTTGCCTTGAAATGTTGTACTTGGCACAGTCTTGGAGGATGTGATCTGTTGTCTCAGGTGCCAGTCGACATGTGCACATGGCTAATTTGGAGATCTTAAATTTTGTGTACATGTGGCTTAAACCAGTTGCCTGGTTCAGATAGTAGTGTCCGTATACCTGGTAGTTTTCTCACACTGGAGTGCCTGAAGTACCGCTTTTGCATCTGTTAGGAATACCATTGTATTTTAAATATACCTAGTATTTAGTAGTTTCTCTGCTGCTATCTTAATGGCTTGAACTTCTGCATCTTAGTTGTGACAGTGCTTTCCTATTGGTATTTTGGTTGCATCCCTGGTATTATTAGAATGGCTGGAGTGGCTATTTTACTCTGCACACTGTTTTGTTCTTCCATGGCAAATACTCCTTTCACTTGTTTTGATATGTATTGAAAACTTGTGCTTCTCTCTCCAGGGGTCAATTCTGGAACCACTCATCTAAGTACTAACCACACCTAACAGTGGTATAGCTGTATAACATTGATGTTACATAGTCGCGTTATTGCACTTTGTTACTAGCTAAAGAATATGTTTGCAATTGTGTTTGCTTTCAGTGTCTTCAGATGATTGTGCAGCCAGTTATAGAAGCTTTAATATACAGAGACAAGGTTTCATGGTTGTTAGAGAGAGGGTGGACAGATGTTAATGTGATCCCTATTTTTGATGAGCTTCTTTCACCTAGAAATCTGGCTATTGTGGCCATTAAACCTAGTTGAAAAATATATTGTGTTTGCTTATTCATGTTTCACACAGAATTTTTCATTTATCTGGAATGAAAATTATCGATGCCTACCCACTGCCTCCCGGGAAGTAAAGGCGACCGGCGTGATGCTGACCACATCACCCAACTTGTGCCGACTGGTCTATAAAAATATAGGTCTAGCCCTATATGCCCTGTACGCCTAAAGGCGTGGAAAAGGGACCTTTACTTTTCTTACCCACTGCCCAAATACGGCAAAATAAATGACCCTTTTCATGCCAGTGGTGAATACGGCAGTGATTTCCAAACTGTGCCCCGTGGCGCCCTGGGGAGCTGCGACCTCTTCACAGGGGCGCCGCAAAATATTGGAAGATACACAAGGTTTTATTTTAAATCTCTTACAAAGGAATAGTCATACTTAGGTGGAAAAATTTCAACTGAAAAAAAGGCACTGCGTCTAAGAAAAGTTTGAAAAACACTAGCATAGGGTATAGCTTCCTCTTCAGCTTTGTTTACCGGCTGTAAGCTCTGAAGGAATGTCCTGGTTGTTTATCCATTTGGACACTGGCTTTGTGGCAGGGCCTGAGTTTTGCATGCACATTCGTTTGACTGGCTTACTTGTGTGCAGTAGTAGTTCTTTGCTGCTTTGGCAGATGCACTCCGACTTCGAAGGAAGCCCCCAAATTAGTCTACTCCTGCGACATGCTTGTTTGGGAGGCAGTGGATCTGTCATTGTTTTCCCCACAGTGGGGCCCCAAAACCGACACGGGGAGTATCGGGCATATGATATATATTTTTATAGACCTGTCAGTCTTCAATGGGTGACTTTCTTCTTTTTCTGCCTTTTTTCCCCCCAATGGAGCAAAGGCCCTCAACTAACTCCGCCAATTTGTTCTGTTGCATGCAACTCACCCAAGTCCACCCAATCCTTTTAACTTCACTCCTTAGCTTTCCTCCCCATGTGTTGTTTTCCTCTGTGTTTATTTCTATGACCAACTGGGTTCCAATGCAAAGACATTCTAATTGTTAGCAGGTTTTCTCAACATGTCCTATCCAACACCTGCATCTTTTCTTCACTTCTTGATCCACTGGAACTTTTTAATTTTTGTCCCAAAGCTCAACATTAGTGATTCTACCAAACCATTTAATTCCAACTATTCTGTGCAGGCACTAATTAATCATTGTTTGTAGTTTCTTAGTAACTGTTTTAGTTATTCTTCATGTTTCCGCTCCAAACAGCAGTACTTATTTGACATTAGAATTAAACATTTTAAGTTAAGTATAAGTTTTTAAATTTCTTTTGACCTCCACAAATTTCCTAGTGCAATGGAAGCTCCTCTTGCCTTTTGTATTTGTATTTTAATGTCTCTATATCAGGTCCCCCATCTTTATTTGCATTACTGCCCAAAAAGGTGTATGACTCAACATCTTGGAGTGGGATATCATAAGAGAAACCACATCGCTGTTTGTCTTATTTATTCTTTTATTTTATGGATTTTCAGACCTAGTTGTTGTGATCTTGCATCACGTATATTTAATTTATCTTGTATCTTATTCTGAGTGGGATAGAATATAAGTATCATCTGAGAAATCCAGGTCATTAGACTGTTTTGTAAGGGTCTGTTGAATTCCATTCCCGGTATTAGCGGTCTTCATAATCAAGTCTACTGCCAGTAGAAATAGGAGAGGTGACAAATGACATCCCTGTAGCTTTCCCTCATGAATAACTTCACATTTCATGTCTCTATATTTTGCTTTTACCAAGTTAGTAATTGTCTGTGGGATTCCATAGTGCCCCATTAATTTCCAGAAAGATTCACTGTCAATGCTGTCAAAAGCTTTTTTACAATCTACGAAATGTAAAGTAGTGAATTCAGTTCAATGTTCGGCTCTGTTATTATGTGTGTATTGTGGCTATATAGTCAGTACAGGATATGTTTGCCCTGCCTGTTCATCTCTTAACTTTTAATCAGTAGCATCTTTTAGTTTTTTTCAAAATAATCCTACATATTTTTCCAGAAACTGACAGCAACATATTTCCTCTATAGTTTTCACACTCCTGTAGATCACCCTTTTTGGACAGTTTCACAAGATATCATTCTCTCCAGTCTGCCGGTATTTCTTCAGTCCCACAGACTTTACTAAATAAACTATGTAGCAATTCCGCTGATATGTTTATGTTGGCCTTTGATAGCTTCTGCTGGGATACCTTCTGGATCTGCAGCTTTTCCTTCTTTCAGAAATCTGATAGCTTTTCTCACATTTCCTCTTTAGGTGGTATCTCAGTTAATATCTAGTTCAATTTCTAAAGACTGAATGTCTGGAAGGATCTCTGGAGCTTGTCTTTTCAGAAGACCTTTACCTGGTACACATTTTAGGCTGGGTCAACCTGATAAAGCCAAGGTCAATTTTGAAGAGAAAATCAGACTCGATGAGGATTGAAACCCATGAATCTCAGGCCAGCAGATAGTGCTTCTAAGTGCTACATCACCGTGGCTCCACACTGAGAGCTAAACTACCATCTATTTATCCTCAGTAGCAACAGTGGAAGATAGTGATTTTAATAACTGAAACAAATGATTGTTACAGTGCCTACAATTATATTTTTTAGATATAATTTTAATAATTTCAGTGGGTGAATTAGCTGTTGTAATCTGAGGCACTGACACAAAGATAACATTGGGGGGCAGAAAGGGGTGTGGGGGGACTTTTCAGCATGGAGGGTGAACAGGTTGAAGGCTTTTTAAAGTGTGGAAAATTAATAATGTGCTTAATGGCATAATATATTTCAAATAATATGAAATGTTAAACAAATACTTCAAAAGATAACTTCTAGGGTGGGTTTACCCTGTATTTTCTAGGAAGGGCTTGGCCAACAGTTTGTATGTGTGTGTGGGGGGAGGGGGAAGAGAAAGGGTGGGGAGAGGCTCAGGGGGTTAAACACACAGGTTCCAATGCCTCTGGTTGTAATCTTGTTCTTTCCTAATGCAGTCTTCATGAGCAGTATTTTACAGTCTTTCTGAAATCAATCTAATACTAGTAAAATTAAAAAAAGAAACAATTTATAATAATTAAAGACAATGTATAGTGTGCTGTCATAAAAACAGTGTTAATCGTGTAGTGACAATTAGTAAAAATGGAAATGAGATGTCTCATAAAGGCTGCAGGAGTGACGAGGAGAAATAAAACCAGGAATAAGGTCATAAACAAAAAAGTCGGCACAGAACCAATTCTAAATTACATACAAAGGCAGCAAATCAAACGATTTACACTTAGAGAGAACCCCTTGTGAAACCATACAAAGCACACACCAAAAGAAAAGGCACTAGAGTAAGAGACAGACCAAGAACAAGATGGAAAGATAACACCAGAGAGAGATGCAACAGCACAATTTGTTGAGTGTCAGGGCAGCCAGGAGAGCAAGAAACAGAACCTTATACCTCCCTTGACACCTGGAGCAGTAAACAAACTAAGTTGAGAAGAAGAATTTCGTATGCAGAGTCAGTATGTTGAAAACTTTTACTTGCAGCATGTCGCGTGCGAATGTGCACCAGAACGCACCAGTACGGAGTGAGCAAATAAGACGTCAAAACAATACGTAACGTTGTGAAGGATTGTTGTCAAAGGCAGTTGATGTTTATAGTCCGAAGGAGACGGACGTGTGGATCCTTGAGGACGCTCTACCCCGGGATCCCACGGAAGCAAACGTTATATGAAGTTGGATCCTTGAGGACGTTTTACCCCGGGATTCCAAGATAGACCTCAGCAGGAAGCTGGTGAATACTACATTCTCGGCAGTAAGCCGGTATACTTTCATTGCTTAATTTGGACTTGTCCGAGGACAAAGATAATCGTCTGGATCTCAAGGTCGGACTGCGACCTATCGTGAGGACATATCAATACATGGATGTACGAGTGAGCTTTGGTTGAACGAGTTGATTATTGATTGCATACGTATTCTTGTGTTGATCATTGCAATTGTCAATACACAAATGGAACTTTTAAAGAGAGTTCTCGTTCTGCTACGTTGGAAGCTTCAGCATTCATCATGTTGTGTTACTCTTGGCCAGTGGCATGTTAAGTGTTGATGCCATTCGTTACATTGCGACACCCCTAGTCACTTTTACACTCGTCAAATCAATGAAGCCTACGGAACGTTAAGGACCGCACGTCACACAGCAGCAAATTTGATTTTAAATTGTCAAATAGAGAAAGCATTAACCAGGAAAGCGAACATGGTCAACAAACTGAATGTTTTGGCTGAAAGTTACATATATCACGGCTCTTCTATAAACAGGTACAATGAAAAGTTCCAAACTAACATAAACTGGAGGAAGACAGCATAATATTTAAATAATGTGCTTTATAAATTTTTAAACAAAAAACAACAAAAATCTGCTTGTAAATAGCAATCTTAAAGTGAAATTAAGTTTCTGTTCATGAAATGCATAAATTGACTATAAAGTGAATTCAAACATTGCTGCAAGCGCAAACATCCTTTATAAAATAAAATATCCCTAATAATGTTTTGTAACTAATTAACTGTCAAAGAAAGCTGTGAATTGTCAATATATTAAGGCTTTTATATTGTTAGTATAGAATGTGATCTCCTATAGCCCACATTCAAGTTTGTATGACAAGCATAAATAGCATACAGCCCAAAATAGTGGGCACATAGGTTCAAAAGATTGACATAAACACAATAACATTTTCTGCTTATTATTTTTATTATGATAATTATTGACAATCACTCAAATTAATCAGCTCTAATGTCAAATCAGTATTTTTGCATGAAGCTGAAAGATGGAGAACAACCAAAACAATTATTAATTAACCAAAAACATTCATCAACTGGTGTCTGTGCAGAATAAAAGGAATTAAATGGTATAACAGAATCGCTACTATAGAGCTTTGGGAGAAAACTAAACATAGTCAAGTCAATCATGAGATCAGGAAAAGGCACTAATGTTGGATAAAACACACATTGAGAAAACTTGATAACCATAATGTCCTTACACTGGAACCAAGAGTGTGAAAGAAATAAAGGCATTCCACAAAAAACAAAAACCACAGCTGGGGAAAGGAGTTAGAAAATGAAGTAGATCTTCTCTCTTTCTATTTTCTTTTACCCCGCGATGACATCACACAAGTGATAAACACCCCACGACACAAAGTGCCACCATGTGGATGAGGATCACCTGTGGAGAGGTCCCAGAAACCGCGTTCAGCCATTAGACCATATTTATGGCTGGGCTATATTGCGGCCCCTGGCAAGAGCCAGAGTAGGGCTTCAAATAACCAAAAATTGCATTCCAAAAAGAGATGACAAGGTACACACGCACTATGAAGTGGAAAAAAAAAGATGGGAAGAAAATGGGGTGAGCTATATGCAATAGCAATAGGACAATGTGGGATGAGTTGAAGGCCTATGCTCCAATGGGGGATAAAGAGCAGAAGTAATACAATTGCACTGTTGTGAATCTTAAACATGACCTAATGTAATTAATAATGGCAATCATGATGGTGCAGTAACTAGCACACTTGTATGTGTGTCAGGAAAAGATTGTTACAAATACTGACCTGTCTTATAGCATAAGGAAATTTTCTAGGAAGTAAAAGTGGCAACCGGATCATTTTTTGATAGCAGTATGGTCTCAAATGAGGATAGTACCACGTATGCAATGTGTCTCATTGCATTAAAAGGAGCAATTAGTTACCTTTCTTGATTATTAATAACAATACATTTTTATTTAGGCATATTGGGCATAGAGAGCTATACCTATATTTTACAGACCAATCCCGACTCGGTGGGTGATGTGATCAACATCATGCTGGCTGTCTTTTTTTCCCAGGATTTGACCCAGCAACTATTTTAGGCTGGGTCAACCGAGGGCCAAGGTTTTTCTGTTTTTCAAGTCGCCCAGTTCAGATTTGAACAAACTACCTTTGGATCCGAAGATGAACATCTAGCCGCTACACCACAATTTCTTCCTTGGTAAATTGATAAAAGGTCCTTTTCTACACCTTAACTCTTTCTGTCTCAAGCAATGCTTCATGTGCACTTATCTAATGTGTATCAACACAATACACTGTGTGTTATTATTTATTTCATATTTGGTCTGGGTATGCAAATGAAATCTGGCGAAGTGTTTTAAATGCAGCACAGCATATGCTGTATCTTTGGAAGTCAAACACTTTCACTGTAATTTTTATGCCAAATTGGGTTTCTACTTTGAAACCATCTAGGATTGAAATAGCTAGGACATAATGAGCATACGGTGCTACTCCTATATTTTTTTAAACTAATCAGCACCAAAACAGTGATGACAGCAGATATGTGATTGTCCAAATTCTATGGTAAATTAATGACTTAATTCTGCTTACTTAAATTACTTAAAGTTATATATCATATATAATAACTGTATAGGAAATCCCTACTTTCCTGGTCCCCGACCACTAACTGGCCAGATACATTCCACTTTCCCATCCCGAAGTCCCACAACCCACTCATGCATGTTCACAGTCGGGTCACAGTGACCTGGGATCAACCACACTAGATCTCCCACCTGCAGGAAAACAAATATAAATGTTATAAAATCTTAAAGGGAGATATGAAACAATGACATGTGAAACTTAGGGAGTTGTGAAGATCTACATTAATGATGAAAAAATGCTTATTCCTTAAGAGGGGTCTGAATATCTAAAACAATGATGCATAAAAGTCCAATTCTTCAGAGAAGTATGAATATCTAATCTAAAACAATGACACACAAAAGTCCAATCCTACAGAAAAATACCTAAAACAATGACACACAAAGTGTAGTCCTTCAGAGAGGTATGAATATCTAAAACAATGACACTAATAGTTAAATCCTACAGAAAAGTGCGAATATCTATAAAAAAAAAAAAACAACAACTACATTATCTCAAATGACACAGAAATAAATCTACTAGAGGGCTTCAAAAGAAAACCTTAAAAGGCAAAGATAAATTAAAATAACCAAACTATCATCTTGTAATCTGTCATTATCATTGTAAAGGATGTTGAGAGTGTTAAGCATGTGACATCACGGTACAGATGAACATGATGATGTCGTAATGACAGTTTAAAGATGGTCAAACCTTTTTTTAAAAAGATTTTTTAAATTATTTTTTTAAACATATATATTTTTTAAACGTTTCACACAGTAACACACACTGACTTTAACTTTATATCTGCATAACTAGATTATTTTTCAATGGTCACTGCCACACCAGCTGTCTTTACTTCCACGACATTTTCCTGATACATGCTATTCTAGGTCGATCTGGGAGCCAACGACTTAAAGAATTGCCTCGATGAGGATCTGAACCTATGACCATTAGATGGGCAAGCAAATATGCTATCTACTGCATTATTAATTCTCCTGTTTATAATTTACCATGACTATGTGTGCACCGTCTAAATAAAAAAAAAAAAAATTATGTATGTAAATTAATGGCTTTTAGTGCAGTTGTAAAGCCATGTTGTCTATGTAGAAGAAACATAAGGATATATCCCTGCATCATGCTCATTTAACAATTAATAGTACACCTGGATTCATATGCTAAACAACTAAACAACATATGTATGTGCGGTTGTATATTTCTACACTGTACACAGAAAGACAGACAGAGGCTGACAGCAAGAAAAGATTCCTGAAAGCCTTCTGTCATAGCATGGAAAGCTGTCTGGAGACCGCAAGACATGAAGAAGCATGATCACCCACGCCAGATAGCTAGGCATTTGATAATGATATGCAAGCAATTTCTTCTCCTCCTTCTTTGCGTTTGGTTTTGTATGCTCAGATCAGACTATCAGGTGGGTTGTCTCTATGAACTCGCATGTCAGCAGGTCCTTCATGGTTTCCCATAGCTTGCTCTGCACACTTTGCTTTTGAGGCCATGTGTCTTTTCGAAGTTGTATGTAGAGTGGGCAGATCTGCAGAAGGTGCTCAGGTGTTTCTAAGTAACAAACTGGGGGATATTATTTTTCTTTCCTTTATCCTCCCAAGCCATCCCATTCTTTGCCTTTGTTTGCAGCTCCCTATCTACCCCCATCTAACTTTCTTCTGCAGGATGTTTTTGTTTTGTTTTGGTGGTTTTTCCCTGTGGGTTCCAGTCAGAGAAAACCCTATTATGAAATTTTTTTTAGATCCACTAGAGTTTGCTTAGTTCTTTCAACAATCTCTACATCTTATTTTTTAATTCTATTTAATGCAATCTTTTTGATTCTACACAATTTCATTTAGTTAGCTGTGTTCAACCCCAGCATTGTCTGGATGTTTCTGGTTTCACTAAGCAATTTTACCTGCAGTAGTTTGCCACTGCTTTCCAAATGTTCGACTTTCAATATCACTGTCAAAACCAACGCAATGCGGTCTACTATCACACCAGTTATAAAGTAAAGTAAATGACCCCCTTTCCATGCCTTCAGGCATACTGGGCATATAGGGCTAGATTAGTATTATATTGACCGATCGCCACTCTGTGGGTGATATGGTCCATATCCCGCCAGCCACTGTTACTCCCCAGGACTACACCTGGTACCCATTTGAGGCTGGGTTGATCTGGAAGCCAAGGTCATTTCTGAAGAAAGTCCACACCAGCTATAGATCGATATAAAAAAATACACTTTTGTCCTACCTTTAGACCACCGTCTGGTATAACGACTCCATGTTCATCCCCTCCATTGTAGTATGTCAAATCAGGATGGCCACTCAGCTGTGGATGTTTTGTTATATTAGAATGTTCATTATGCTTTAAAATAATATTAATCACTACAAGACTGTAAAGATAGAAAAAAAATATATACTGTGTAATAAAAAATGTGCTGAAAGGAGCACACCTATGCCATAGATTTGACACTCAAAATCTTTGTAATTTAATGAGTGAAATTGTTCAAATTGCACACAAGAATTGCACACAAAAGAATGGTTAATTAATTAGTTGAACCCTTAGATATAAGGGTTCAACTAATTAATTAACCATTCTTTTGCATCTGGGGGTCAACAGTTTCTAGGCGTACAGACCTTTCCGCCAACTAATGAAAACGTGCCATCAAATTAACTATGTTTTTTAACAGCATAGTTCTGACAGAAGAAAAATAATGTATAAATGTCCAGTGTGGATGTACAAAATAATCTGATGTGAAAGATAAACAGTAAGTAAAACATGTGGTAACCAGCTTTTTAACATCAATGTTTAATATTAAATGAAATTAGAAATTAAATAAAAGCATTACTACAACTATTTCATTTACTATAAATACTGTGTAATATTCATAGTGACCAAATAGAATAAATAACAACAGAACAATAAGATTAGGTATTAATTTTACAGCAAATTTCAGAGCAAAATTTGGAAGAAGAGATGTAGATATTGCTTTTATGGACTGTAAAACGGCATATGATAGTGTACATAGTAACAAGTCTGGAATGCCATCGAGGACTTTGGAATACCAAAGAAGTTAATCACCATGACCAAACTATGTATGGAAGACACTTAATATAGTAACATACAAAGCTGGAAAGTCAGACACTTTTCAAATAACATCTAGTTAAAGCAAGGTAATGCTCTGTCCCCATTTTCAACCTGGCCCTGGAGAAATTTATGAGAAGACTGTATTATAGGAGAAACTACAAGAATACTTGGTAATGCAGATGACACTGGTGGTGCTGTTCATGTTTCCAGGCCTAGGATTAGAGTAGCGTCCCTTGCTATTCATGCCTCCTTAGGTCGCTGGACCTCTCCTATGTTGCATGGGAGGCAGATATGAACTGAAAATGCATGTGCCCATGAAATATAAAAAAAAAAAAAAAAATCAGTTTTCTACCCAAGACCTAGTGTCTTGAAAGTGCAAGTGAGACTGGAACACCAACACTAGTGAGAGTGAAATAAACTCACCTTTGGAACACCTGAGTCCAGACTATGTGCCTTGAGACCTGCATCAAGAATAGCTCGATCTCCAGCCTAGGAAATAAGAAGGTTTGGTAGGGTTACTACATTGAATGGCAAACAAATATAGTATGTGAAATAATATGAAGAGTATAAACAAACACTTAAAAAGAGAATATCTAAACATTTTGGAAGGGAAAAGGCAAGGTGGGGTGCATAAGGCTTTCCACCTTGGGGGAGGTGGTGCAAGGTGCCCAAGCTCCCAGGTTCCAGCACCTATGCTTGCCTTGGTTGTACGCTTTCACATACTGCTGTTCACAATCTCTTGACGCTTTCATCCCCTGCACATAATTGTCTATCTCATTCTTGCCTCATTCAACGTTTCCCTACTCGACGGTGTTTAAAATTTTCTGGTTTTTTTTTATAAAAGATTTTAATGTTTTACGTGGCCAAAATATTTCACTTGTGGGTTGTTGTTGTTTTTTGTTTTAAAATAATTTGTGTTTTTTCTCTACTCCTGTAATGTCTCACAGCATCATCATAGAAATAGATCCCTGGAATGAACTCTTCTGCTCAATCCTTATATAGTACTTTTCAATGCCTCCGATATTTCCACAGTCCATATTCTGTGTGGTCAGCTTCTGGCTATGCTACTGCTGTATCTGTAAAACACAGCTCTCTGTAGTGAACTGTCTGTTGCCATTATTGTTACATGGCCAAACCATTTGATCATTGTCTACCGATAAAGTTCAGTGCTGGTTTTGTGCACAGGCTCTGTAGAAACGGCAAGGATCCTGAAATACTTTGGGTAGATTTTTAACTCACAATTTTGCCCAGGCAGTGCCGTTAGGCTACTCTTGTCGATTTCTAACTGCCAAGGGATTTTTTACGTGCGCAACAATGCAAACAGGTGTCTGATCTCAGGGGGAATTACTAGTAGTCCAAGTCCATGTGAAAAAATCCCAGCCCTTACTGGGGATTAAACCCGGAACCTCTAGCACTCGAGGCATGCACCATGCCTCGAGACCACGCAACCCCCTTATTCTTCGTAAGAAGTTATTCAGTAAACTATTAACCTTGACAACCTACCGCTACACTCTGGACTGTACTCAGCACATACAGTGACTGCTGGAAGTCTGAGACAAACTGTTCTTTCACATCGAGGTTCTTGCCATAATCAACATCCATGAAAACATACGAACCCTGTGTTCAGTTCAGGAAGACACAATTCATTTTTCAGTTGTGGGTCTTTTTTTGTGTGTATTTAAAATGGAATTACTGAACTTTTTCTGTCCTGTGAGAAACATATTAAAAGTAAAGTAAAGGACCCTTTTCCACGCCTTTAGGCGTACAGGGCATTTGGGCTAGACCTATATTTTTATAGACCAATCGGCACAAGATGGGTGATGTGGTCAGCATCATGTCAGCCACCTTTACATCCCAGGACTGCAACCGTTATCAAATCAAAGCTGAGTCGATTTAGGAGCCAAGGTCTTTTTTTAAAAGTCCGGCTCCGCCAGGAAGCGAACCCTCGACATTCGGATCTGTGTTTGAGCGTCTAGCCGCTCGGCCATGTCGACTCCCGAGAAAAATATTACTAGGCAGTTAAATTACTGCTGGTCTCTCTTTTGGAAGACCAAAGTTCAAATCCCTACAATGCTGATAAATGTATTTGTTCACTTGTGAAGTTCTTGATTTTTAAATAAACCAAAAAGGATACTGGCTGGACTTCGGTAAAAACTCCACTGCTGGCTTCATATTGAAATGTGCCTGTTCCACCCCCAGTAATATAACTACAATCAATGCCCCTGTCTTTTAAAGCCTGGAAAGGAAAGAAAAATTGTTATTTCAATGGCACACACACAAGAACAAAATACATACACACACAAATACATTTAAGTCAAACTTCAAAAAAAGGGAAAAAACATAACTTACTATTTCTTTCTCTGTTGTCAGTTTCCACTTTGTGCGACTCATTGTGAAAGTTTAATTGATGACTGGTTGCCAAGCTAGGACGCACTGATTTTCTTGGTACGCTGTGAAGTCTCAGGTTGTCAGTGACTCCTTAAGCCCATCTTCTCAATTTCCTTCTGCCACCTGGTATTTCAATTTAATGTTGTGAATTGGATTATCGTCAGAGCACTTTGGGCACATCCATAGGTGCTCAGATCCCCCCCTTCAACATATTCATCACTGTCGCATGGTTATAGTGCTAGCCCTTTGCTGGTTAACAAGACTTCTTGTGCATCCAGTGTGCCTCTCATGCTTGACTGTACCAATCTTTATACTCCTAGTTCTCATATTCTTAGCAGTGAATAGGGACATTGGACATACTGCTCCCAAAATGCTCAGATCTTCCTATCTCTCTATGGGCATAATAATGTCAGAGCAATCTGTAGGCCAGCCATCTGCAAGTAATGCAGAACCTGCTAATCTATCAGCTCCTTCATTGCAAACAATACCCACATATCCTGGGACAAATATGAAGGCAACTGCACACACAGGAGAGTTTCACAATGACTCAGTCCACAGTCTGCATATGGAGCCTGCCCCGACCCGCCATACAATGCTCGCTGAATCACTCGGCACACACACGTCTGAATAGTCATGTCAATCCAGCAACAGGAAAGCTTGTGTCACCACTATCACCTCCATCGTCATGCTGCTGGTTGTCATGAAAGGACGCTTTGGGCTTCTTGGTCTGTTCTGCCTGCAGAGCAAGCTGTAAGTACCCATGCATTCTTATGTACTCATATGACTGACATGTCTATGTAGATCAACAAATCCTCCTCATCTGACTTGTCGCTGATAAGCGTGCAGACCTCAGCATCGACAGCAATGGGATTCTTTTCCCAAAAACTGTTACCAAGTGTGACGACACAGGAGCAGGTGTGACTGACTGTTTCAGGCACTGGTATCCATTCCATTATGTTGTACACACTTGCTGCCACTTTCATTTTGTTCAGCCTTTTATAAAATGAAGAACACTGTGCAATAAATCCATGTCATCGGAGGTTAGGAAAAGAATTCTCGCAAGCTATATAAAGCCAGTTTTAACATACATGTTTTCAAACATTCATTCACTCCACATTAATTTTCTTTAAAGTTGCTAACGACACCACTTAGAGATTTGAACACCCTCTTCTTTGTTACCACTGTGAAGTTCATTACTTGTTCGAGAAAGTTCACCAGCCAAAACATCGTTTTGTGTTGTTTTGTGCATGTTTTTCTGCGTCCCCATTTCATTACGCTTTTTTGTCACATTTCACTGGAATTCCTTGTTTCCAAAAAAACACTTAGTAACTCTGTAAACCTGGCAAACATACTATATTTTAGGCTTTTAACCATATTTCCAAATAAAGCTGATGTTCAACACTGTGATATCAAACACAAAAAAACTGGAGGGGAAGTTTCAATTGTGCGGTTCACGATTTTACACTGCTCAGTGGTAAATTCAAAATGTTTCTGCGTCAAGCACTGACTGGGCGGCGGGGTAGTAACCGATTAGCATGTGATGCATTCCTTTAAACTTTAAGTTTAAAAGGGCAGTTGCCATATGTGAGTTACAACTAGGCTGTGACATCTGTGACTTTTAGCCCAACACATGTGATTTCAGCAAACTCCTAATTAGTTACATTTTACAACATGCTTATCAAGGGGCAGTGGGTCTGATCATGACCGGCTCTAGCTGACGGATCGTGCTACTGATGTCACCGGGTGGGGCTAAGGATGCCTTAATGCAACGGTTCTCAAACAAGAAATAAACTATTTTTGACAGTGGTGAGGGAAGACAAGTTAACTCTTTGAGTCCCAAACAACACGTCATGTGTGAATCACTCTATCTTATGAATCCCTTCTCCAGCTGTATATGCTCTCTCACTCTTTGTTTTAGGTCAGTACACACTAAAGAAATCTGGCTTGTCTAATAGTCAATAGTAATGTTATATTTATGTTTTGAAAACAATGCACTGATAAATTGTTCACCACTAGTACCTCCTACGAAACCTTCTACTAGTACTAGAGGAGTAACATTTTAACTTTTAAGTATCTACTTGCCTTCTTTAATTATTTCACAATTTTTAGCCATTTTTTAAAAATTATTGCGGCGGCACCGCTGGCATATGCTCACGACACCACACGGTGCCATGACACCCAGTTTGAGAATCGCCGCACAAACTCATCATTAGGCCGACCCGGTGACGTCAGCAGCACAGTCTGTCAGCTGGAGCCGGTCGTGGCCCCGGAACCCACGTGGGGTGTCCATCAGTTTGATAACTATTAGTTATACTCTATAGAGCTAAATAACTAACATGCTAACAGTTCAATAACACACAATAAACACACCTTGATTGACTTCACTGTCTTTTCAATTACCACACCAACAGCTGCCTTTCTATCAGCTGCACTTCGTATGTGCTGGATCTTGCTAAAGCAAAAGTAGACATGAATTGGTAAAATGGTATGTATAACTATATAATTAACCAAATAACAAAATCAGTTTGAACTGTTTCCCCATGTGTAATAACTGTCATGAGTTAAAGTCCATCTCTGGCTGAACAGGGCCAGTTTGGGCACAGAATGGCTTAAATGTTGCAATAATCCTCTGGCTCATGCAGAATTGGATCAAATCATGGTTCAGCATTTTTTTGTTTTTAAATCTGTCTGATCTTAGGGGAAGAGAAGAAGAGGCAGACAAAGAAATACTGAGATACAGAATCTGACTGACTGGTGAGACCTTAAATATGCACAAATAAAGTCCACTGCATCTGACTAAGAAAGATATTAGGATCAGGCTATCAACAGCAACTGATGACCCAAGAACTTGCAGTGTTATGAGACTTCAGACTGATTTTGAATGATGAATCAAAAACCTACATCACAGCACTCGGGACACCCTCATAAGCGCTCTATCCCCATTTTCTGCAGCAAGCGAAGAGTTAAGACTGAAAGACTGATTTTGATGATGATCATGATGATGCTTATGAACCTAGGGTAGTGAACCAGGCATACAGACATCTTGGACTAGGGTAAAACACACAGATGACCCAACTGCACAATGCACACATTAAAAAGCCCTCAGCAGCTTCTCTTCTTCTTTGTTCACCAGCTGAAAGCTCCAGCAGACAGTCCTGGTTGTTCATCCACTTGGACTCTGGATTTGTGCCAGGGCCTGAGTTTTGCATGTGCATCCGTTTTACTGGCTTATTTGTGTGCAGTTGGTTGTTCCTTGCTGCTCAGGCAAATACACTTTGATTTCGAAGGAAGCCCCCAATTAGTCATCTCCTACGACATGCTTGACCTCAGCAGCTGAAAACTGGTTTTTACCGAGGCTAAACTTCTAAAATTAAAAAGCTACTCACAAAAAGAAAATGTTGTAGCAAGCCTAAAATGTTGTAGCAAGCCTGGTTTTGATAAATATACACATCTGGTATCTCACCACTGCTACAGAGTTCATGAAATGTGCCGAGATTTTCCTTGTGTCATCTATGCGAGGGAAGTGGCTGGCCGAACGATTAAGAATGCTGGGCTCTCATGCTGGAAACTCAGGTCTTAATTTTCAATGAGGTTTTATAGGTTTTTCTCATTAGAGGGGAAATTTAAGTCCTAACCTGCACAGTCATATAGTAAATGCATTAGCCATGAGGCCTTAAATCCTCAGGCTCTAAGAGCAACAGGTTTACTTATGTAAATACAGTGTTCTGATGCATGATATGTTATATTTTATACGACAGTGCCCCATTCAAGTGATCTTTGCAATTTTCTGTGTATTCTCGCTTCTGATGATTGACTGTGATTATTCCTCTCCCTCAACCTTTCTACCTCTCTCACTTTCCATTCCTCAAAATGTTTGTAATGGAATGAACTTTTAAACAACCCTTTTCTAAATACTCTGCTAGCCCATTTTTATACTCATTAGTATATATCAGGCGATGTGACATATATCACGGCAGCTGCCTTTGCTTCTATGATAAATTATGGTACCATTTTTAAGCTAGGTCAACATGGTCCTTTATTCTGGGAGCCAACAGTCTATTATGTATGATTCTAATAAAACATTCTAAAGCCAAATGAGAATGGAACCAGGATAAAATATAAAATGCATGCACTGTAGTTCATCAAGAAAACACTCAACAATTCAAATCACCCATTGTAACACTGTAAACCCTTAAAGTTGATATTTGGAAGAGATTTGATCTTTTCAGCCAGTTTCAAAACACTGTCACCAGGTTCTACGCCACACCTGCAATATAAAAAAAAAAAATGCATGTTCAAATATATCTGCATAACTGTAATAACTGTAACAATAAGCAATGTCACTCTAACTTTACCAGTATAACCCATACATTGCTAAGGGTTTCTATGGTGAAGTGGTCAAGCCATTTTCCTTACAGTCTGAAGGTCGTGGGTTTGTTTTATGGGCTCATCATGCAATTGATGAGTGCAGTTTTTACAGATTTCTTTAGGAGCTTTATGCCTTTACGCTTTTACCCTGAGAAGTAATAAATCTGACACTTCTGATTGGTACTATTTCTCCATAAGAGCCGCTTTCCCGACTCGCTAGAGCAGGGCTATTCAACTAAGTTTACTCAGGCGCCAACATTTAAAAATGGGGATCGTCATTGGCCAGATACCCCAGTCCCAGCATAGAAAGATATTTAATTTAAGACAACCAGGAATGATCTGCTGGCCGCTTGCCAGGCGTCTGCCGGCCAGATTTGGCCGTGGGCTGCCAGTTGAATAGTCCTGCGCTATAGAGAAATGTTTATGAGACATCTAGCTAATTTCATTGCATCTGTAAGAGTTCCGTTTTTAAAAATACAGCTTTATTTACAGAAATTTCTAGGTAAGATGTTTTCCTATTTGCTACAGCGGTTACCAGGCAACTGTGTAAAAGGGTCAAGTAAGTGTCACACAATAATTAGTTTACAGTCTTCAAGAGATGTGGGGCAGTTGAGTCTATGCTGCATTTTTTGTACTGATTACTCCACTTACTCTATAGTATCTGTTCATGGCTTGGATGATAAACTGATTTTCTGTGATTTTTAAAATTTGATTTGATTTTACATTTCTGGGTGGAATATTCGAAAAATGAAAACTGTAGCAGCCTGAATTTGATTTTTTTAAGTCACCGGGGCGAAACGGTTGAAGCAATGGAGACTTTAGTATCACAGTTTTTAAGCCACCGGGTTGAAAGGGTTGAAGCAATGGAGACTTTAGTATCACAGTTTTTAAGCCACCGGGGTGAAAGGGTTGAAGCAATGGAGACTTTAGTATCACAGTTTTTAAGCCACCAGGGTGAAAGGGTTGAAGCAATGGAGACTTTAGTATCACAGTTTTTAAGCCACCGGGTTGAAAGGGTTGAAGCAATATAGATTTTAGTATTACAGATATTTCTGCTAACAGAAAAAATACTGAGAGGGAATAAAACAAAACAGTTACAGAACAAATATAAACTAATAAAATCTTGTACCTGTTGCCACCAACATTGACCTCAACGAGGACGTCTACAGTCACACCAAGTTCCCTGGCAGCTTGACTCAGGTCTTCTATATTTCCCTCACTATCTACACAAGCTGCTATCTTAGCATAGCGAGCCAGGCCAGCTAGCCTCCTCAGTTTTTTTATGCCAATTACCTGTTGAAAGTTATTTTATTATTTTGTAATACAAAATATGGCACTTTTCCAAATACCAATCCCAAATTATTCAATGAGAAAAACATCCCTTTGAAAGCCTCAAGAGGTTATTTAGTAAAAACAATTAGGCCATCATCATCAGTATCCACAACTGCCGCTGTTGCTCGATGAATAGCAATGTTTAGACGTTAAGCTGAGCGCTGTGGGTAGGAAAATGTTTAGACCGGTATTCGGAAAAGTGCCCAAAATACATCTTTCCCTCGGCTTACAACCCATGCAATTTATGATCAATCACACCTACAACCACAAACAATAAGTACCATATTTTTCGGCATATAAGACACCCCTTTTTGTTTTTTTAAATTAGGCTTGTCTTATACATTGAAGGTAAACCTACGTGTACCTTTTTTTCATAGATTCCTGTGATATGGAAAAAGATAGTAAGCGTCATTCACACACCTCATGTTTTAAACACCAGATGATTAAATAAGCTGAAGAACAACACAGCATTGGGGGAGCAGAATATCGTTTCAGACCTCTGCTGACGGAAAAAAAACATAAGCCTCTGGTGGTCTCAGCAGGATGCTTTGTGCAAAATGAATAAAGTAAAATGCAGAAAATGTGCAAATTGGCAGGGATTACAGATTTGTGTATTTGATATGGGTGCCAGCATTAAGTCTGAGTCTTTTCTGAAAAATGTATGTCCATATATATGGTAAATAAAATATTTAAATCAGGAAATTCCTGGAACTGAGGCAACTGAGTACATATTATGTACTTTTCATTTTATGTATAACAATGTTTTATGTACAATCTGTATAACCCATTTGAATAAAAATAGTGTTGAAAATATAAACTGCCTTACGATCAGTTCAACTTATGATGCATTTGTCAGAACGGAACTCAGTCGTAAATCAAGGGACCCTTCCCTCTATTAACACTTAGAGGAAACACAAAAATATAGTAAGTAAAGGACTCTGTTACGAGCCTTGAAGTGTGCACAGTATATATTTAGTATGTATTACTAAATAATTTTGTAATACAACATACCCCAAAATCAGACGACAATTTACACTCTCATAAAAATCATACAATATAAGGAAAAGTTCAAGGCAAGCAAGCTAGTGACAGACTGCATTATACAGGTGAGGACATCAAGAGGAGGATGAACAGCACTTTGAGAGTGTTGGAGATCCACTTCAGCCAACATTAACTGTGGACACTGCACCGGATTGATTGATTTTTTAAGTAATTTAACTCATGCAACATCCATTGAGTCTTTACCTGATTAGACAACAGAATATCTTCAATGCCCCCTTCAACCATTGCCTCTGCTTCTGTCAATGTCTGACAACACACACCAACAGCCCCAGATTTGATCTACAAAGGTAGTTTGATGTAAAATTATTATGTAATATGCTTAAGCAAATCAAATATGCCCAAAATATTTGTGCAAAGTATGCATAAAAATACAGTGTACAAAATATTATAACAGAATCACTAATTACTACTGGATATCAGTTTCCTGATGAAATTAGGTTTTATAAAAATGGAGGTGTCATCCCCATACTTCAGCCTCCAACCTGGATGACCCTGAGACAGACCAAGAAGACTGTGGAGAGATAACATACAGTCAGACCTACAAACTCTTGAGTTACCAAGTGGAAGAGAAAGCCAATCACAAAAATTAATACATCAATCATCATCATCAATTCTCTTTATGCATAGTGGCACATAAGGCTTCAGAGAGGACTTTCCCTGCTTTCCTGTCCTGTGCAACCTTCAGTGCAGTTTTCCATGTCAGAGATGCCACACTAAGATCATTTTCCATCGTTCGTCTCCATGTTGTTTTTGGACGCCCCTTCTTCCTCATTCCCTCTGGCATCCACGTGAGAACTGTTTTGGCAGGTATATCAGAATTCATTCTCATAATGTGGCCAAGCCATTTCCATCTTCTCTTGATTATACTATCTAGAGTTTCTTGGTTTGTGACTTAAAGTAGTTTAGTGTTTGAGATTGTATCTGGCCAGAATATTTTTTTTTAAAGATTAATACAGACAAGTGATATCTACAACAATGAACCTCAAGGGCTCAGACTAATGAAGAAGGTGAAGTTTACTCATTACTGAGCCTAGGGAGAAAATTAAAGAAACTCTAGCTTATCAAAAGGTATGGGAAAAGACACTGGCAATGGGTATGACACACATTCTTCTTCTTCGACATTCAGGGCCCTTGAGGTTCATTGCTGCAGATATCACCGGCCTTCACTCATCTCTCTGGCTGGCCTCATCTTTCCAGTTGGTGACACCAAGTGTTTGCAGGTTTGTCTGGACATTATCTCTCCATCGTCTTCTTGTTCTGCCTAGTGGTCTCTGACCATTCAGCTCCCTTGTGTATACAGTTTTTACTTCTCTGTCATCTGACATTCTCTCAATATGCTCCAGCCATTTCAGTCTATTACCTTTCATAAGGCCAGTGATCAATGGGGATTTAAACAGATTAGGAATTTCATTGTTGCTTCTCACTCTCCATTCCCAGCTGTTTGCATCTCTGATGGGTCATAAGAGTATGTTTGAAAATTTGTAATAATAAATAAATAATGACACACACTGAGAAAACGTGATAGTGTAACCATAATATCCTTCCACTCAGAAACACAGGGTAAAGATGATACAGGGAAACTTGAAACTGATGTAGAAGAGATATGGAAACCCTGATAGCAGGGAGGACAGGGAAATGAACAGCAAGGGATGATAAAAGGTAAGATGATTAGGTGTGAGTTAGCTGAAAGTCTATGCTAAAATAATGAGCACAAGAAATCATACAGAGAAGCAGCAAACTTAATCTTTCCATTTTTCCTATTAGGCTGTTCAGAAAGTTCTTGAGCAGTGCGGACAACAGATAAAAGCCGCAGTAAGTGTTGGATTAGCAGTACTATTCTTTCTAGTCTGCCTCTGTTTCTCTGTCCTGTGCAACCTCCGCTGCCTGGCAGATTGATGCACCATGCCTGAGGAACATATGCCATCCAGAATGGTCTGTGTGTTGATACCTTTTGGCATCAACACTTTTGCAGCACAATGCACCAGAAAGCCTCCTTGTCTCTTGCCTATTTTCCTTTCTGATGTATTTTCAATTACATTGTTTCCGGTTTCTCTGAGACCATCATCATGCTGTCCTACCTAGGCTTTAGTCAGGAACCATAACTTCTATTACAGTTTTTCCCTAAACCACTATGTCATTTAATATGACCAAAATATTTGTTTTTGAGATTTGATTCTGTTTGAGCCAGTTTTCCTATAAGTCCAGATTTAGCTTAGATAAAGAGAAGAAAACATGACAGTATTTTTTTTAAAGCAATAGTTATATCTACCTACAACAGAAGAAAGGAAACAATATAATGCATACCTGCCAGTTGGCTCAGTGGCTAAGCACTTCTTCTTCTTTTTATTCTTTTGTGTTCATCCTAAACTGGTGAGTTTTTCCACCAGATTTCAGACAGAACAGTGAAAGACATAGGTGGCTCAGTGGCTAAGTGCTTCTTCTTCTTTTTATTCTTTTGTGTTCATCCTAAACTGGCGAGTTTTTTTTACCAGATTTCAGACAGAACAGTAAAAGACATAGGTGGCTCAGTGGCTAAGTTCTTATTCTTTTTTTAAATTCTTTTGTTTTCATCCTGAACTGGCAAGTATTTCCACCAGTTTTCAGATAGAACAGTGAAAGACATTTGTTTGTGACTGCCACAGGCATGGGAAGGGAGCAGTTATGAGGTGATTTTGGAACCTCGACTGAGTTTTGTATTTCACTGTCAACAGACTTCAATACTTGAGGTATGTATCAGGCAAATAATACATGAATCATGGTTGATAACAAAGATAAGAATTTCAACTAAATTACTACACCAGTATTTTGTTATTTCATTGTCACTGCATGTAGGCCAGATATTAAAATCATACACCTAAAGTAAAGATCCTTCTTCACGCCTTTAGGCACATCGAGCATATAGGAAGAGCACCAATACTTTTTTTAATTAAAAAAAAAAAAAACTTAAAAAAGGCAACACAAGATTAAAGAGAAGCATTGATTATGACAAGAAAAATTGCTGCAAACTGGCAAAATGTGTCTTTATCAGTACCCAATGCTTGAATTTTGCTTTTTAGCTTAAGTCGAGAGATGGAACATTTTCATGTTAGCGGTGTAACAAAGCAATTTATTTTAAAAACTAGGGATCTCTGCGGCAAAGCTTATAGTAGTGGGTTTGTTCACAGACTGTGACATTCAGTTCAAAAGCACAATTTTCTTTGAAGATCATAACTGCTACGATGTTCATGCTTTTTGTGACAGCCATTCTCAAGAGAGACAAAGCTGTATGGGTTTAAACCCGGTGCAATGAAATCAATCCTCCTGACTTTAAACTTTAAAAACAATATCTGGTGACAAAGGCTTTACCTGCAGTCTGCTTATCATTGGGCACTTGTGAGTCTTAGCATGTGTCCTAAAGTTCACACCCGGAAATGCTTTCATTGTTTCTGTCATCTTCTTCAGGTTGTATTCTAGACTTTTCAGGCAAACCAGGAGGGAAGGAGTCTCCACTTCTGACACCGGGTCACCAATGTTGCATGGAGTCTATGATTGTACAAGTTAAATACACTGGTTTTTGTCATGAACTTTGAAACTCTGAGGTTTAAAATAGCAAAGTGAAAGCAAAAGTTATTGTATCCTTATGACTAGAATACTAGCAGTTGTCTGGACTCAAGATACACATAATTTTGTTCTTCATGAGGCTTATTTTGGTGAGCTAAAATAAAAATATTACCAAACCACACAACACACACACAGGCACGCAGGCTCACACACGCACACACAAAAAAGAAGCAAAAGACCCCTTCTGCACCAGTCGGTCCTCAGGCATATAGTGCCAGAATAATATTTATATGTACCAACTGGCACTCAGTTGAGGACGTGGGTCAACATGGCGTCAGCTGCTTTTACTTCCCATGACATTACCTGGTACCCATGTCAGACTGAGTCAACCCAGGAGTCAAGGTCAGTTTTGAAGGACGAAAATTCGATTCAATGTCGATCTGATCCCAAGATTTCCGGGTTGACAGGAGAGCATCTAGCAAGAACACTAACACTGCTCCCGATCAGGACCGGACATCAGTAATAATGAATCTAAACTTTTCTCTATAACCTGATATTTTAACAAGGTTCCGACTGCTTAAACGAATATTTTCTGCTCAGCTGATTAAGCTTTCCACATACATAATCTCTTTGTTTCTGTGATTCTTCCCTAGTATTTTGTCCACCTGTCTAGTTTCTCTGTTTCACTTCATCTGTTGCTATGCTAACACAGATGTGCAGATTCTAAAGAATGTCATTACTGTTTGCTTTTCACGGCCTAAGATTTTCAAAGAAATTCTCCTGTAACATTGTGTTCATTTATTAATGTGCATTCTTTCACCCGCAGATAGTTATGATGTTGTTGTTTGTCCATCACAATTATTGATGACCATTCCATTCAATCATTACGTAGAGTACAATTTCTAGATACATAAGTGACTGATAAGGCCACTCTTGGCACAGAATGAACTTCTAAAACTGTGTGTCAAATATTAATGAAATGTGTATGCGACTGTATACATATTAAAATCTCACCTTCATAAAAGCCATTCTTCTCGTGGTATTGTAGATATTACTCCGAGGGTGCAAACTATTTTCAGACTGTTTAAGAATGCTGCTCGAAGTGGCTCCCAGTCCTGTACAATAATGCAGCTTCTGATGGCACAAACTGTTCTGAATAACCAGTGTTAACCCTTCGTTACATCTTAACAGAGAACTAATCCTTGAATAAAATGTGGAACTCAACAAATGCGCACTACTCTGGTGCATAACTTGATTGACTGTCAGTGTTTTATTTCTATTTCAAAACTGTTATTCTGTATACATGTTTGTAAACACACTATAGAGTAAATATAGTGTCTAAAAATTAAAGAAATAAAAACTAGGTTTATTTCTCTGTCCAAGTAATGTATTACAAGACATTTAGTTCCTATGATTAATAAATCTGCTTTTAAATGACATATGGATGAATGATTGATAATTAGATTTCATTTTGTCAGCTCTATGCAACTTATTCTTCTAAAATGTTATAAGACAGAGATATTTGATCAAACTAGCTACAATAACTAGTCAAGAGGTGAAAACTTCTTCTGAAAATGTATATGGGATTGGAATTTTTAAACAAGTGGCCAAAATGTTTGCAACATGAGAAAAATTGAAGAATAAAAGACTAAAAATGTTAATTTAAATTGTAATGAGACATTTTTACTACATGGCACAGAAACCTGGAATTTTAAGTTTAAAAAAAAATATTATTAGGAAAAAACCGAAACAAAAAAAAATACTTTAAAAAAAGTTTATCATGTGAAGTTCCAACTTCATCGCAAACAGGTCACTCAGGTGAAAAGCCAGTGACAAACAAATACACAAAATTCCTACCAATGTCCCATGTTAAATATAAAACAGACAGCAGTCCTAGTAAAATACAATAGTTTGTACATGCATCAAATGCATAAGGAAGCCACCAGAGGGGGCACCATCTCGTTAGTCAGTAGAATTGCTATTTATAGTTGATGGAAGCAGCAGTCTTGACAAACCAGAAGGTGCATATGCAGGTCCTGTTCATGTTTCCAGGCCCAGAATTAGAGTAACATCCCTTGCCATTCATGCCTCCTTGGGCCGCTGGATCTCTCCTATGTAGCGGGGGTATTATGATATGACTTGGTTTGGCATCCGCTTGGCGTATGTAATGTTTGTGTTGTTGTGAGTCTATTTCAGATGCCACAGGCGCCCGTGTACAAGTAAGAAGTACTGCAGGGAAAATCACAGGCACAATGTGATTCTATTAAAACTTGGAAGTTTTTGTATTTCTAAGTTTGTTGGCTGTGGCTTACCCCAGAGAGAAAGAAAGCAGTTACAAGGAGTGTAGAAATAAAAAATATTGCTGTTTCCATACTCATGAACTGTCTCGCAGGTAGCAGATTGTGAAAAAAATCATCCAAGCGAGCGGTGAGAAGACAAGAAAAGAGGCAACGGTTAAACTGTTCATAATAAGAAAAACATGACTTCCCCGCAAAATAGGAGAGGTCCAGCAACCTTTGGAGGCATGAATGGCAAGGTAAGTTACTCTAATCCTGGGTCTGGAAACGCGAATGGCACCCATATGCATTACTGCATAAAGCACACCTGCAATTCTGTGGCTACCAGCCACTCTCCGTTTTTTTAATATGCAGTTTACAACACACATCTCAAGGAGCACAAACAATCAGCAATCCCCATGAAATTCACAGCACAGTGTCGCACTATGCACTTATTAGTAGCTGGCTGAGGGAACAGGATTTTGCCTTTACCTCATTTGTTATCGTATCCAGTTTCCCATTGGGCAACAGAACCCCAACCTTCCACCGGATTACTTGGGAGAACAGGGTCTACCATATGAAGGTGAAGTAGGCTTGAGCAAGCAAGGCTAAGAGACATTAAGTTTTGTATTGTGCATCATTGCTCACTGATGCTCTAGAATGGCTTGGAATGAAAAGTGGGTTGCTAAAACATTAAAAACTGATATAAGTGAACTATTTTGGCCACATTAAAAGATATATGACACTTATAAAAATCATAATAATGGAAAAATTTTAACAAGTGAAAGCATGATAATATCAAGAGACAAATGAACAACTGTTGTCAGAGTCAACAACCTGGACTGGAGACAGAAGGTGTTGGAGATTTATTGCCGCCAACCTTCAATCTTAAAATCAAAATCTAATTAACTGATATAAGGACATCACTGGCCAATCAGGTCACAACATAAACACAGATGTTTGCACCAATATGTAGTGAAACAGTCGAAGAAATTTATTCAATGGTTTCAGTATGCAATATATACTTGCACCGCCTACTATTACAGATAGGCTAAAGGTGCTACAAGCAAAGTCATATCTAAGAGTAGCTGCAGACAAGAAGCACCTCATGCATGAAGCCCTAGGTAGAGCTGAGGGTCACAGACCGAAAAGAGGAAAGTCTTGAGTGGCGCAAGCTGAAGACACATGTGTGCAGGGTTGATAAATTTAGGCGAGGAGAGGTGCAGGTCAGTGTCCGAGCAAGAATCAGACTTGTGTAGGGTTCTCATCATTTTAGGTCATGAGTGCAGAGACAGGCCAGCTGGTGCTGCAGAATCAGACTTGTGTAGGGTTCTAATCATTTTAGGTCATGAGTGCACAGACAGGCCAGCTGGTGCTGCAGGATCAGACTTGTGTAGGGTTCTCATCATTTTAGGTCATGAGTGCAGAGACAGGCCAGCTGGTGCTGCAGGATCAGACTTGTGTAGGGTTCTCATCATTTTAGGTCATGAGTGCAGAGACAGGCCAGCTGGTGCTGCACGATCAGACTTGTGTAGGGTTCTCATCATTTTAGGTCATGAGTGCACAGACAGGCCAGCTGGTGCTGCAGGATCAGACTTGTGTAGGGTTCTCATCATTTTAGGTCATGAGTGCAGAGACAGGCCAGCTGGTGCTGCAGGATCAGACTTGTGTAGGGTTCTCATCATTTTAGGTCATGAGTGCAGAGACTGGCCAGCTGGTGCTGCAGGATCAGACTTGTGTAGGGTTCTCATCATTTTAGGTCATGAGTGCAGAGACAGGCCAGCTGGTGCTGCAGGATCAGACTTGTGTAGGGTTCTCATCATTTTAGGTCATGAGTGCAGAGACAGGCCAGCTGGTGCTGCAGGATCAGACTTGTGTAGGGTTCTCATCATTTTAGGTCATGAGTGCAGAGACAGGCCAGCTGGTGCTGCAGGATCAGACTTGTGTAGGGTTCTCATCATTTTAGGTCATGAGTGCAGAGACAGGCCAGCTGGTGCTGCACAATCAGACTTGTGTAGGGTTCTCATCATTTTAGGTCATGAGTGCAGAGACAGGCCAGCTGGTGCTGCAGACTCAGACTTGTGTAGGGTTCTCATCATTTTAGGTCATGAGTGCAGAGACAGGCCAGCTGGTGCTGCAGGATCAGACTTGTGTAGGGTTCTCATCATTTTAGGTCATGAGTGCACAGACAGGCCAGCTGGTGCTGCAGGATCAGACTTGTGTAGGGTTCTCATCATTTTAGGTCATGAGCGCAGAGACAGGCCAGCTGGTGCTGCAGAATCAGACTTGTGTAGGGTTCTCATCATTTTAGGTCATGAGTGCACAGACAGGCCAGCTGGTGCTGCAGGATCAGACTTGTGTAGGATTCTCATCATTTTAGGTCATGAGCGCAGAGACAGGCCAGCTGGTGCTGCAGGATCAGACTTGTGTAGGGTTCTCATCATTTTAGGTCATGAGCGCAGAGACAGGCCAGCTGGTGCTGCAGAATCAGACTTGTGTAGGGTTCTCATCATTTTAGGTCATGAGTGCACAGACAGGCCAGCTGGTGCTGCAGGATCAGACTTGTGTAGGGTTCTCATCATTTTAGGTCATGAGCGCAGAGACAGGCCAGCTGGTGCTGCAGAATCAGACTTGTGTAGGGTTCTCATCATTTTAGGTCATGAGTGCAGAGACAGGCCAGCTGGTGCTGCAGAATCAGACTTGTTTAGGGTTCTCATCACTTTAGGTTGTGAGTGCAGGGATTGGCCAGCTGGTGCTGCAGAATCAGAAGCTCAACAAATGATTCATGACGATTCTTGCCCAGGTGATGTGATTAACTATACTGATAGTTCTGTGTTGAGAGGCATACAAAGTTCATGGCTGAGACTCAATGGGTAGGCAAGAAGGAAATATAATCAGACAGTTACTGGTGCCATGGGAATGGGAACTCTTTGCTTGCTGCTGAAGATGGGGATGGAGCACTAAAGGTAGTGTATGGAGTGCTGTGACTATGATGCTGATTCTTAATTGAACATTTGGTCTAATTCACGGTAAGCAGCCCAAACTGTGTAGTATTTGGACTACAGGTGCGTCAGATATTACAGGCACAACAAAGTGCAGAAATATAAAGACTTCCTACATCCGGCTGGCCGCATATAACACCAGCCCCCCTCACCCTAAGCCACCCAGCCAGCCTTCTTACCAAACACACTCTGTCAACCTGTTGCATTGTGTGTTAATCGTTTGCTACTGAGTGTGAGCAGCTGCACATCAGACAAACTACAACTGACTCTAGCCCCAGCCTCTTACCCACAGCGTGAACCTACGTCCGATGAGAGAGTGCTGTCGGAGTGCATTTTATGTTTAGCGCTCGAAGTAAACACGCCTCTGTTGTGGAACACCTGTCTCTATTGTGTTTTGATGGTAATTCTGCCAGCAGTGTCCACTGCTATTGCATTTTCAGTCGCTCCAGTGAGCCATGCGTCTTACTGTGGACTCTCTCGTGCGATTTAGGTTCAGCCTGTGTCTCGGAAGATGGAGGGGGGGGGAGGGGGTTCATGAGCAAATAAAATGAAGTAAGCTACACGAGATGTGGTAGCTGCTCGTGAGTCCCAGCCATCTAGTTTAGCCCCAATCCATGCCACGCGTAGCGGTGAGGGAGATACTCTCGGCGGTGGCGGAAGTCGCCGAAAATGCGATATTTCAGTCGCCGGAAGTCCACAAACTGACATGTGACTGAGGACCTGTTTGGGTATATTTTCGGCCTCGATAATTTGGGACCGTTTATCGGAGGATAGCCTAATAGTGTACATCGGGGGGGGGGGGGTCGATGTACTGGAAGACAGGATTATCTCGCACCCCTGCCATGTAGACTCACCTCTGCAAGTATGAATGAAAGGTCACTAAATGTGTATCTGGACCGCTTACCAGGAACTGGACCCAACATTCAAATGTCAACTGAGTATCGGGTATAAACTGAACAAAGATCCTATTAATTGCCTAATTAATTACTGGGTTTTTTTTTGGGGGGGGGGGGGGGGGGGGGGTTGGGGGGTTGTTGGGTTACATACTAGTATTACTAGCACTTCAAACCAATGTTGCAATAAATTAGCAGATAGTGTGTGTGTACACGTATATTTTGCACACACACAAATATAGTCTACAAACATAAATATTATGCAGTATAATAAGCTATAACATTTCTTCTGCATTTAATGAAGCAAATGATTAAATGTAGTAGACATTGAACCATGTATCCAACTTCAACCAAACGTTACTTGTGTGTAATTGTGTGTAGGGCAGGTTCCAGCAGTCATTATTCACACATACACTACAGTACACGCCCACTTTGAAGTTTTTATTTGATATTTATATTTTTGGTAATTAAAAAAAAAAAAATTAGGTGTTGTTTTGTTAGCTTCAAAAATGTAATAATACAATTTTAAATTTCACACCCCACTCTACAAGGTACAAAAATTATTGTTACTTACCTGTACAACCTGTTGACTGCTGTCACATGATTTCTCATCACGTGATATGTCAACAGATAAGCTTGTTTAATCTAGTGTTGGTTATCAACAACGGCATTTTAAGGCCACAGTGTTTATTTATCGATTGTTTTTTTGGTGCCTCATTTCAAAACACAATGTTAAAATTGCAAGTCAGAAATTTTCTGGCACTTGCAGCTTTGATTTGTTTGCTTGGGCAAAGCAGAGCGGTAAAAAATGTAATCAGCATGTCAGTGTCAGTCCAAGACAAAGTTCACAACGGTAAGTCAAGTCGGTGAAAAAATATAATAAAGTTTTGTTGTGATGAGTCTAGAATTGACATCACAGCACTCGGGGCATTCCTATGCATACTCCGTCCTCATCTTTAGCAGCCAGCGCAGAGTTCTATTATTGATGGTACTGGTCAAATCTGGGGCACTCTTCCGAATACCGGCCCCATATAATCTGGTTATATTTCCGTCTTGCCTCATTCTCACCAGTCATAATAATGGGGCCATAATATGATGCCGTTCGAAGGAGAGCCAAATTGGCCACATTCTGGCCATAAAATATCCAAAAATATCAGAATGGGGCTCAGTTCTATTAAAAATATGCCAGCTCCGTAAAACGAAACAAATGCTCTAACAGGGTCTCAGCGATATGTTACTTGTGGACCTGCTTCTGCGAGTGTGCCTCACCGCCGACTGTATCCCACCGCCGACTGTATCCCCCGCGACGCTACGCGCGGCTTGGATGGGGACTAAACTAGATGGCTGGGACTCATAAGCAGCAGCTACCGCATCTCCTGCAACTTCATCCAATTACTTTACTCGTGAGTCCCAGGCACCTAGTTTAGTTCCCCATCCGCGTCGCGCGTAGCGGAACGGGGGATACCCTCGGCAATGAGTTTAATCATGTTTTGCTCATGCTGACAAGTCTGACATCTACCGCTGTTAAATCCTCAATCAGAAGAACACAGTATTGCTAATCGCTTTCATCGTCTGTAATGTCTCGAAATTGTCAACAGTCGCTAATATTGTCTGCTAGTATCGTCTGCAGAAACGCTCAAAATTGTCAACGGTCGGTATTTATCGTCTGCTACTACCGTGTGCAATGTTGATATTGATTGTCAAGTAATCCTAGTTTTGCCGCAATTTGTTCCTTGGCAGAAAGTCCGTATTTTAGATATGCCTGAACACCGTTTGGATATTTTTGGATATTTTATGGGCAGAATGTGGCATCATATTATGGCCGCCATTTTATGATGCCGTTCGAAGGAGAGCCATAAGTTTAATCGTTTCTCTACTCATTCCGTTCGTTGCCTGTTTACAAACTTTGTAACAAAGGGCCTTGACCACATCTGCAAATAGAAATATAAGGAAGGACCGTATCTCTAGTAGTTAGTATTAAGGGGAGAAAAGCCGCTCTGAGGCCCTCTTAATCATTACCCGTATAAATGACTGCACTGCAGGTTGCACCAGGCTAATGTCGCCGTCTCCTTACGGGTGCCATAACTAGCTATCACTTTTTTGGACGTTAGATTTCTCCTGTTAGCTTGCCATTCAGCAGCCAGGGGTTGAGGTTGCGATTTTGTGTAAAGAGTAATCTTACAGTGTCAGACCTTCAAATAGCAGCCCCGAGTGAACAACAGAATAGAAGAAGAATCTATAAAGCAAAAGGAAATGTCAATGATGGTTCTTCTGCGAACTTCTACCCCGGCATTATGGCGGCCAAACAAATATCCTAACAGGGCCTCAGTCCTATTAAAAATATGGGAACTTCCGACGACAAACGAATCGCGGCAAAACTAGGATTACCTGACATTTTCAATAGACGCAACATTGCAAACGATAGTAGCAGACGATAATAGGGGCCGCTGACTCTTTCGAGCGTTATTGCATATGATACTAGCAGACGATACTTGCGACCATTGACAATTTCGAGACATGCAACATTACAGGCGATAAAAGCGACATGGTGGGGAGACCACACGTGTGGATGCAGATTAGCGTTGTTGTTGTCTTCAAACTTTTCAGCATCCTTAAAACACGGTTACACTCCTAGGTTTTTACCTGCCAGTCATTTAAGGGTGGGTTGAGTTGACATGGGAACCAAGAACATTTTATGAAAAAGATCCCACTCAGTGCAGATTTGAACTCAAGACGTTCTGGCCTGTTGGCATGTTCGCGAGCTGGAGTTTTTTGATAGTATATATATATATAGATATATATATATAGATATATATATATATATATATGGTCCTTTAAAAAAAAAATATTGACGGTAACAACTTGAAAACCGTTTATTTTTACACATGTACTGTCCCTTTATTTTCAGCATTATTTCCACCAGTATTGATTGATGCATTTGCCTATCGTTTAATCAATCCTCCCAAACCAGCTGCGTAGAACTGCATGCTCTATTTTCTAAACCACATTTTCACTTCACATTTAACTTCTGCTTCATTTGCTAAATATCTCCCGCCAGGGTGGGTTTTCAGTGCATTGTGTTGTTCGCTGAACCATGTAAGCACCCTATTGCAGTTTGCTGGCCTGTCACCTCTCATCATCTCCTCCACTCGCTGCATGGATGCCTCTATTGCAGTCTCAACAGGATGAACAGATTGGACTTCACCAACAATTGTAGAGTGCTCTTGAGAAAAACTTTTTACCCAGCAATGCACTGCTTTACAATCTAAACATTTGTCAGCGTAAGCCGGAAGCATTTCATTATGAATGTCTTTTGAGGGTTGCCCTTTTGCATGAAAAAAAACACACCCGCACAACAGCACATTGTTCTTTAAGGGTACAGTCACCATTTTATTTCTGTGTTGCAAATACTCATGCAACACCTAGCACCACCTAACGAACGAAGACATAAAGTTCGATGTTGCTGTCACCTGACATCTTTAGAAGCCACCAACTACATTTTCATGCCATACCATAACCATTTGTGATTTACTTATTGACTTCCTCTTAAAAATATCTTTTTCACACGTGTGAATTATAAATAATGCTGTCACACACATAATACATCATGATCGGGTGGAGATAGGGGGAATGTGGGACTGCTGTCAAAACGCTAAACATGATTGTCATGACATGCACAGAGGCCACATGAACTACCTGAAGTAAGGAAAAGTGAGCTCGAGTTGTAAACCAACTGGGGACAGTCGTCGACTGAACGTCCTAGCGGATGGTCTGGACAACTGTAGTGTGATCATCATGCCTCATGAATAATGATTTTAGTTATTGAGTTAGATAGCATTAGATAAAATGTCGAATTATTTAGAACGATGTAGAAATAGTAGAATAATAAAGGCAAAAGTAACAGAGCTCAGCATGTTGCATCATCTTCATCATCATCTCGTGTGGATTATGACCACATTCTGATACTGTTTGTTTGTGTTGTCATGGCCTTGATTGCAGTGTTAATGTGCTTTGAGTGTGTCAACAATGAACAATGTGACAGCACTCATAACTTTTGGTACTTATCAAGCTCAGGGAGTCGGAGGCGAATATGAGAAGTACAAATGAGCACGTCAGTCAGTGCAAGTTGAATTACCTTTATGCATACGTGCTCTGACCTTGCCACCCGCCTCTCGACCCCTGACAACAATTTATTGACTAGACCATTTTGCTGTATTTCCAGGTGCATTACAACAGTTGCATAAATGTATAACAGAGCACACTAAAAATTCATGCTTTCCAAAAATACATAAATCACATGTCTAGTTGCACTGCAAATCTCACACATGCACACACGCACTCTTCTCTCATGTCATTAAACTGTCATTACTACCTGTTGTACCATTTTTGTGGTGTTAAAGGAGAACCTGAGGATTTAGAACCATATGATTGGTGCAGTTTGCTAGACTGAGCAAGTTAGGAATTTATCTCCCTGACAGGGAAAAAAACCATAACCTCTTTCTTTTGGGAACAAGTGTTTTGAATTCGAACCTGTTTCTCTGGCATGAGAGCCCAGTTTTTTCACTGTTTGGCCAGACACTCCTCTCTATCTCATGTACTGCTAGTAAATTCTCATATGGATGTTCTTCCATGCTATAATCTCAAACTAGCATGCTATTTTTTTTTACATTCTCTTGCTTCTGTTTCCCTTCCATTTACCTGTTGTCATAAATTACTGTAGTTCTCTTTTAATGCCCAAAAATGGTTCACGTAAATCTCCGCAAACAAAGTAGATCACTTTTCATTCACAAGTTTGTTGGGTTGGTCGACTTTTCTGAAGGTGTGTTCCATTTGCTGTTTGCTTTTTGTTTTGTCTTGCATTTACGTTTTCATCCCGAGAAAGAAAATGCCTTTGACATAGGTTGCAGCACTCTCTAGGGGGTTGTGTTAGGGTCAGTTGCTTGTTTATGGAGTGTTAAAAGCACTGGCGTGCAGAAATATACAATACACGATATCAAAACATTCCTCTGACCTTGTGCGAAGGTCACAGGGGTCAGGAGTGACCAATCAGAATGACCACCTGGTGTGTATATAGGCGGAGGGTGGAGATTAACGTTACGTGTTCCCATTGTTTCTTCTGATATCTTCTTCCTTGCATTCACCAGCTGTAAATAACAGCGGAAAGTTCTGGGTGTCAACCACCTCCAGAGTTCATAGTTGTTCCAGAACTTGAGTGTTGCCTGCACATCTATTTCACAGATCTGACTTATTTGTATGCAGACTTTTCTTTGCCTCTCAGGCAGATTTATTCTGACTTCAAAGATACCTAATTAGTCAACTCCTACGACAAGCTTGTTATTTAGGTAGTGAGTCTGTTATTTTTTTTTCTCACAATGGGACTCCGGAACCCACATAGGCAATTTCTTCTGATCTGAGTAAGTTCTCTTTGTGAGTTAATTTCTGACATCACATTTTTATTGAGATAGAAAATTATCAGATGTAATAATAATTTTTATATGTATACAACAGGTGGAATTAACAGTGAAATTAAGAAAGTGCCCAAACCTGGTCAAACATTTGCTTTTGCTAAGCATTTCCAAAATAATATGGTGCTCCAGAAAGCACCAGCCAGAGCCAGCATTTATGGGTTCTCATCTGAAATCGGTCAGAAAGTCATTGCCCAGGTAGGATTTTTTCTTTTCTAACATTCATCTCACTTGAAGACTAATAACTGCTGGATGGTATTTTAAAACACATTTCAGATTAGAGTGGACTTTGTTATCAAATATAAATAGCATAGCAGAGTGCATTATTGTTATATGAATTTTAATTATATATATATATATACACACTTACTTACTTAGTCGCTCCTCTTCTACCTTGGGGTGTAGAGGTTTCCCAGAGAGATCTCCAGCTGTCTCTATCAGCAGTTTTCTTTCTGGCTTTGTTCCATTCCAGTCCTCTGTCAGTTAGGGACTGTAGAATTTTGTCTTCCCAAACACCCTAGGTTGGCCCGGAGGTCTAGTTTCCTGGTTCTTAGCCTCCCATGTCTGCCATATAAATATCTATATATAAACATTATTTTCGGTCTTGTTTCTTTTAGAAAAAAAATAGGAACATAGATGTTTAAATCTCTTTTTTTAAAAACGTTTCAAGATGGCCTAGCCTTATAACAGTAACTTTTCTTGAATTAACGTCTGAGGACACAAATATATTCCACACTTAATTAATTTTCATCATCTAAGACTTACTTGGTGACATGTATAATGTAAAAATAGATGATTTCCATGAACACGTGTAATGTAACAATTGACAATTTCCGTGAAAATATATACTGTAACAATAGACCATTTCTGTGAACATGTATTATGTAACAATAGACAGTTTCTGTGAACATGTGTAATGTAACAATAGACGATTTCCGTGAACATGTATAGTGTAACAATAGATCCGTGAACATGTATAATGTAACAATAGATCCGTGAACATGTATAATGTAACAATAGATCTGTGAACATGTGTAATGTAACCATAGATGATTTCCGTGAACATGTGAAGAATATACTTAATGAGGCTCTTAAATGTATCTCTCTTCTCATTTTAATGGTTCTGACCACCAAGTCCTAAATGATATCTCAGTTACTGCTATAAAATCACATGGCTCAAAACGCAAAACTACACCTGCGTATGTTTACTGAGTGATTTAGTGTGTATGATCCAGAGGGTTTAGGCACGTTCAGTGCAAAGGCAATGGCTTGAATCATTACAGACGTTCACTATGCATACATTCGTCTTTATTTTAGTTCTGGACACACTGGCATCGATGGAAATGAAAGAGCTGAAAGGTTGACTGAATCTGCTATCACTGCCGAGGGTCAGCCTATGGATCATGCAGATATTATTAATGCCCTTCAAGAAATGGGAAGGGTGGAGGACTTTGGGGGTAGTAAATCCACATCACTTGCCAGAGTGATAGATTTGGGAGTTAAGATGAGAATAGCAAAAAAAAAAATGAGGTGCATCCCAGGCACATCAGAAGACTTGTTAATCAACATAGAACTAATTGGTACTGTTAGCCACTGGACGCTGGGGTTCATATTCAGCGGAGAATCTAAGCATCTGTGGATATGTCCGGAGTGCAGTGATGATAACCCTACTAACTAATCTTGCTCTGGCGATCAAACCAGATGCTACTGCTTAGAATATTGTTTCATTAAGTTTTGGCATTCCCAATCCTGGAGGGAACAGTTATGTATGACTCTTTCAGTCCCAGGGTGTTTAGCTTCAGAGGCCCAAGGGGAATAACAGATAAGTAAAACTGGCTCATCTTGCGTTCATTGGGCTTCTGGATAGGAACGTATGATGTGTTCCTAGGGCCTGAAAGAGTTAATTGTCTTTAATTGCATTTATTAATGTATATATTTATTTAAACTTGTTTATATTACTGCCCGTCTTTTCTTTTGAAACACCTTTTTACATATTTCATAACATAACCCTTCATACCCATATTTGTTTTCCTCTTTGCATTTTTCTTGGTTTCATGTTGACCTAGTTCTTCAAAAGTTCTGTTACAGCTGGTGTTGTATTTAGTATGTTGTATTTAACAATAGACAATATGATTAGTGTATTTCAGTTAAAAGGATTCATTATTTTTATTATATATTCATATAAATTATGTAGTAGTGCAGCTCGCTGGATACATATAAAAGTGCTAGGCACTATATTGTGTCATGATTATTTAGATTTTTTAATTTAAAGCTAAACGGTCATTGTATTGACCAGGCCCCCACCAGAAGACATGTAAAAATATATTAACTGTAGCGAGCATTTTTTTTTTACATGGCTTTAACAGTGTACACAGTTTTAGACAAGGGTTGAACGTTCTGTAAATTTGTGTTTGAATAAATCTCTATCTCCAGTTGGTTTCTGTGCATCTTTCTGCTTTAAATCAGTTTTCTGTATCTTGTTATTTGTTTCTTATATTTTGAGCATGTTTATGAAGAGTCTGCACATTATGTAGTCTCAGTCTGAAGCTAGTAATGTCCCCTACCCCATACCCCCCTACCCACTTTTTTTTGTGTGGGGGGGGGGGGGGGAGGTGGAGGAGGAAATTCAGAAATATGTTTGATGATGAAATATGATTCATTCATGCATGTGCAAGTGTATTAATGTGACATTATCTGAATTTTGTGTACATGACAGCCCATGTGTGCCAGTATTATTAAACAAATCTTGCATATTAAAGTTACCTTATTTATATTTTGTATAGATGAGAACACCCTCACACCAGTACTATTATTCTACGACAGTCCAGCAAGGCCCGTCTCCAGACATCGGTGTATGGAGTTTCAGCCTTGATCCAATAGATGCCAACATAACTGTCAGCATCAGTGTTCAGTCAGAGATAGGGTTACTGGCCATAACCAATGTCATCTTTGGTGATGTTTGGCTTTGCTCTGGACAATCAAATATGCAGCTTACAGTTATTATGGTAAGGAAGTTCCACTGATGTTTACAGATGTTGTAATTTTGTAAGTTAATCAAATAAAAGCTTGAAAAGATTTTGGTTTGCATACCTCTTCTTCTTAGTGTTCACTCGTTATAAACTCTAACAGACAATTATGGTTGTTCATCCACTTCTCAACTTTGCTTTTCTTCCAGAACTTGAATTTTGCAGTCGCATCCATTTTTATTCTAGACCACATCTTTACTCTTAGAATAATTGTTGAAGATTCTACAGAATTCCAGTCGAAATTATTGATCAACTTTGTCGACTTTCAAAAAGCCTTCGACAGTATCCATCGTCCAACACTCTGGAAATTGCTTAACATCTATGGTTTCCCCATCAAATATATCAACATCATAAAATCTTTTTATAATGAAACACGATGCTGTGTAAGAACTGATTCCGGCAATTCTGACTGGTTCCCGGTGGAAACAGGAGTGAAGCAAGGCTGTGTCCTATCGCCGATGCTTTTTGGTATAGCAATCGACTGGGTCATGCGCAAGTGCATAAATAACGCAAATTTAGGCATTACATGGGTTGACAAAATTCTGGAAGACCTAGACTTCGCTGACGACATAGCACTCCTGAGTTCAGAACACACAGACGCCCAAGAAAAAATCAATCGACTCCAGAATTTCTCAGAACAAATTGGACTCCAAATTAACACCGCAAAAACAAAAAATTCTAGACCTTACCAACAGTTCAGTTGATATCACGCTGAACAACAACAGCCTTGAAAAAGTCAACAGTTTCACTTATCTAGGGAGCAAGATGTCATCTACAGGAGATACCGCACCAGAAATATCATTTAGAATAGCACTGGCATCTAGTGCCTTCAATAAACTGTCTAACATCTGGAAATCAAAGACACTTAGCAAACACACAAAACTCAAGATCTTCAATTCTTGTGTGATTCCAGTACTAACCTATGGATGCGAGAGTTGGAAATCAACGAAAACTCTAGACACAAAATTAGACAGTTTTGAAAATAAATGCCTTAGAAGAATACTAAATTTCAAATGGTCAGATTTCCGAACCAATACACAAATAAGGCAAGAATCCAGGCAAGAGTATGTGTCTAATTTTATACGAAAACGCCGCTGGAACTATGTCGGCCACGTCCTTAGAATGGATAAATCAAGACTTCCTTACCAAGCCCTCATTTGGACACCACAGGGGAAAAGATCTCGTGGAAGACCAAGGGAAACCCTACGTAGAACTATCATCAGGGAAGGCTCGCTCATGGGCCACTCAAACATCCAAGACCTACAACGGATTGCAACGGACCGCCGTGCATGGAGAGTCACGACCTCTGCCCTATGTGCCGCACTCGACACAAGAGGAAAGACTAACTAACTAATCCATTTTTACATTTCTGGGTTATTTGTAGGCAGACTGTTGGTTCCTCGCCTCTCAGGCAGATGCATTTCAACTTCAAGGAAACACCCATAATTAGTTTACTTCTATTACATGTTTGTTTTGGGGAGGGGTGGGTCTATTCTTGTTTACCCCAAAATGGATCCCCGGACCCCACACAGGGAAAGTTTGCATGAAAATATGTCTGAAAATTTGTGGATAGACACAACAGCTATTTCCAAAAAATAATAATATGTAAGTTTGTTTGTTTACCTTCACCAGCTGTAAACCCCGACAGAAATACTTGGTTGTTCCTCCAATTATGGAATTTGGCTTTGTTTCAGGACCTGAGTTTTTACATGTGCATCAGTTTTACAGATCTGACTTATTTGTATACAGACTGTTGGTTTATTGCTTCTCAGGCAGATGCACTCTGACTTTAGAGGAAGCTCCCAGTTAGTCAATTCATACGCCTTGCTTGTTGTGGAGACAGTGGGTTCATCCTTGTTAATCCTACAATGGGACACTGGAACCCACATGAGAAATAATAATTGTGACATAGGGAGAAGAAAAAGATAACTGATTGTGACTGACCTGAATTTAATTAATGAATCGGGAATATAATGTAACAACTGGGGAAAAAAAACTGGAAAAGAACAATTAGGTGATGGCATGAACAAAACATCCTCGAAGGCCTGTTACTAGGATGGGGAAAATGATGGCTGCAATACATTAATTAATACAGTGCACTCGATCACTGGCTTTTTATGCGTGTGTCTTGACCATCAGGTGCTTTCTGGGGGTTGCTTTTTTTTTTTTTTTTTTTTTTTTTTGTAATTATTTTTATAAGAATCTTCATGGAGTTTTTTTTTACACAAATTCTGGAACTAAGAGCTAGATCAGTTCTAGAACCCCAGTTAAGTTAAGACAGTTTGGTTTCTGGGCAGGGAAGAGCTGCATGTACGCTGTATTCACACTAAGATAGATACTGGTGCAGAAAATTGAATATGGTAAAAGTCAGCACTTTATATTTATAGACCAAGAGGAAGTAAATTTTCTGCTTTTTCTCTGTTCTTATGACATGACATACTGCAGTTTTCCCTTTCTGATGACATGCCTAAAGAATATGGATTGCTTTCTTCTGATGTAGGTAACCAATTCTCTTTGTGATTTAATAACTTTCAAGGCATCTGCAGGACAATTTTTTATTATGTCATGGTGTTTTCATCATTGTCTTAAAAAAACCACATCATTCGCATAATTTCTGTCTATTCAGTTGATTGTAGACAAGGCCCTTCCTTAGAATTTGCTTTATAAAGCTTTGAAAAATATTTTTTCTTACTTAAATTGGCAAACATTTATTGCAGAGATAATGTGTTGATAATGTGTCAATTGTTTTACCAAATCTCGGTGACATCTGCCTGTTTTCTTTTTTAAATTTCAAGTCACTTATTCAATAATCACAGCTTACTCTTTCAAAATATTAATTGAAAATTATTTTGTACTTATGATCCAAGAAAAACTGTAGCTGATTATTGCCTGAATCATTACAACAGATGCTGAATGCTTCTCAAGAACTAGCAGATGCCACAAACTACCCAAATGTTCGGATCATGACAGTAGCAGAAGAACAATCGGACACACCTCTTCATGACTTGATTTCCATCCAGGAAGATTGGACTTCCCCCAGCAGTGGTATGTATAGTAGTCTGTGGCAGCTTAAAAATCTTTTAACAAATGACTTTTCAGTGGTATGTATAGTAGTCTGTGGCAGCTTGAAAATCTTTTAATAAATCACTTTTCAGTGGTATGTATAGTAGTCTGTGGCAGCTTGAAAATCTTTTAATAAATCACTTTTCAGTGGTATGTATAGTAGTCTGTGGCAGCTTGAAAATCTTTTAATTAATCACTTTTCAGTGGTATGTATAGTAGTCTGTGGCAGCTTGAAAATCTTTTAACAAATCACTTTTCAGTGGTATGTATAGTAGTCTGTGGCAGCTTGAAAATCTTTTAATAAATCACTTTTCAGTGGTATGTATTGTAGTCTGTGGTAGGTTGAAAATCTTTTAACAAATCACTTTTCAGTGGTATGTACAGTTGTCTGTGGTAGCTTGAAAATAATTTTAACAAGTCTATTTCCAGTGGTGAATAACTGTCTTTTCATTAATGGAAGGTTTCATAGCAGATGTCCAAAAAATGTAGGTAGGGTGGGAGAACCACTATTAGAAATTCATGGGGTAATACTTTTATGGAGGCTAAATGCACAGTGGAAGTGATATCCAAGCTGGTAGGTTTATTTGGTATGCCTCTCACTGAATGAATAAACCATGCAATCTTATGTAAGATAAAGCACATTACACATTTGTTAGGATTTTAAATGTTATGGCAATAGATGCGCAACCAGCTACAACAGTGGAGGCCTCAAGTTCAACCCCTTTGGGTTACTAAGTCAAGGCAGAATGCACGGAAATATTGATTATGAAAGTAGTTGATTATTCTTTGTGGACATAAAAAGTTAAGTTTACAGTCACAAGAGTTAGTTAGTACAGTCATTATTAAATCAACTAAAAATGGGCCTGCACCCAAAACAAATAAAAGTAAAACAGGCTATGATATTAAATTGTACTCCAAAATATCCCTTAAGGCTCAGTTTCAGAGGATGTCTTAAACAGAAGATCAAATGGCTTGGCCATCTAGTAAGAATGCAGCCAGCATGCTGTTTTCTAAACATATTTGTAGTACCTTTTCTTTGGAGTAAACAAAGCAGACCGACCGAGGAATCATGCTGCATCAGGAGAATGTAGTCTGAATAATACTGCCTTGTTTTTGTACTATGGTGGGCTATAATTCCCATGTCTCTAAGTTATGAGTTATGATTTGGGTTATGTTCACGGCACTTCAGACATGTCCATAAGTGCTGAGATTCCCCCTTCAGCATGTACATCAGTGTCCCACGGTTGATAGTCCCAGTCCTATGTTGGTTGACAAGACTTCCTGTGCCTGACAGGCTGTGCTGATCTTCATTTCCTATTCTTGCACTCTAACCAAAGATATGGAAGTGCTACTCCCAAAATCCTCTGAACATCCTACCTCTCTAATGGCATTGACAATGTCATCATGATCCATGGGCCGGCCCTCTGTAACTAAGGCAGAGCTAACTAATCTATCATCTCTTTCATTGCCAACAACACCCGCAAACCCTGGTACAAAGATGAAGGTAACTCCACGCACAGTGAAGTTTTGCAATGACTTGATCCACTGTTTACTTATAAAGCCTGCCTCGACCCACCGGATCATGCTCATGGAATCACTACACACACACACGTGAGAATAGCCCTGAGATGCAAACTACATGAAAGCTCGTATTACCACCATCACCTCCATTGTCATGCTGCTAGTAGTCATACAAAAGGCACCACTGGCCTCCTGGACTGTTCTGCCTGCAAAGCACGCAGTAAATGCCCAGGCACTTGCTTGTCCTTGAACAATGGACCCATCTGTGTAGATCAGGACATTCTCCTCATCTGAATTTCCCCATATAAGCTCGTAGACCTCTGCATTGACAGCAACTGGATTCTGCTCCTCACAGCTCTTATCAAGCATGGCTCCCATGCCTCTATCAACACTATTGTCTGGAAAAGTGGAAATATGCCAGCAACTGTAAGTTGGGGATATGCATTGCTTTGTACATTCTATTTTGATGGAGAATTGTATTGTGCACAAAATGATTGTAAGATTTATGCTGAAGCTGTTAGCGATGGCAGAGAATCAACTCTGTCTGGAAGTTGCACATGACTTGAAGGATTGCACAGAAAAGTGACACAAACTTAATGAACATTGTGATTATTAATACGATTAGAGGTAAAATCTAACAAGATGCTGTTGTTACACTGGAGATATTCACTATCCATAAGACACACACACAAAAACAAAACAGATGTGCAGGAAATCATAGTCATGTTGGAGGAAAGCATCAAAATTTCATTAGCTTTAATCTTTCTTTGGTGATGCCAAATAAGTATGTGCATTAAGACTAATACATTAACAAAGAGTAGTACCTAGAAGTCATACCAGCCTATATGAGCCTGCTTTAAAATCACAACAGCAGCCTTCACTTTGGAAAGGTAGACAGCACTTGAAATGTGCACATTGACAGACCTTACATCAGTTACACACATGGGCATACCAAAGTAACAGATAATAAACAAGCGGACCAGCTTGAAAGTATTACACCACTAAATGCAATAAGATGTGTGGAGAGAGCTGACATTATCAATTATATATGCACTAGGCTGGTGGGTAATGACCAGTCTCGGATGCTAACATGATCACATGACCTTGGACTGAAACCTGATGAAACACTTGGATGCTGTCTTCTAGGTGATGATAGAAGACATTGTAGCCCACTCCTTCTGAAAACAGTCAGTAGAGTTACTTTATACTGGCCTCTGCATCTGGAGACTGAGCACGCATGTGAATGTCTGCTGTGCAGGGATTTTGATTGTGATAACATAAAGTAACACCTGGTGGTCATCACTCTTCATTGATGGTAGTCAGTTTTTTTTCAGGTTTGATACCATTATGCTACTTCAACTCACATATGTAATATGACCATTATAAACTCAGCACCAAGGACAAAAGAAGGCCAATGATTAATCAGTGAATTATCTTTTTATATCAATAACACCATGTGGTTTTTATTTTATTGTTTCCAGCAACAATAGGTGGTCCAGCCTGGACATATTTCTCTGCCGTGTGTTGGTTATATGGGAAATATATCCATAAGGAACTTGGCTACCCCATTGGTTTAGTGGCCACAGACTGGGGTGGCACTCCTGTAGAGGCATGGTCATCCCCTGAAGCTCTTGCTGAGTGTGGAGTCACCAGCACAGACAACACTGCAAGACAACAGCCACCAGGATATCAAAGGCAACATTTGTTTTTTAAAATAAATGTTTCTCTTCAGGAGAATGTCATTGCATGTGATAATTCTGCTTTGTCTTAGTTTATTGAGGTTTAAACTTCACTGCAATCGGGTCACCCCATACTCAGTCCGTTCCTGTGAAAATCAGATGAAATGTCTCTCACTCTCCCATTTGAAAAACTAGTGAACTTAACAATTAGTCCGGGCACAATCCAGAAATATGCGTACGCTGTAAATGCATGGGGCAGTTGCTAGAGGCGCTAAAGCCAACAGTCGCCAACAGAAATGTAGTTTGTCAATGGATATAGTTGGGCACTATAAGTTGGCAGTAGACACGTATAATTATTACATAAAGTCATTCTCCAGCCCACACGTAAACACTGTAGGGTTAACATCTCATGGAGAATAATCATACAGATACAAATCACAGAAACCCAGTTCATCTCTTTAATACAGTTATATTGGGGTACACGACAGTGAGCAGACTAACCTGTAGCCCAGTGGGGGTTGGTTGTGATGGAAGGCAGAATGTTTTGTGTTTGCAGTCAATGAGATGAGAGTATTGAAGAGTGTGGCTGTGACATGTCACTTTCAAACTTATTTGTTGTAAAAGATAAATCCCTTGAAGTGCATTGAATTTATATTATTAGTTATAAGATTTGCAGTATCCATTTTGGTACATTCATGATTAAAACTGTATTGTGCATTTTGGTGATTTGTGAAGCTTTTCCAAAAGCCTAAGTGATAGAGGTCAAGGCATGATTCATCTGATCCATATGTTATTTAAGAATCAGAGGGATGCATTCCATTTAATGTTTCTTTCTACTCATGTTTATTTATTGCTCCCTTTATATGTCTTCCTATTTTCCACACAAAATTTAAAAATTTAAGATAAGTAAATGTGTCACAAATTATTTAGTAGCCTTTGTAAAATAGCTGCTTGAGAATTCCCAAAGGACCTTTTCTTTTAAGTGTTTCTGGGGCAGTAGTGTTAATGACAAAAAAAAGGCTAATGAAATCAAATAGTAAGTCATAATACATTTTTTAACTGAGTTAAATATATGTGTTTCAATAATAATAATAATATAATTATTCTGAATATGATAATTAACTCACTCAGAACCAAGCAACTCAGCATTTATTGGTTACTTCATACCTGATATAGTTGTGTTTAATTCTTGTGCTCCTTTAGTTCTTGCTTTAATCCAGTTAACCTCAGTTGTTATTTCAACTCTTTCTGTCCAGTATGGTTAATGCTTATTCAAAACTTGGAATGTTAATGGCTTGGGCAACAAAGAACCAGAGTTAGTGGAATTCATGAAGAAATCAAATATTCAAATACTAGGATTAATGGATACGAAAAGAACATAACTATGAGTGCAAAGGGGCAGATTATAAGCAGCGTATTCATTCCAACATTAAGCTACTAGTGCCAGACATGGACACCATTTAAAGCCCATGAACACAAAATCACCTTTTGTGAGATGAGATGCCTGAGAAAAGCTGCCAATATTATAATCCGATATCTGGGAAACAATGATACTTTCAGACAGATTTTGGGAACGACACTTGTACTAGATTCATAGAGAAACAGCAAATCAAGTGGTTTGGCCATCTTGCTAGAATGCAGCAAGATCAGATATCATCACAGGCACTACATCTCAGAAGATCAGCTACAAAAGCCAGAGGACAGCCGAGAAAATAATGGATCGACAACATTAAAGACACTCCGCACCTTTACACCATGTCAGTAGTCAGTGTAGGCCAGTGTGCACTGGATCACTAATTACTCTTCCCCACAATGCTTAATGACAGAAGTGGTTTATAATGATGGTTATCATCCGTGTTGAATCTGTTTCTCTTTCGCATCCAGCTATGTTGATCAGCTACCTCCAGCCGAAAGAGCTAAGCTCACTGGACCTCTAAGTAACTCAGTTCTGTGGAATGCCATGGTGACCCCACTGCTTGGTATGACCATCTATGGAGCCATATGGTATCAAGGTAAAAACGTTTGCAGTCCGTGCTGAAGTATTTCTTTTTTATTACTATTCTTTTTTTCCCGCCAGAATCTATTTACTTAAGAGATTTTGATATTTTGTTTTGAATGCAGACTTAAAGTATATTTACATGCATTTATTGTTTATTTTTGAGGTCATCTTCATCACACATTGGACATGACCATAAGTGTGCCGATCTCCTCCTGAGTATGTCTCCAAGTGTTTTTAGCAACTCCCATTCTGTTCTGGTTGATGTAATGATGGGTGGCTTCCGCATGGTTTTCCTGTCTCATGGTTCAAATTGATACACCCAGGGTATACAGTCTATTGAGTGAAAAATCATTGCCCGTGAAACTGAAAGCCTCACAGCATTTAGTCTCTCGTATATTTACATGCATATCATTTGTTAATTAATCTGTGTGTTAAGATTAAAGTACTTGGACAATACACTAATTCTGTTAACTTTAGTTTTGATTAGTTTATTATTTTATTTTGTATATGATATTGCAAACCATACCCAGCATTTTCTAGCTGTTTGTGGATTTACTAGGCAATTTTTACAATCATTTATTTGCCATTGCTTTCTGAAACTTTAAACTATTGTCAAAATTAACACTGAGCATTGAATTAATGAATAGGGACAGAGGATCTGCTTCAGAGAGAGAGAGAGAGAGTGTGTGTGTGTGTTTTGGGTGGGGGGTGGGGGGGGGAGGGGCATACACAGAGATGATTCTCATGAATGCTGTGGTATATGTTAAATGTAAGTTTTTAAAGCTTGTTACATTTATTGTGATATTTTCATGATTGACTAGTAACATAAAAAGTTTATTGTGTGATTAAAGTAATGTAAAAGGTCCCCTTTTTCCTTGCCTTCAGGTGTATTGGGCATATCAAGCTTAAACCTGTATTTCATAGACCAATCGGCACTTGGCGGTTGATGTGCTCAACATCATACTGGCCTCCTTTACTTTCCAGAGCTATACCTTGTACCCACTGAAGGCTGGATTGACCTGGGAGCCAAGGTCATTTTTTTTAAAAGTCTCGCTTTGTCAAGTCCCAAACCCACGACCTCTAATCCGCAGGCGAGCGTCTAGCATCTTTACCACGGCAGCTCTCTTTAAAGTAATGCACATTAAACATAATTTGTTGTTATTTAAGGTGAAAATGACGCAAGTGGTGCCATGATGAATCGCTATAACTGCACATTCCCAACAATGATTAAAGACTGGAGAAAAAATTTCAACAAATTTTCAAATGGACAAACAAGTGCTTTATTTCCCTTTGGTTTTGTGCAGGTAAATACCTTTATCTTTTTGTTTGAAACTTATCATTGGATGGTCATTTTTGCAACTGTACAAAACCTAATTCTTCAATTTTGTCATTGTTAATTCCACAATTTCCCTGATCATCATCATGTAGCAGATCCTTAGCAGAACATCGCTCTCATCATAGTCTGCCCGAAATAAACTCAGTGTCGCCATCTGTCCAGTCTCGTCCACTTTCTGGTCGGTTCCCCCCCCCCCCCCCCCCCCCCCCCCCCCACAGCATGCCTTTAGCTGTTATTTTTTTTCCAGTCTGCCATGGCACTTGGTATGGACACATATTTCAGCTTCATTTTCTAAATGGTAAATGTAGTTCTGCACTTTTCATCATAAGAAACCTATTTCTATAGTTTTCCTTGCAGCATTCATTAACTCTTTTAGGCCCATGAATTTTGACAGACTTGGCCCACATTAATTTCCCTTTACAAAAATTGCAGAGGGGTGGGTGTACAAGAAAGGCAATAGAGAATGTACATGTAATGATAATGAAAATTTTGATTTTTCAGAAAATGATTTGGATGGTGAATTTTCACCAGCAAAGCTGAGCTTTCAGGTGTTCTGAATCTAGCGATTCTGATGAGTTTATTACACAGACAATGTCCCATTGCTACCATATTTATGGTATAAGATAGAAAAGTGCTCTAAACAAAGAGATTGTACTATACTGTGGCTAAGCTATATTGAAATCATCGCAGCTACAGTCTGTAATAACTGTACAAAGTAAATAGTAAAAAGCTGTGTGTAATGGCTCATTTTGCGGGCATTTTTTCTCTAAAATTTTGCTCAGCACTCTGTGATAACTAAAAGTCCCTGAGTGCTAAACTAACCCAGAAACTTATCATAACTGTGGAATTTTTTAGGAACTTGAACAAACTTTAAAATTGTGTCCTTAAATTTGGGTATTCACTACTCTTGCAGCTGCAAAATCATGGTAAGTGAAGCATTTGTTTGTAAAATGTTGTTATGAAATTAACACCTGCTGAATTCTTGTTTCCTACTAACTATAAACACATTAAACATATACTTATCATCAGGTTCAAAATGTACATTCGTTTTTCTTTTAAAAAATATAAACTTTGGCCATCTTCTGAATAACGGTCCCAAATTATCAAGGCCCAAAATATACCCTAATAGGGCCTCATTCACATGTAAATTGCGGACTTCCTCCACCATCAAGAGTATCTCCCATGCCGCTACGCGCGGCGTGGAGTGAGGCTAAACTAGATGGCTGGGACTCATTAGCAAATAAAATGAAAGGGGCTGCAGGAGACACGGTAGTGCTAAGCGGCGTGGGAGATACTTTCGGCAGTGGCGGTAGTCGCTGGGAATGCGCAATTTAAGTCGCTGGAAGTCTGCAATTTACATGTGACTGTGGCCCTATTGGGGTATATTTTGGGACCGTTATTCGGAAGATAGCCAAAGTTTAAATTTTTTAAAAAGAAAAATGAATGTACATTTTGAATCTGATGATAAGTATATGTTTAATGTGTTTATAGTTAATGGAAATGTCCACTCGGAGTATACAAGGACTGAGGCAGTAAACATGGACGAAGAATCTATAAGGATTGTAAAATTAAACGAGATGATTTGCATGTTATAAATCTTTGTCTGCTGATGATCCTTGCCTGCTTGACAGCATTAAGGATTAACTGCAAGATCATATTGACCAGCTGAACTTAACATGCAGACTATACAACATAAAGATAAATAGCACCAATATTAAAGCAGTGAAAGTTAGCAGAACTCTGGTCCATTACATTCTGAAATGAATAATACATGCTTGAAGTAAGATACAATTTTGTAATTTAGGAGACAGGATCACAGAAGATGCCAGAATAGTCAGGTAAATAGAAATAAGATGCCAAAAAGCATGTGAATTTATTTACAGACACACCATCTGGTACATTCAATAGTACATAACTTTCCACAAATCAATAGACAATTTGAGACAGGAACACTATTAAAAATGAATGTATATAATCAGCACTTGTAAATGAGATACTATAGATAAGCCACAAATGTAATGATTTGCAATGGACTAAGAAATGATACTGTCAGAATGATTTAGAAAAAAAACCTGTGTCATATTTGTTCAGAAACAAAAGGTTTATGCATTTCGTTAGAATGCAGTGACACTAGTTACCAACACATGCTCTTCTTCTTCGTAGTTTTGCTCTCCAGCATTCCAGGTCCTTAAGGTTCATTTCTACTATGATCACCTGCCTGCCTGCCTCTCTCTGATTGGATTTCTCTTTCCAGTTGATGACTCAAAGTGTTTATAAGTCTGCATGTATATTGTCTCTCACTGTCTTTTTGGTCTGCCTTATAGTCTACTCCCATTCAGCCGTCTACATATATTTTGTCAGTCTGTTGCTTGCATTATCTCTGTTTGCCCCAAACATTGCAGCCTATTAATCCTCCTAATGCCAGTAACACAAGTTCTGCACCCCAAAAAAAATCAAATTTAAGAGCAAGGTGGATTGATGTTAGTGAAGACCTTGCACATTTACATGAAGTTCATCAATCATACAGCCTCCTATCAAATGCATAACCACCAACTACCCTTCCCCCTCCCCTCCTTTTTCGTGATACTGGACTCTTTCAGTAACAGACAATGCAGTGTACATTAAATGATTACTGTATACTTGTATGTGTTTCTTGTCCTCTTGTGTCATATATATTTTTTAAATTACATTAACGCATTATGGCCCAATTGTTTGTTGAACTAGTTCTGTTCCATAATTGTAAATTTTTTAGCCAAAAAACATTAAAAGATTTGTACTGTGCTGTACACAGACTTTGGGACTGATTGCTTTGCAGTAGCAAAGGGACTAAGGGAGTTAACCCAAAAAAGGTGGAAGATGATGAATCTAAATAACTTTTGTGAATTACAGCTAGCAAACCAAGCTAGGGGTTAGTTAGACATAACTTTGTGTGATATACAGCTAGCAAACCAAGTTAAGAGTTAGTTAGATATAACTAAGTGTGAAATACAGCTAGCAAACCAAGCTGAGGATCAGTTAGACATAACTTTATGTGAAATACAGCTAGCAATTCAAGTTGATGGTTAGTTAGACATAACTTTATGTGAAATACAGCAAGCAAACCAAGCTGAGGGTTAGTTAGACATAACCTTTTTGTGAAATACAGCTAGCAAACCAAGCTGAGGGTTAGTTAGACATAACCTTTTTGTGAAATACAGCAAGCAAATCAAGCTGAGGGTTAGTTAGACATAACTTTGTGTGAAATACAGCTAGCAAACCAAGCTGAGGGTCAGACATAACTTTGTGTGAAATACAGCTAGCAAACCAAGCTGAAGGCTAGTTAGACATAACTTTGTGTGAAATACAGCTAGCAAACCAAGCTGAAGGCTAGTTAGACATAACTTTGTGTGAAATACAGCTAGCAAACCAAGCTGAGGGTTAGTTAGACATAACTTTGTGAGAAAATATAACTCATATCAAACATAGCAGTGTATGGAATCCATACATAAAGCAAATCCACAAAAGTGTATTCTGTATTTTGTTTTCTATAATTACAGTTGGCACCAAACAGAGATGATCCAACAATATCTGTTGGGTTTCCTGATATAAGATTCCACCAGACGGCTGACTGGGGTTATGTACCAAACCGTGACATGCCCAATGTATTTATGGCTGTAGCTATGGATTTGCCAGATTTCAACTCTACATATGGCTCGTAAGTTACTGCTAATACCAAGAAAATGTATTGCTTTGTAAATTAAAAAAAAAAAAGTAAAGTGAAGGAAGGTTACTGTTATTGCTAGAATAAATGTATTACATTTAATGAAAGAGTAAGAAAAGGGAAGACCTTACTTCTTACCTTGAAGCATATTTTATATATAGTGTTGGCCTTATAATTTATGGTCCAACTGGCACTTAAAGATTAATGCATGTGCATATATTAAATGCATAAGGCCGTCGTCAAAAGTGCCACAGTTAAGTGGAAGTGTAAGTCACTGAGAGACCCTTAAAGCCATAACAAAACAACATGATTAAAAAATGCACAAGTACTGATTGTTCAGGTCATTTGCAGAACTTTGCACTCATCATGATCTGCCTGAAAGAAACTTGGTCTCTTGCCAGCTGTCTGCCATGTGCACTTTCCTACCAAAGATGTCACTTATATCATGTCTCCGTGTTCATGCTGTTTGGCCCCTGCCCCTTTTTTCTGATACCATACCTTCTGCCACTATTCTTTCCAGTCGACTGTGGTGCTAGACAAAGGCAGGATTTTTTTAGTTTCTGAGACAAGATGCTGTTTACTAGCCAATCTTTCTTTAAAATCAGATCTTTTAGGATGTCAGTATTTCTATTCTTCTATGTTCATAGTATTCTGAGAATCTTTCTATAGCTTTTCACCAAAAAGTCCATATTTTCTTCTTTAATTAACTCTTTCAGGCTCCTGAATTTTGACAGACTTGGCTCACATTAATTTCCCTTTACAGAAAGAAATGGCAGAGGCAGTGGTTAACCCTCTGGAGATGGAGCCTTTTTAAAGTTTCAGTGCCAAAAAACATGAAACCTTCAGGAGGGGATTCTCACAGTTTATACAAAAAATTATAAGAAATAAAGCGTTTAATTTACATATAGAAAACTATGTATATTCGTGTAGGAAATTGAATGAGTTAACATAATATTTATGAAATCTCAACATTTGTTCAAATTAACTATTCTGATTTTCATAATTTATGCAAGCATTTTTTATTTTATTTTGGGAACAAACATGACTAAGATGAAAAAAAATGTGGGTGAATTTTTTTATAGATAAAGCTTGGATAAGTGCTAACACTTGTATTTTGGGAAGTTAGGCCCTTGGAGATACTTTTGGCATATGGTTGTACTCATTTTCCTGTTTCCAACTATGTTTTGGTTGCTATGGGGCAACAGTCCTTTTCGTCATTGTTGGGCATAGGTAACCCCAGAAAAAATTGTTGTAAAATTACCGAACACATCAAACTTTCTCGAAAGTCATCAATGATTAGCCCACATTTGCAAGAAATGCGAGAAGCAATCTGATTGGCTGGTAAGAAAACCTGCCAGCCAGTCTCAAGGCTTGTATTACATAGGGCCGACTGATTGGTCCAGTCATCCTTTTGGCTACTTTGTGTCGGGCTGATATTTCAGCCATGTCGCCTTCAGAGGGTTAAAATAAAGGCAGTAGAGAATATAACATATTTCTAATCCCTACACAAAGATCTTTAAAAAAAAGGATTATACATTTTGAATTTGAATAATATGTTAGTATTTAGTGCTGGTATAATTAGGGGGGGGGAATTAAGCTGGTATTATGTTTACAAAGACAACATTTTGTAAATAATTCTTCACTAACCATGGTTTTGCAGCCACAACAATAGTGAATATCCAAATTTTAAAATATCATTTTTAAGTTTATTTAACTTCCTAACAAATTCCACAAAAGTTATGATAAGTTTCTGGGCTAGTTTATCACTCAGAGGCTCTATTTTCTTATAGGATGCTGGACAACATTTGAAAGACAAACACAAAAAACAAAATTTCAGAAAAGTGGACCAATATAAAGACAGTAAATACTTTGTACAGCTATATACCGACTGTAGCTGTAAGGATTTCACTGCAACTTAGCCATAGAATGATACTGTTTGAAACAGTTCTTTACATGCAACATGCAAATGTTGCTGACTGTCACATCCTTCGCACATGAAATGGGTGGACTTATCAGAACCGCTAAGTTCTCTAACAGCTGACCTCTCAGCTGTCGTTGCTGTAAATTCACTGTCTGAATCACATTCCAAAAAATTCAAGTTTTCGTTATCAGAATCAGAATTAAAAAACATCTGACCGAAACAGTTTCAGAGCTTCAACCGCAGAAAGGCACATTTTGTGGCCTGTACTTGTGCTTTGAACATTGGTCAGTCAGAGAAAGAAATTGGAAAAATTAACTGTTGGAAAATGACGCTCGCCACAAATTCAACAGTTGTGCACCTAAAAATATACACAAAGACTTTTTAACAAACAAAAACATTAGAGTAACCTTCCCTGACATTTTAATTATAGCTTCCAACATTAAAAACTAATACAGGATGGTATGTGAATCTTTGGAGATGACTCAGACAATTTTATGGCCAAACAGCAAAATGGCCCAATCTTACAAGCCTTGAGATTGGCTGGCAGGTTTACATACCAGCCAGTTAGATTGCTTCTCACATTTCTGTGAGCTTTTTATTGACAGCATTCCAAAAAATTTCTTGTGTTCTGTGATTTTACATCATCTTTTTTTCTGGGGTGTTACCTGTCCCCAACATTGGTGAAATGGACTGTTGCACCATAGCAACTAAAATATAGCAGGAAAAAGAGTAGAACCATGTGCCAAAGGCGTCTTGAGAGCTTACACGGGCCTTGCTTCTCAAACACAAGTGTTAAGACTTATTCAGGCTGAATTCATCAGAAAATGCAGCCAAATTGTTCAGTTTATTCATGTTTTTCCTAATATTCAACAAAAATGTATTCATAAACATGCAAATTCAATACCTGATTTAAATAAATATTCAGTTGTCAGTGTGATTCCTAAAGATTGTGTTAGTTCATTCAATTTCCTACGAGAATGTGTATAGTTTTTGTATATGGTAATTATGCTCTTATTTTTTATAATTCTTGTGTGTGTAAATTAAGAGAATCTCCTCCTGAAGCCCCCTTTTTTTTTTCTGGCACTGAAACTTCAAATAAGGCTCTGTATCCAAAGAATTAACTGAATGTTTTAAAGCAATTCATTAGCTTTTCTGTCACATCCATGTACATTCATTCTCTATTTGGGGATATAAATATTTGAAAATCATTATGGTATGAACCACAACCATTGTATTATTTAAGCACACACCCTACACCATCATCAATGGTAATTTCAAATATTTTATGTGAAATACTTTTTCATCATTCTTTCCATTTGTTAGTATTCACCCAAGAGACAAAATAGATGTTGGCCTTAGATTGTCTTTATCTGGCTTGGCTGTTGCCTATGGAAAACAAGAAGTCTTTCAAGGGCCATTTCCTGTGAGAGGGGAAGTATATTCTGATCATTTGCTTCTGGAATATGGAAACTCGGCCAACTTACAGATCAGAGACACAGAAGGCTTTGAGGTGTGTACCTTAAATATTGACAGTCTGTAGTATAAAATACTGATTTGTGTTGTTATTAGCCTTTATTTTTGCAATACTGACTCTAAGATATATTCTTCTTCATCATTATCTTGTATCTGAATGATGTAAATGCATTGTGCCTGTTTACAGCTTAGCTGCAGTATTTGCATCTTTTGGCCAACACATCCAGCTTTTGCTATAATTTGTTGTCTGGGCTAGCCTTCCCAGTTAGTTTTATGGGACATTGGTAGTCTCACATGATCCACAGATGTTGTCACTAGAGGACCCATCCAGGAAAGCTGCACCAGCTTGGTCGACTCTCAGGGGAAGGCAAGGATTATTATGGCCTAGAGAGAATGATGCACCTGGCTCTAACCAAAGGGTCTGGCTGGCTCACTACATTTAGAGGAAAGACAAAACGGACATATAACCAGATTACTACCGGTACCATTAGTATTGTAACTCTGCGCTGGCTGCTAATGATGGAGACAGAGTGCATATTGGAATTTCCAGAGTGCTGTGATGTCAATTCTTAACTCAACTCAGCTTTGGGGAAGGCAGGGGCAGAGCGATGGAATTTCATGCTATGCAAGGAGGCTTCCATAATGTAGAGCTGATACATGACATTTTGTTACTAGACTCACTAAAGGAATCATCATGTTCTGCACATGACTTCTTAACCTCATCTGTATATTGAGCCTCCCACTCATTATGGGCTGTGCCCTTTAATGATCCCCAGGGAGCAGTTTGCAGACCTGAGAGTCTGATTCCCTGCACAAATGGGCATCTCACTTTCTTCACATGTCATACTTTCTCTTTGACAATGACACCTGTAGCCCAAGCACTTTCTGCAGCATTTATGGGAAGCACACATCAGACATGGCTTCCCTGTATAATCCCTACACTGTGACAAGTGTGGCCATTGTTAGTGGTCATTTGTTTGAACCTTATGGTTAATAAAGTAGGATCTTTGAGCTAGGGACCTTTACTGTCATACAGTAAGACACTCAGTTGATGCTTAAACCTAAGCCATACAATAGCAGTCTCGGTCGCCAGATGTTGGAATCAAAGTTTGTAATATAGTAAGACTTTTGGGTGACTGGAATTTAAACCCGAGTTTGTCACCTAGCAGGGCACTCGACAGGCAGACTTCACTCATGTTCGAAATGAGTTTTCTATGTACGTTATCACCTAGTTGCAGGGGATGGGCTGGCGAGTGTCAGGTGATTTCTGGGCACAGCATCTCTTTCTGGGGGCCAGCAATTCTGAGATTTTCTGCCAGCTTTTATTTATAACAGTATAGACCATTATCTGTAGCACACAAGTATCTATTGGTAGGAGTCTTGTGTGAAGATCTGCAAAACCAGCACAGAGCTTGCTGGCTTTTGAGGTGAGGTACAGAGTATCTCCTTGTACACATCACAATGGCCTCAACTTTCCCTCATGCCTATGACCAAAATCACTGTGCTACCCTCAAGGTATATGAAATGTAGATTTGATGTTTGAGAACGAACATAACAAGAATAGAAATATGTAGAAGAAGATAAAGTATAAGTAGAAGATTAAGAAGAATGGGGAAAAAAGAGAGAAGAACAGTACAGAAAAAAAAATGAAAAGATTGAAATATTTTGCTGTACCATTTTGAAACAGTTGTAAAATGTGTATTCCTGCTAATTTCAGCTCCTCTGTGTAAATGGTGCAGCTAAAAAATGGGTCCCAGCAACTATTATAGCCTACAACAAGACAGCTATCACTCTGAACTCAAATGTTTGCAACCCAGGGCAGCAGCTGCTAGGTTTGCGTTACGCCTGGAGAGAGTCCCCGTGTGCCTTCAAGAAGTGTGCAGTGTATGAAACTGTAAATAGCCTTCCAGCACCACCATTTGTGACCATTATTTCTGGTGCCACGTATGAAAAGTTACAGTTCAGATTTGATGGACCTATGCACTACTGACAATCATTTAAGTCACACTGAATAGTTGTTAGTTGTTGGGAAAATCATTACAGTATGTTCATGATGTACTGTTAGTATCCTGCTAACTAATTATTTGAAAAGTTTTATGTTTAAGTTTTTATACAAACTGGTGAAATTACTTAACATGACACTCCATTTACTTAATATAATAATCTGCTTGGTCATTTTTGTTTCGTGCTACTTGTTTATTGTCTTCTTCTTCTACTTCTCCTCTTCTTCACCTTCTGCTGTGCTTCTTTCTACTTCTTTTTTACTTCTTTGTTTTCTTATTGCACTTCTTTTTTATTGGGCGGGGGGAATTTCTCCTCATTTTCTCTTATCTTTTTGTCACAAAGGTCATGATACGAAGAGAGATCTATAATAAGTTCTGGTTTATGCCTCATACTGTTGCCTTTGTCCATCTTTTGTGGATAAGGCTTTTTTTTTAAAATTATTTCTGAGGGAATATTCTTTCTGTAAATATAGTCTAGTGGTAAACATAAAAGGTAGTAAAACCATTTTATTATATTTTTATTTTTTTTAACCAGTTTTTTTTTTTTTCAAATAGCAGTCATACCCTCTCACATGCTCAAAGTTATTTACAAATAGCTTACAGTGATCTTTTTTAAAACTGTTTTTATGGACAACTGTACACATACTCACATAGATATGTTTGTTTAATCATAAATATTAGCTTTTTATGACTACTTAAGCTATGATTGTATTTGTAACATTCTGATAGAAACGAATAAGAAATAAATCAATGTTTATTTTGAGTTGCTCTCCAGTGAATGAAAATGCACTAAGTTAAATTTAAATTCTAAATCTCTTTTATAATCTTTGATATGAAGAGTTTCTTCTCTTGGCAACATAATCTTTGCCTCCATGTTGGGGAAAAGTTCTAAAACTTCTACCTGTTAAATCATTACATTTAAATATAATAATTTGTGTTATAATTTACCCACTAATGTCATGAAATTAGTTTTTAAGTTTATAAAGCCAAGAACTAAATATTTTTACTGTGTTTTGGAGAAAAAAAAGCTGTAGTAAAACTTTTAGGATTTTTAAAAACCCATTATAGTGCTACAGACAAAACTATCTGAGAGTGAAATATTATCTGTTTCTCTTCGTAAAACACAGAACTGAAATAGCAAACTCATTTTCAGGTAACACGGATATTTTAAATAAATTTTTGTATTTTAAAAACATGTCACCATTGAAATGCCAATATTGATGAGTCATTACTGTAAATGGTGAGTTAATTTTGGCTGATAATATTTTTAGAATTTTTGAGGATACATATTTATCGATGTTCTTCAATGATGATATTCATATCTAAGTAATTAGCTTGCTAATCCAGATTTTATATATTGATATCTGTTTTTCTTATTGGCTTTGTTAAGCATGGTTCAGTTTGAAACTTGTTTACTTTGATGTGGGCTTTTTAATATTAAAGTACTGGGAAATTGGAAATCTTTTGTTATATTTATTGTGTGTCTAAACCTTGTTATCAGCATTATGATGCTTAGACAGCATCGGAATTGTTCTTAATCTGGAGAATTTGTTTTATAATTTACCTTGCATGATTTGGTTGGTTTGCCTTTGGTTGTCTTATATAGTTAATAGTTATAATTTTGTTTTTAATTTAGTTTCTGGTTGGTTGAGAAGTTGATACATTTAATCAGAGCCCAAAGAAGCACATGAATAATATTGATGAAGATAAATTAATGCCATGGAAACATGATATATGGCTGGATGTCATTCAAAATACAACGACATTGTTACGTTAATGGATATTATACAATACACAGCTTGCGTTAAATGAATAGATATCATCGATTAGTTAACTACAAACAGAATATGGCACATATTGATTTGCTATAAAGGAAATATGCCTGGAAATATTTCCAATGCTTGTATCTTTTCAAGTTCAGCTGTTAAGATCCACGTTTCAAAGCCATACATAAATATGTATAAAAACTTGTGCTCTCAGCAGTCAGGAAATGTTTTTGGATCTCCATATCTGCTGTTTGCAAGGACTGATGTTGTCTGGGAAATCCTAGACATAGTTTCTGGTCTGGATCCTAGGTCACTTGAAATGGATCCTAAATATTTAAAATTATTGACTCGTTCTTTTTTGAGAACTTTAATGTACATTGTAAAGGACCCTTTTCAAAGCCTTTCAGGTGTATTAGGTATATAGGGCTAGACCTATATTTTATAGACCAGCGGCACTTGGTGGGTGATGTGGTTGGCATCACGTTGGCCGCCTTTTCTCCCTATGACTGTACCTGGTACCAACTCAAGGCTTGGGTCGACCAAAAAGCCAAGGTCATTTTTGAAAAAAAAAAAGTCCACCCCCATCAGGAACTGAATCCACAGACGAGCGCCTAACCGCGGCTCCCTTAATGTACACTGGGTCAGTTAAATTATTAATCATTACTTTAGTCTTTTCCTCATTCATTTCCATGCCATACTTAGTTGATGTTTTGTGAAGCATGGTTTACAAGTTTAACTAGCTCTTTTTCTTTCCCTGTAAACCCGTCGATGTCATCAACAAACCTTAAGTTTGTTATACTCCGTTATCCTATACTAACTGTTCCCTGATGTTTTTCTAGTCATAATTCTTTCTAAGATGATGTTCCTTACCACTGCTAGCTTAAACAAGCTTTATATGAACTTTTTATGTTAGGCAAGTTAGGTGCAAGAGGTTTTGTCTGGTGAGAAGGGTGTAGTTTAGTTCCATGTGCATGTGCACAATTTTTCTTATCTGCAAATAGCACCAGCCCCTGACAACTAAACTGTGAGTTATTGCAGTGAACAAAAGCCTGAAAGACATGAATTTTCTATGAAATGAAGGAACAGCTTGAGCAGTAGTTTTATATCAAATTATGGCAAAAGCCTGTTAATATTTAAGCCGCCTTCAACTTCACGTTCACCAGCTGTAAACTGTGGCAGAAAGTTCTAGTTGTTCATTCACCTCTGAATGTTGGTGTACACATCCGTATAACAAATCTGATTTATATGTGTGCAAATTGTTGATTCCTTGCCTCTTAAGCGGGTGCACTCAAACTTCAAAGGAAGCACCAGTTGTTTGACTCTTGCAGCATGCTTGTTGGGGAGGTAGTGGGTTTATTCTTGTTTTTCCTACAATAGGGCTGCAGAATAAACACAGGGAGATAAGTAAAGTACAAAGTAAAGATCCTTTTTTCACACCTTCATGCGTATTTGGCATATAGAGCTAGACCTATATTTTATTGATTAATCAGCACTTGGTTTCACCACGCCGGCGGACACAAGGAGATACTTCAGTGAAAAACTATTTAACAAATTCACAGACTCTGGGTGGTGATGCCATAGGCATCACACATATTTAACATCTCTTGTAGGAGAGAGAACTGTTTTAATAAGCCATCACTTATCTGAAATAACAATCCATGTACAAAGTGCATACACTGGCTATGCAGAACCACCATGTCACCATTCAAGGATTTATGAACAGTGTAAGGATAAACGTTGGTTTAGTACATTTCATTTTTTTTTTTTTAGAGGGTCTGGTCATATGGAAAATTCCAGCAAAATTTGTGCTAAGGCTGTAGCCAGTGGAACAGAAGCCACTCCATCTAGAAGTCATTTAGGACATACTGGACTGTATAAATAACCTTTCCTTCACCGCGGATCGGAAGTTTGTGGGTTTGGGTCCTGGCGGAACTGGACTCATTTACAAAAATAACCTTTGCTCCCAGGTCAATCCATCCTTGAGTGGGTACCAGGTATAAGTCCTGGAAAGTAATGAAGGCCGGTGTGATGCTGACCACATCACCCAGCATTTTACCATGCGTGCTTTCTAAGTTATTTCTTGAGCATGCTTCAGAAGATAGAGACAGAATGGATTCTAAGAAAATGATTGGAGTCGCTGAGGAAATCTCCTGTCAAAGGAATTAGTTTTAATTTGTGCTAGGAAACTCTGGAGTAAGAGGGAATGAACAAGCGGACTGGCTTGTTGGCAAGGCCTGGGTAGGCACAGGAGAAACAATGCTCCGGGCCGACACTCTCAATGCTATCAAGGAGGCAGGACGAGAAGATGATTCAGGAGACAACGTTAATCAGCAACACTCAAAAGACTACAAAAACTTCAGGTCAAAAAAGGTGTCGCCAAACATAAACACTATACATGTAGCCAAAGAAGAATAGTAAACCTATACAGAACTGGTGTTTATCACCCTAATAGTAAACCAAAACAGAACTGGTGTTTATCAGTCTCCACATGCTGGAGAATATACTGAAGATGTGGCCGAGTGTTTGTGGACTTGTGTGATGTGCAATGAGGATAATCTGATGATTACCTAATTAAGCAGACAGCGCTGTTTTGTTTTTATGACAGTTGAAGCTAAACATTTAGATGCACAAAGATGTGGGGAGGAAAATGGCAAAAGAACATCCATCACTCATTTGGTCACGTTAGGGTACATTGCAAGATTCTGCACCCTAGGAAATATCCAAGCCTAAAAAAATGTCTCTAGTCTTTTACTCTTCAGCTCATTTGCTTCTTCTTGAATAGACTGTGGCAGTATATCAGTGTCAATTATGAAATAATTCTGGTTGACCTCCAAGACCAGTCATCAAATAATGGATCGGAGAAAAAAGAGACTTGAGTCCCAGTCTCTCAGCCTAGATGACAGTGCTACAGGGAAAATTCCAGATGTCTCGTTCAACCTCCAATACAGATAAAATTGGGGCTCTAGTAACAGCTACACAAGTCCAGTATAACCTAGAGTCCTGTCCAACAGTTGATTCACGACAATTCACGCCCAGATGATCTGATTATCTATACAGATGGTTCGATTTTGAGAGGAAAGAGAAGTTCCTGGGTGTTCGTAGCGAAAGCCAATGGAAAATCTTAGTGCAAGGCAGCCTAGCAACATATAGCATAAGAATGGAGATGGAGGCGGTAACTGCATCTCTCCAGTGGCTAGAGAACAAGATGCATACATATGTCGTAATTGTAACAGACTCTGAAAGCATGCTGAGAAAGGTGAAGACAGGGAGGCTTCAAGCAGAGTGGCAAGCTTCACTGGGAAGGTCACAGGTAGTGAGCATACTTTGGACCTTTTCTCCAAGCCATATCGGCATAGTGGGTAATGAATAGGCAGACAGATTGATCGGATCTGCACCAGTGGGTAGTGAACTGATACATAACAAGGCATATGTGGTAAAAGCCCTTTGGTAACAAGCAACGTAATCAGTAGAGAAACAAGATTATTATGGCCTGGAGAGAATGCGGAACATAGGTGTAACCAGAGGGTCTGGCCAGCTCACTACACTCAGAGGAAAGGCAAGCCGGACATATAACCAGATTGTGACCGGTACCATCAGCATTGGAATTCGGCTCTGGCTGCTGAAGATCAGGACGGAGCACGCATGGGAATGCCCCAAGTGCTGTGATGTCAGTTCTTGGCTCAACTTAATCTAGAGTCCAATGCGGGTAAGAATAACATAACCACAAAAGTCCCGAATCTCCTGCTAACCGGGGGGAAAAAAATCCTACCTTTCATGCAATTTGAAATATTTACTCTTTATAATTGTTTTTACAGGTGGGCTCACGTGTATTAGGGGGGGGGGGGGGTTAAGCAGCTTCAGCCCCGTGTTTATTTGCAACAACAAAAATAATATGTTAAAAGTAAAGGAAACTTGTTCGGGCCCTTTAAGATTATTGGGTATATAGTTCTAGACCACGTCCGACTTTAGTTATCAATAAATAGCGAAAGTCGGACATGTCTAGACTTACATTGTATGGACCAATCTGCACTCGTTGGGCGATGTGGCTAATAGCACGCCGGTTGCTTTTCTGTGCCAAGATTTTACCTGGTACCCATTTCAAGTTGGGTCGAACAGGGAACGAAGGTCATTTTAGGATAAACAAATCCGGCTGGGTGCAGATTTGAACCCACGGCCTTCTGACCTACAGGCGAGCGTAGTCAGGCTTCAACAATACATCCCACTCCCCCCCCCCCTCTCTTACTATTTGTATCTGCTGAAAAGCAAATAAATGTATTTGAAATAATATGAGATGTATCAACAAAACTTGAAACGAGGACGTCTGTTTATGGTTGGGGGGGGGGGGGGGGGGGTGTCTGAATGTCGAACCTTTCAAAAAGAAGTGACAAATTTAGGAAAGTAAAACTGCCTGATCAAACTATACTACAACCGCTATATGTTACAAGTAAAGGTCATTTTTCACCGCCTTTAGGCTAATCAGGCGTATTAGGCTAGGTCTATATTTTATAGACCGATCGGCACTTGGTAGATGAGGGGGGTCTACACAACGCCGGTCGCTTTTACTTTCCAGGACTGCACCTGGTACCCATTTAAGGCTGGGTCGGCCTGAGAGTCAATGTCATTTTTTTTTTCAAGTTCGGCTCCGTCAGGACGCGAATGCAGGACCTTCCGATCCGCGGGCGGGCGTCTAGCCGCCAACGCCACGGCGACTCCACAAATGTTAAAACTGGTTTGTGAAATTCTCAAAAGTACATGCATCTAACTAATGTATCTTGAACAGTGTAAATACACGGGGGGGGGGGGGGGGGGGGCGTTATCGCAGTGCGACTCGCTGCAGCCCACGGTCGGTGTTCGAAACCGGGCGGTTTCGATTCCCTACCCTGTGGGTTCACCCAGCCTCTAGGAAATGGGTACCAGAGTGATACTCTGGGGTAAATGCAGGAACGTCGCTGTAGCTACAGAGTTACGTGCGAACGGCCACACAGGCGGACAATTCTTATCAGCTGTCCGTACTAGTGGCAGAGCACTTATGATTTATAACCGTGGGCAATGACGCTGGTTCACATCTCCCGACTTTACCTTTACACGTGGGATATCGTCACAAATACCACCGTTAGGGAGAAGGTTGGAACAAGACCCTGCCTAGATTACACTGAAAGACAAAAATAATCAAATGGTTTTGTCATGTAGTAAGAATGCGACCAGAACCAATTTTATATGAGAACTGTTACAGCCAAACATCTAGACGAATAGAGGGAGTAAAACCAAGAAAGGCATTCGTAGACGACTTAGCTGAAATCTTAGGCTGAACAAAAGATCGCTCAAGACACAGGAGAAACACAAGACAAATAAAGAAAACACCAGGATACTTGACAACAAGCTAGTAACAACGTGACGATAGAAGAAGAAGAAAACAGTATACACACACCCATACGGCCGCTCGCGCGCGTATCTATTGCTCTAACTGAACTGTGGGTGACATATCAAATAAACATAAAACTGAACCACTAACATGAATTTAAGGTCAAGTGACATCTTTTGATTTACAGGCATTCATAAATGCTGATAATGGGGAAATGATTGGGAAAAGTGTTTAATTTTTAATGACAAGTGGATTCGTTTAGTCTCCCCTTATCTAGTGTAGATACTTTTCAGTCAGATAAATGTTGAGATGGATTCTTGTAGTCTCCCCTTAGCCTGGTACAGTTGCTCTTCAGTCAGATAAATGTTGAGAGCTGCCAACAAATTTTTCCACTCTTTTTTTGTGTTTTCAAAGACAGTAAATAGATGTACTTACAACAAATGGGTTAAATGGTTGGATGAAATAGATATTGACGACAACGACCGATAGTAAAATCACAGTGAAAATAAGAAGTAAAAAAGCGACCCGGACATTGTGTATCACCACTTATAGATAAACGTTGAAGTGTGAGACAAGGACGTGCGCTATAGAGTATATTGAAATACCGAGCGTCAGAGAGAGAGAGAGAGAGAGAGAGAGAGAGAGAGAGAGAGAGAGAGAGAGAGAGAGAGAGAGAGAGAGAGATAAAATAAATAGGGTTGGGGAAAGGGGGGGGGGTTGAGAATTCAAAATAGACGAAACTGAACAAACACAGGACAGACAGACATGTCCATCCTTGAAATTAATCTTTGTTTCAAATTCTATTTTCTCTGTTTTTCGAAGTCATCCTTTTTCCGCTTGTCCTTCTGACCCACAGGCGAGCGTAGTCAGACTTTTACAACACAAATTTTCCCTTTTACTATTTGTATCTGCTGAAATGAAGTGAATAAATATTCCATTAAACAAAATTCCAGTTTCCTTAATCTGTTTTCTATCCAGCGTCCCTGTCATTTTCTTTAAATTTGTTTAGTTCTCTTGTTATACTTTGGCAGAGTTTAATTTTCAAGGACTTTGTAACAGACTTAGTGTCGCAGATCAGAAAGGGAATATTCTTTGACGAAGGTAATAGCAGCAGTTATATAGCTAAGTCAGTGTTATTCACATTATTACCTTGTACTTCCCGTCTTTTTCAGGATAACATTTTTCGTTATTTGAAGCCCTACTCTGGCTTTTGGGAGTCGCCGTGGCTTAGCGGCTAGACGCTCGCCGCGGATCGGAAGGTCCTGGGTTCGCTCCCTGGCGGAGCCGGACTTTTTTCAAAAATGACCTTGGCTCCCAGGTCGACCCAGCCTTGAGTGGGTTCCGGGTGCAGTCCCGGGAAAGTGAAGGCGGCCGGCGTGATACTGACCACATCACCCATCTTGTGTCGATTAGTCTATAAAAATATAGGTCTAGCCCTATATGCCCTATACGCCTTAAGGCGGGGAAAAGGGTCCTTTACTTTTTTTTTATTTTCTACTACTCTGGCTTTTGCCAGGGGCCGCAATATAGCCTGGCAATAAATATGGCCTAAAGGCTGAACGCGGTTTCTGGGACCTCTCCATGGTGATCCTCACCCACATGATGGCACATTGTGTCATCGGGTGTTTATCGCTTGTGTGATGTCCTGGTGGGGTAGAAAGTCAGTCTAGTCACATTACCAACACTTAATATTTCAGTGTTTTGGGTAAGATCTGGGGTTGCTCATAGCAAACGGGCGATGCTGAAAATACTAGAAGTGCCGTCTAGCGGACATTTATAAGCACAGTAGTTTTAAAACACACACACACACATGCGCGCGCGCGCACACACACACACAAAAAGGACCTAACAGCTCAACGGAGATAGAAGAAAGGACGTGCACAAACACAACTGAATACTTCAATATGTATTTACCTATCGGACAAAAAAAAAAAATAGTGAAGGGGAAGGAGGGATATAGGAGACCCTTTTTTATTCTTCTAGTTTTATCTTTCTAGATTTGCATTCTGTAGGATTAGCATCAAATAGGTGCGAATACCAGAAACCCCCATTCAAACGTATAGCCATACAGCATTGTTTTTTGGGGGTACCACAAAGCGGTTACTGCAGCCCAGTTTTGATGGGTTGAAAAGAGTTAATAACTTGAAATAGGCTGACAAGACACGTGAGCGTATTACACACGAGTGGGGGAGGGGGGTGTCACATGATGAAGTTAAAGTACATTAGGTCTATCAAATGGTTTAAAAGGCGAAGTTCTGGCGGCTTCAGATAACCAGTATAAAGTTGGCACAGTACGAGTTACTGTCAACACTAACAAAACTTAAATATAGCATTTGCTTGTTCAAATATATGGAACAATTTACTTTAAGATGATACGCATTAGCATTCTAACGAGTGCGCTCTTTCTGTTGGCCAGCATTGCTAACACAAGTGGCATACGGGATGTTCATCGCATGCTAGTAAAGGAAAAAACAGGTATGATATAAGAGGCTCGCTTTCAAATCCAGCTGCGGCTGGCTGCAGCCACGGTCGGTGTTCGAAACCGGGCGGTTCCCGGGGTTCACCCAGCCCCTAAGAAATGGGTACCAGAGTTGACATGACACTCTGGGGTAAATAGACAAACGCCGCTGTAGCTACAGAGTTACGCGCGAAAGGCTACACAGGCGGACAATTCTTATCAGCTGTCCGTACTGGTACCAGAGCACTTATGGTTTATAACCGTGTGCAATGACGCTGGTTCACATCTCCCGACTTTACACTTTTTTTTTTTTTTACAGGTGTAATAAATTTTTTTGGTAGTCTTTTTCTTCGCCTACGGATCGGAAAGTCGTGGGTTCGGGTACTGACGAATCCAGACTTCTTTTTTTTCAGAACTGACCTTGGTTCCCATGTCGAATCCGCCTTGGGTACCAGGCGCAGTCCTGTGAAGTAAAGGCGGCTGGTGTGGTAATGATATAAAATATAGGTCTAGCCCTATATACCCAATACGCCCGAAGACGTGGAAAAAGGTCCTTTGCCACTTTCTTTTAAACTTTTTCATCTTTTTCTACTTTTTTTTTTGTCTTTTAATCTTTACCTTAGGTACACCAGTGGTAAACTCTGGCGGAAAGATTCTCGTTGTTCGTCCACTTCTGGACTTTAGTCTTGTTTATAAGATGGGATTAAGCGTATACATATTTCTGTGGTTGCAAAGACGTGTGCGTGTGAGTGCGTATGTTTTAGGATTTTTAAATACAATTGATTAGAAATAGTGCATATTATTTTAATTATCATGTTTGGAAATTCTTCTTCTTCTTCTTCCTTCTATTCCTCCTCCTCCTCCTCTTCTTCTTCTTCTTCTTCTTCTTCTTCTTCTTCTTCTTCTTCTTCTTCTTCTTCTTCTTCTTCTTCTTCTTCTTCTTCTTCTTCTTCTTCTTCTTCTTCTTCTTCTTCTTCTTCTTCTTCTTCTTCTTCTTCTTCTTCTTCTTCTTTTCTTCTTTCTTCTTTCTTCTTCTTCTTCTTCTTCTTCTTCTTCTTCTCTTCTTCTTCTTCTTCTTCTTCTTCTTCTTCTTCTTCTTCTTCTTCTTCTTCTTCTTCTTCTTCTTCTTCTTCTTCTTCTTCTTCTTCTTCTTCTTCTTCTTCTTCTTCTTCTTCTTTTCTTCTTCTTCTTCTTTTTCTTCTTCTTCTTTTTCTTCTTCTTCTTCTCTTCTTCTTCTTCTTCTTCTTCTTCTTCTTCTTCTTCTTCTTCTTCTTCTTCTTCTTCTTCTTCTTCTTCTTCTTCTTCTTCTTCTTCTTCTTCTTCTTCTTCTTCTTCTTCTTCTTCTTCTTCTTCTTCTTCTTCATCCATTCTTCATCCTCAACTTCATTCTCACCTTTTGTTTACAATGTGCCCAGAATTCAACGTTGTATCCTAGCGCACTGCCAATCAATGTAATGAGGCCACGTTTTGTTGAGTTAAAGACTTACATCCAACATTCTCTTGAGCACTCCGTTTCCATCTTAAGCAGCTGGTGCAGAATTCAATTTTAATCCTACCAGTAGCATTCTAAGTTTATGTTATTCTGTCTGTCCTCTGAGTGTCGAGCGTGGGCCAGAAGATTTGGTCATCCCTTGCTGCAACAATCATTGCCGATTGTGATTACCTATTTGCGCTTCTGCACTGTTCACTCGCTCATAAAGAGTTTTAACCGCATCTAACAGGGCATTCTTCAGTTTACCACCAATTGGTGTACAACTGGCACATTTGTTTGCCTGCTCGTTTCTCAGTACACCTGCATCCATTGATGAAAATATCAAAAGACACTAATGACCTCAAACCGCTAAACTGAGCTTGCCACTCTGTGCGGATAATGCTTGTCTCCAGCCATGCATTCTGTGTGAGTCTGTTAAACTCTGACATCAGTGTGCAGTAGGCTCGCAAGCCAGCAGAAGGAAATATCAGCATGTAGCAGGTCCTTTGAATAAAATCGCTCTCACCACAGTCTGCCAGAAAGAAACTAGGTCTCACGCTAGCTTTCCCCCTCCTGCAATTTCCAACCCAAACTGTCACTTATATAATGCGCCCATCTTAGTGCTAGTTGGTTCCTGCCCCTCTTTCATGGTAGCATGCCTTCTGCTAATATTTTTTTTTATAATTCACCATGGCGCTTGATATGGCCAAAGTATTTCAGTTTCCTTTATTCTAAAATTGGTTACTTTAATATCTTGTCATCTCTTTGTGGGATGCAATTTTTCGTTATTTGAAGACCTACTCTGGCTTTTGCCAGGGGCCACAATATAGCCCGATTATAAATATGGTCAAATGGCTGAACGCGGTTTCTGGGACCTCTCCACGGGTGATCCTCATCCACATGGTGGCACTTTGTGTCATCGGATGTTTATCGCTTGTGTGATGTCCTGGTGGGGAAAATTAGACAGACAGACAGACAGACAGACAGACAGACAGACAGACAGACAGACAGACAGACAGACAGGCAGGCAGGCAGGCAGGCAGGCAGGCAGGCAGACAGACAGACAGACAGACAGACAGACAGACAGACAGACAGATAGACAGATAGATAGATAGATAGATAGATAGATAGATAGATAGATAGATAGATAGATAGATAGATAGATAGATAGATAGATAGATAGATAGATAGATAGATAGATAGATAGATAGATAGATAGATAGATAGATAGATAGATAGATAGATAGATAGATAGATAGATAGATAGATAGATAGATAGATAGATAGATAGATAGATAGATAGATAGATAGATAGATAGATAGATAGATAGATAGATAGATAGATAGATAGATAGATAGATAGATAGATAGATAGATAGATAGATAGAGAGATAGATAGATAGATAGATAGATAGATAGATAGATAGATAGATAGATAGATAGATAGATAGATAGATAGATAGATAGATAGATAGATAGATAGATAGATAGATAGATAGATAGATAGATAGATAGATAGATAGATAGATAGATAGATAGATAGATAGATAGATAGATAGATAGATAGATAGATAGATAGATAGATAGATAGATAGATAGATAGATAGATAGATAGATAGATAGATAGATAGATAGATAGATAGATAGATAGATAGATAGATAGATAGATAGATAGATAGATAGATAGATAGATAGATAGATAGATAGATAGATAGATAGATAGATAGATAGATAGATAGATAGATAGATAGATAGATAGATAGATAGATAGATAGATAGATAGATAGATAGATAGATAGATAGATAGATAGATAGATAGATAGATAGATAGATAGATAGATAGATAGATAGATAGATAGATAGATAGATAGATAGATAGATAGATAGATAGATAGATAGATAGATAGATAGATAGATAGATAGATAGATAGATAGATAGATAGATAGATAGATAGATAGATAGATAGATAGATAGATAGATAGATAGATAGATAGATAGATAGATAGATAGATAGATAGATAGATAGATAGATAGATAGATAGATAGATAGATAGATAGATAGATAGATAGATAGATAGATAGATAGATAGATAGATAGATAGATAGATAGATAGATAGATAGATAGATAGATAGATAGATAGATAGATAGATAGATAGATAGATAGATAGATAGATAGATAGATAGATAAAAATTGGTGCTGTGATATATGCCAAGCTCTATTACAAAAGGCATCGTCCATTAGGCAGAAACTAACATTTTCTTTATTTGTCTCTCCGGTCATTTCGTCTCCTTCAAATTTCCGATTGCCATTATATACTTTAGTTCCTCTCCTTCTCATTTGCCCACATAATGTCATTGCCTTTTTTTTTAAATGCGAGCTACGAGTTCTGTTTGTAAATTTAATTTATAACTCCCAAACAATGTTCATTGGACATTTTTGAAACTGGTGTTTCATAAAAACTTATTTTGTATTTAACAGATGGAATTAACAGGGACAATAAACAAGTGCCCAAACTTGGGGAAACATTTGCTTTTGCTAAACATTTCCAAGATAATATGGTACTACAGAAAGCGCCAGCCAGAGCTAATATATATGGGTTTTCATCTGCGCTTGGTCAACAAGTCATTGCTCAGGTAAGAAGATCTTTTTACAGCACTAACCTTACATTAGTAGGCACTTGTACGTTTTTAATACATTTCAAATTACAGACGACTTTTCTTTCAACAACGAATCACACAACAGAGTGCAATCGTTTTCCTGACATAATTTAAGATATGTCCTTTGTATTTAGTTATATATGTTTTCTTTTACAAAGTTATTTCTTAGTTTGTAGGCATTTAAAGAAATTGAAACATGGATGTCCTATGTTCTTACAAATCGATAATATAAAAATCAAACGAAATAAAACAAATAAATACTGCTCCAATATGCTGAGAGAAGAAATACAATCTAGAATACATGAACTGTGTCCTTCAACATTTGCCAAAGTCAAAGACTCCATCTCGGAACACCAAGATAAAATTATAAAAAACGCTAATCAGAAGATTTGTATTATTTGGCTCTGATAATTGGAGCACAACTAACAGAAATGAAGCCTTACACATTTTCGAAAACGAGAATATTACGACGAATCTTTGCACTCATCAACAATACCAACAGCGGAGAATGGAGAGTGAGAAGCAACTTATTGGGGGTGTTTCCTTCGAAATCAGAGTGCAAACCATCAGTCTGTATAATATAAGCCAACTGTAAAACGGATGTGCACACAAAACTCAAGTTCTGGAACAAGACTGAAGTCCAGAATTGGTCGAAAATAAGAACTTTCCGCCAGAGTTTACAGCCTAAGAAGGCGAAAAGGACAAGAAATTCACTGACCACATCACCCATCGAGATCTTGTTCCAACTTTAAAAATATGAGCGTAGTTTCATATCCCTCATGTGCCACTGATGTAAAAAGCGTTTTTTACTTAACATTTTTCAAAAAATGCATTTTATTGTTTCAGTTCCGGTTACATCTTACAAAATAAGGGTGAAAAAAAAGAGAAGAAAAACAAATAATAAATTATCATGTAGCAGGTCCTTTGCAGAACGTCGCTCTCATCACAGTCTGCCTGTAAGAAACTCGGTCTCTTGCCAGTTCTCCCGCCTCATAAACTTTCACACTCAATGAGTCACTTATATCCTGTGCCCATCTTCGTGTCGGTCGGCCCCTACCCCTCCTTCCTGGTACCATGCCTTCTGCTATAATTTTTTCCAATCCATCGTGGCGCTTGATATGACCAAAATATTTCAGCTTTAGAGAAAGGATGCTGCTTATGAGCCAATCTTTCTTGATGTTCAGATCTTTTAAGATGTCAATATTTCTCATCTTCTCTGTCCAAGATATTCTGAGAATCCTTCTTTAGCATTTCAGTAAATAATAGTAAATAATAAATAAAAACTTTAAAAGCACGCGCAACCTACTGCTGGTAGTGAAGCTGCCATCCCTCTTTGGTTATATTTACGGTCTGAATATTTATGGTTTGATTTATTTGCGCCAAATGTTTGGCTAAGTTTGCGGTACATGTAGCATTTTTTTTTTGGGTTTATGTCCCTAACATAAAAGATAGACCGCATGTCCCTAACATAAAAGATAGACCGCTCATTTCTGTCTGTGTCTCAATGTGATTCTGTTTTTCTTGCCCTCCTGATGTTTTGCCTTGTGAGTCATCCCCTGCCCTGTTCTGTCTCCCTAGTTACTAGTATTTTGGCTTTGTGTCCTCTAACGTGTTCCTGAATTTGTTCCTTTCCTATTTTGGCCAGGCGTATCTCGTAAGAGGTCGAGCTAGCTCGCAGCTCCCCTTACCAAAAAAAAAAAAAGTCTTTTCGGACCACTATTTCTAGTTTTTAAATGTTTATTTTTTTTAATTATATTAATGTTGCATAATCAGTATTCGTAAACATCAAACAATACTGTCATACTTCTCTAAATAAATGTGTTACTCTATTGCTTAGAAAGTGCTGAAATCGGTTCAAATGCAACCCACGATTTTTACCATTCCCTCGTTGAGTCGTCTAGAAATCAACTTCCATTGTGGAGACGGCACAATCAATGTTTTATTATTATTGTCTATATTAACGTTACCTTTTTCCTATGTTTTGCAGATGAGAACACCCTCACGTCAATACAATTATTCTACGACAGTCCAACTAGGCCCGTCTCCAAACATTGGAGTATGGAGTTTCAGCCTGGACCCAATAGATGCTAATGTAACAGTAAGCATCATCGTTCAGTCGAAGACAGGGATACTGACCATAAGCAATGTCATCTTTGGGGATGTTTGGCTTTGCTCTGGACAATCAAATATGCAGCTCACAATTATTATGGTAAGAAACTGTTACAGATTGCTGATGTTTGTCAGTAAATACAAGACCTAGAAGACTTTTATGCTGAGAGAATAAATACAGTCTAGAATACAATGTGGAAATAAAGTATATTATGCTCTTCAATATCTGATAAATGTCTCTATATCGCAACACCAAGATCAAAATGTATAAAAGGCAAATAAGACAGGTTGTCTCATATGGCTCTGAAACTTGGAGTACAACTAAAAAAGATAAAGCCTTAATACAAATTTTCGAAAACTATCATTAGACGAAATCAAAGATGCAGACAACGGGTAATAGAGAGGAAAAGCAAAAACGAAACAAAAATCTGTTTAAATCACCACTGATCACTGGCATTATGAGGACTAACAGACTGAAATGGCTGGAGCATACTGAGGATGTCAGATGACGAAAATGTAAAGACTGTATACAAAAGGAAGCTGAATGGTCGTAGACCAGAGGCCTACCAAGAAGATTGTTGAGAGACATCAAGACAGACCTGCAAACACTTGGTGTCACCAACTGGAAAGAGAAGGCTAACCAGAGAGATGAATGGAGGCGGGGGATGTCTGCGACAATCAACTTCAAGTGCTCGGAATGATGAAGAAGAAGAAAAATGGCCTGATTTTACAGCACACAAGTTAAGTTTATTGCAAGAACTGACTGATTGACTTTCTACCCCACCAGGACATCACACAAGCGACAAACACCCGATGACACAAAGTGCCACCATGTGGATGAGGATCACCGTGGAGAGCTCCCAGAAACCGCGTTCAGACAATTGGCCATATTTATGGCCTGCCTATATTGCGGCCCCTGGCAAAAGCCAGAGTGGGGCTTCAAATAACAAAAAATTACGTCCTTGACTGACTGACTTTCTACCCCACCAGGACATCACACAAGCGACAAACACCCGATGACACAAAGTGCCACCATGCGGATGAGGATCGCCGTGGAGAGGCCCCAGAAACCGCGTTCAGACATTTGGCCATATTGATGGCCTGCCTATATTGCGGCCCCTGGTAAAAGCCAGAGTAGGGCTTCAAATGACAAAAAATTTCGCCCTAAAAAGGACGAAATTGAATATATACGTCCTTAAAAAAAAGAGACATAATGAAAAGGAGAAAGGGAAGTAAAAAACGGGGTGGGGAATATAAGTATGGTGCCTTGCTGTAACGCATCTGTAATCCTTTAAATGGTTTTCACTAGAATTTCTCTCAGCTGTCAACAACATCTGAAATACTGTACAATCTGTAGTCTAACCATAAGAGTATCCTTTCTTGTCGCTACAATGTATAGCAGTTTACGTAATTCAGAACGATACTTGTGGGTTTTTTCCCCTTGCGATTTGAGGGGGCGTCTCAGATCATACATTCAGTAATTACAGAGGACTCCTTTCAAATGTGAATTACAAACTGTTTTGCACTTGTGATCCGATTCCGATTCCTTTTGAGAAAAAAAAAAAAAAATAAAAGTTCGACCACTTTCAGACTGCTGCTAGCTAGCCGAGGCTGCTAACAGTCTCCGCCTATATTTGTGGTCTGGGTTATTTGCGTCACTTTCGTGACTAAATTCTAGTATTTGCGCCGTTTCTGGGCTTAATGCTTCGAGTCATACCGCTCGTCCTCTACCCTGTTGTTGGCTGTGTATTTCTTTCCTTCTCTTTCTTGGTGTTTCCTCTTGGTTTAATCTCCCTTTGATTTGGCCAGGCGTATTTAGTAGGAGAGCGAGCTTTTCTACACAGTTTCCTTTGGACCACCATTTACAGTTTAAAATTTTGAGTATTTTACATTGCCAAAAAGTACTGAAAACAGTTTTTGATTTTTGATTGTTCCGAAATGTGAAAATATTCCGCGTGTGACCATAGTGGTCTTATAGTTGTCTTCCTGCAATAAGAACGGGTTAGTCATGTCGTGGATATGTGTGTGAAATGTTAGATGGAGCCTCAAAGCGGTTCTATTCGTCATTCGTTATTGTGTAATCCGGTTGTGTCGGTCTGGTTGTCAGCTAGGCTCCGGTGTACGTATATACCATATACCCTTAGCACCCAGCTCACGCTTTAAGATCCAAATGTTCGGCGATGTGAATTGCTGTGGCATGTTGGGTACCAAACTCAAGTGCTCTCTGTGGGAATGGGGTGGGGGATTGAACTCACAGTGCATCCTAAATAGGTAGGGAAGGGTGAGGAGAAAGGAGGTGGGAGGCCAATCAGTCATTTCTCATCGTTGCCGTCCTGATTGATTCTATCGTGGCCTTTAGCAAGGATTGTACTATCACGTCACCAACCTTTGCTATCAGCCCACTGATGGGGTCGTATTGATGGTTAAGTGTTCTAGTCCTGTCAGTATCGATTCACTTGTTTTCCCTATTTGCTGTCACTCATATCCTGTTGTGAGCCCCACCGTTCATATTTATGTTTTATGTATGATGTGGAAATGGATGATTTTGAGTATGAATCCCCGGAGTATATGGACGCCCACAACTAAGTGTATGCGTACATGCACTCGAGCATTCATACACGCAGACAACACCACATGTTTGCACTTCCTTTCATACTTATCCGTGTATGCATACCTATTTAAAATCCCGTACACATGCATACTCTTTCATATGTGTCTACCAATACCTACATAAATGCACTTACGCTAATGAAGAACATGTACATCCACACGTAAGGACACTCACACTTTCATGTCTTGCATGTTATTTATTGTGTCGCTATGTCTGTAATATCGTCTAGTGGTGTCCCTTTTTAAGTTATGTCCAG